TAATTTCCCCTTGAATGCCAACTTGTGAACAAAAACATCAAGCGGCTCCATTATTAAATATAAGTGACCTCTAGAAAGAGCAGAGTGATCCAACTTTGACCATCTTTGCGGGTGTCTGTGGGAAAATGGAGTGTGTGTGTGAATGTCTCTCATTCTTCTGTGCTAACAGCCTAGATCTAATGGGCTCTGGCACATTGGTATGAAGGTAATGTTGTGTGTGAGTGCAGGTGTGTATGTATGTGACAGACATGAACCATACATGCTGATTATCAACAGCCCAGTGTTAGACAACAGGTGTTTCGTACTTTGACCACATTGTGTGTGTGTAAATGCTGTGCTTCATGCAGACTTGCATTATATGGATAAAAACTGGAAAAGCACCAGTAGACTAACCAGTATCGAGATCTAGCATGAGAAAGCCCTGAATTAGCAGACGGTGCAATACAGTAAAGTTAGAAAATGAGAATTTTTACCTGAAGTTACATCAAAAAGGTATGTACATTTATGCAAAAGTTCTTTCTTGTGGCTTGCTCACCTGGACCGTATGATTAATTGCAACCAGGTAGCAACATTCCCCCAACTGAAGTGAAACTGCCTGTTTTCCTGGAATGTAATCACAAGTGTCCTAATTATGTCTTAATTTGTTTGCAGTTGATCCTAAAAAATGACCTCCTAAAGTGTAAAACTCTTAAAGTCTCACATTTCTTGCACTGTCCGTCCAATGGAGTCTAAGTTGGGAAGGGTTTGAGACTAGCTCAAGGCCTCGTGACTCTTGCTGGAAACTGAAAACACTTTTGTTTGAGTTTGTCCGCAGGAGTCACAGCCTAGTGAGATACTGGCTTCAGAAAAACAAATGAGAAAACCAGATGTTGATGGGGGATTAAATTATTGATTGCATTGGTATCAACATGTGGTATCCACTTGCAACAACTGTGACATCACATGACAGCAAGTGTTATGTTTCACCAAATTTAAAATATTTTGTTTCTGTATAATAGATTGTAGCTTAAATTTAATTTATTACAATTAATAGCAAGTGAATTTCTCCACTGCGGGATTAAGGAAGTCTATTCTAGTCTATTTTATTCTATTAATCTGCCTTCAAACATTCTTGGTTTGTAATTTTGAAAATGTAAAATCATGAAGTTGCTCCTGAGTCACTTATAGGGCTGGGCGATATGGACCAAAACTTATATCTCGATATCTTTAAGCTGAATTCCGATATACGATATATATCTCGATATTTTTCCTCCTGTAAACTGTTGACAAGTTAACTCACTTCAAGCTCTTGAGAAATTATATACATAAATCAGTAGGTTAAATGCATAAAAATGTATTGATTCTTGTCAAACTTTAACCGTAGTGCCTATTCTCTACCAGTCTGAGCTTTAGTAACACAGGTACAGCTGTCTGCTAACACACACACACACACACACACACACACACACACACACACACACACACACACACACAGTTGAGAGCCAGAGGTGTATCAAATGTCCCACAGGCACTTTTTAATTATATATTTATAATTAATGTAAAATTATTTAAATTTCATCTAGAGGTGGCCCATGTTGTATAGGTCTTGTCCAGAGAAAGAAAATCCATCATGTTAAGCTAAATGTACGATGATGTAATTGCATCTACTGAAGATCACATGGGTCATGCACCATGGAGTTATTAGTTATTAGAAAAACTAGTTATTAACTAGTTGCTAGTTATTAGTTAGCAGTGTTGGTTCATATCAGCGATTATACTGTAATGATTCAGAGTCTCTGGTTGCTCTTTTATGAGTGTTATTTTCGGGCTACTGTCGCCATAACCCACACCTTACAAACTCAAGAAAACGGAACCGAAACAACATTTCTCACCCGTTGAGTTCGCCTTCAAAATAAAACGGTAACCCTATAGTTTACTATTCAAACCCTTACAATATGTTTCAGGTCATTTGGCCACTCCAACTTTCCGTAGCCGTTTCCTCATAACACGGGGAGGGAGGGGTTTGGCTCATCTCTCCGCACAAGCAGGATGGAAAACAGAACTCTGTTGGCATTGAACGTCCCCAAATAATTAAAAACCAGGACACCAAATGCAAAGTTTAGAGCAGCACATTTACCCAGAGGCTCTCAGACTGAGCAAACTTGTGAGAATACACGTAATAGCCGCTTAGAGATGGAGCAACATGTCGCTAGCATAGCGGCTAATCGCTAGCATAGCAGTTTGGCCAGTTATATCGATATAAAGATATAAAGTCATCTTATATCTTGTTTAAAAATTATACCGATATTTAAAGAATATCGATATATCGCCCAGCCCTAGTCACTTACAACATCAGCGCATTCAGAGAGATGAGTCTGTTTATTCATGAAAACAACAGCAGATCCTTAAATAGATTTGACGTCTTTATTTCAAACAGAGAGAAGGCAGTCCCCAGAGCCTTTGTGCTGAACTTAAAGCCCCCCTTCCAAGTTACTAATCATACCAATTGGATTTCATTCCGTTTGTCTAGAGTGCTGGAGACAGAAGCCTGTAAAAGAGCAACACATGGTCCATTAAGCCAAGCCTACATAAGGTTTTCTGGTCTCTACGATGCTTCCTACTCAGGAGCCCGTTTCACTTTTTGTAATTTCTATTTCAGCTGTTCATTAAGTGTTTTCACATCATCTCCATTTTTTGGCAGATGATGTACACCACACAGCAGCCTACGCTTTAACAACATGTATCCTCTCTTTAGACCTCTACTACAGTACTTTAGCCCTGATGCACAATGTAAGGCCTGTTTCCATTATAGGCACTTTCAGGTAATTTTAAAGGATCTTCATAGCGTGCCCGTGTTTTAGTTTCATGGAGTTGTCCTGAAAGGACCACTTTTCAGGCCATTTCAGGCACCAACCATGTACCTTCACTGGGGGTATGTACTCGGGAAAAGCCTGGTAGAGTCACTGAGCAGGACTTGTGTTTAACTCATGTTGATTGTTTGTAACTCAGTAGGAAGTGACATCAGCACATGTTGCTAAACAATTGGCATTTGTAAATTCGGAAGAGTTGCAGGCAAAACAAAACAGAGGGAAAAGAAAAGAAAGTAAGCAGCTTTGACGCTGCTTCAAAACTGCTGTTTCTAAACTCCCATCATTGAAAAATGCAACAGAAATTCCTCCAACAACACCATCATTTTGGCTATTTTCTGGTCTCAGAGCTGCGCCATAGGGAGCTGGACTCCACGTCCCTTGAATGGACTAAATTACAGCGTACAATTACTGAAAATTTTTTTTTAATGTTATTAATGTCCATGTTCACCTTTTGGCTCAGTAGTGTTGTCACTAGGTGCTGAAATGGTGGAGATATTCTGATGTCATAACAAAGTCCTGAAAAGGCTGAGAGGACCAAGCCATCATATTCTCCCCATCACTTTACCCCCTCTTACCCATCCTAGAAATTTTCCAAAACTCTATACAGTGATCCCTCGCTACTTCGCGGTTCGTTTATCGCGGATTCACGACTTCGTGGATTTTTTCTTTGGAGCCGTATTCAAGGGAAATTCGCCGATTCGCGGTATTTTTCACCGATTCGCGGTATTTTTCTATGCGAAATATCAAGAATTCCTGTTTTTTTCATCAATTTCATCATAAAATGCACTTTTTGTAATAAAACTATAAAAAAACAAGTAAAAAAAATTTTTTTCTTGAGTTTTACCCGCAAAAAGAGAATGTGATCATACGATAATTCAGTATAGTACTGTACTGTAAATATGGAGTCCCTACTTCGCGGATTTTCACCTATCGCGGCCAGGTCTGGAACGCATCTACCGCGATGAACGAGGGATCACTGTAGTTGAAACTCAGATAGTCATACTTATTTTACGTCTATGGCACACACTGAAATCATGAGCAAAATTCAAACCCATTTACAGTTAAAACATTTCCTTGAAGCATCTTCTGCTTTTCTTCTTTTTGCTTTGGTGTTAACAATGTTTAGAGATGGAGGAGATAAAGCACATTTTTTTCCAAACTGTAATGGATTGATTCTCAACACACAAGTTGAATCCATTACGGGAAGAAATCTCGATATTCGTGAATACCTCTAGGCTGGTTAGCGGTTGGCCTCAGCAGCTCTACCGGTTCTGTTTATCACTTAGCAGGACGTCTGCCTGCTGTTGGGTTTGTTTGAGCTCTGAATTAATTGCAGAGAATTACATGCACGATCGCAGTAGCTTGGAAACATTAACGGTGTCCCAACAACATCTGTGCAACCACCCAGTGGATTCGAACAGCTTGAAGCTGAGTACTTTGGCACAAACAGATTTTTTTTCTGTCAAAATATAAATTTCACAAAGCTGTTAACGCAGAAAATTGTTGGGGATGTGTTGCTAGCTATAATCGTCTAAATGTAACTTTTGTTGAAACTTAATTTTTTATCTTGTCTTCCAATATCTTTATTTCCTTGAGACAGTGTTGAGTTATAATGCTCCTACATGTGTCTAAGTACTGGGGAATACCAAGTCTGAGTAGGTTTTGTTTTTATTGCCTTTTATTTAGCACTAATAAGACAACTTTTCATGCTGATTTCTGCAGCTGTAGTAGTATTTGTGAGCAGGATATTTTTTCTAGCTTGCTCGTTTTGTCTTTGGACGTAAATGTTCAGTTGTTATGCTGTCAGTGCCCTACTTTTTGTCTTGTCATGTTGCCTTTCTGCCTGCCTGAATGAAGCTGATCTAAAGGTCTGGTTTAATAGTCTACTTACTGCTAGTTTTTTTTTGTGTGTGTTTTAGGAAAGTTCCTCCCTAAAACATTAGTTTTTCTTCTATAAGAAATAATAATTTAACACTGAACCTTTTTTTGCAATGCTTTTTATTTATACACTTCTATTTTAAAGGTGATAGTTGCAGTCTGTTCAGGACTCGTGCATTAGCTTATAGCAATGAAGACTTCTGAACAGTCACAAAGTTGTGCTAAATGTTTCAGCATTGATGCTAATTTAGCTCCTTTTCTTTTTCCCTGCAGCTCCACCACCCAGCGGATTCAACAGGAGAGTGTCAGGTAAGAAGCGCGGGTGTGATTTTACTTTGTGTGTGCATGTGTGTGTCTGCCTGTGTGTGTGTGTGTGCGTGTGTGTGTGTGTGTGTGTGTGTGTGTGTGTGTGTGTGTGTGTGTGCGCGTGCATGCGTGTGCTTTTACGTGTTTGACGTCATGTCCCTTAGTTGTAACCCACACTGGGTAAGAAATTGCGTACATTGCATGCCTTACTGGCTTACCCACATTTTGTTGGTGTGTTTCTTTGTGTTGTGTGACTGAAACGCAGCTGAAGAGAAGTGGAAGCCTCTAATAATGTTTAGATAATGAATATTTGTGCAATGTGAAGACGCTCCTCTGTGGTGGAGGGTTTTGGACTCTTCTTTTGTTCCTGTGGTGTTGTGCGGACAGCATGCTTGTTTTCTCACGCTCTGTTGTACGCCGCTGGTGTTTACATATGAGTGATTCAGTGTTGTCAGACGTCACAGAGCACTGCACTTTGATTAGGCTCTGGGTGTGTCAACTGATGTTTATCTTTTCTGGCATCCTGCTATCGTCCTTTCACCAGCTGTCTTTGCCGTGTTCTCATGAAGACTTATTTAATAATTTGCTCATTTTTGTTTAGCTTTTTTCAATGAATGAACCAATGTTATAATGTAGTAGAAAGCAAGCTTTTAAGGTAGTATAAAGTGTAGCAATACTGTTTATGACTACAGCATTAATCATAATTTTAGTCAAAAAACTGGAACATTTAGTTATTGTTTCACCAGTTCTACAAAAAAATATGTTTTATTATGTCTGGTTTTTTTCGTAGCAGTGACTTAGGTTAAAGTAACTCGACAGTTTCCATGTTCTCCATCCTTCTGGTGTAAAGTGGAATTACAACTGTCATGAATGAGGTGAAGGGCTGGCTTTATAATAACTTTTTACATTTGAACGAGTCTAAGTTGGAGGCTCTTTTATTTGTTCCTCCCTCTCCCACTGCAGTTAGTCCTGTCCTGCCACCCAGTTTTTGCAGCTTAGTGAAGCCAGCCATCACTAACCTGGGGGTGGTTTTGGACCCCGAGCTGCGGATGGACTCCCACATTAGCCAGGTGGTTAGTTCCTGCTTTTCCCAGCTTCGCCGGCTATCAAAGATGAAGTCCATCCTGACTAGACACGACCTGCACACAGTGATCCATGCATTTGTGATCTCTTGCTTGGATTATGCGAATTCCACATCTTCCTCGGTTGCACGCCTTCAGCTGGTGCAGAATGCGGCGGCCCGCCTTTTGACAGACACCAGACGGAGGGAGCACATTACTCCTGTTCTGTCCAAGCTGCACTGGCTCCCGGTGTGCTACCACATCCAGTTTAAAATTTTACTTCTTGTTTTTAAGTCACTCCATCTTTACGCGCCTCTCTACTTGACTCAGCTGGCTCAGCCCTACGTACCTGGTCGAATTCTTCGGTCAGCAGACCACCGCCTGTTACAGGTCCCAAGTGCTTGGGTGAGGACGCGAGGAGAACGAGCGTTCTCAATCTGTGTGCCTCATCTCTGGAACCAACTCCCTCTAGCAGTGAGAATGGTCCCCCCCTGTCTCTGATTTTAAATCATGCCTGAAGGCTCATTTTTATTCCTTGGCTTTTACTTCAGCCTAGTTAGCATTGTACTATGTCTCTGTTTTATTTTGATTGTTGATTTTATAGTAGTTGCTGTACTACTTTTATTACTTTCTTCCCATGTGTTGATTTTTATGCTCTTATACTGTGCAGCACTTTGGTTGGCCTCGGCCATGTAGAAATGTGCTTTATAAATAAAATAGAATGGAATGGAATAAACAACACTGCACAGGGTTTCCCCCAGTGCTTTTTAAGCCTGGCAGCTTTCCAGGCTTTGCTTGGCCACTCGCCAGGCTAAGCGTCATGCCCCGCCCCCCTCTCTGACCCTACCGTGTTCGCTGACACGAACGGTGCAACAAAACTAGAGCCCTCCATCAGCTGATACTGGTGAGAAACAGCAGCGGAACGTGTGCAACACCCCCACCCCCGCTCTCACGAAAGAGCGCGCAATCTGCCAGGCTTAACTCATTTTCCGGGGGAAACCCTGCTGCAGCAGCCTGCTAGTGCTAACAATGAGCCAACACTAACATGAGCCCAAAATAAGCCACAAAGTAAAAAGATTCACACTGTTAGACAAAAAGTATTATTACTTTCAACTCCAGTAGCAACAAAGCCAGGTCACCATCAGTCTGTGATTTTATAGCCTCCTTTAGCCCCCTCAAAAGAGTGTAGGCTGTTTCCACTGATTTTAGCTCTTTGCTTTATCTCCAACGACATTATTCTGACCTTTACTTCCAACGTCCACCATGATGCCAGCAAAAAAAGCAAACTTCTACTTCTTTCACTTTTGTTTTTTATTGACGGTCTGCGAACTGAAAAACCAATTGCTTGCCTTTAATTACCTACCAGCATGGAAAATGGCTAACATATGTTATCAAGTAAAGAGCTTCCCCTATAGAGAGCCCATTAAAGCTGTTAAATGAGGTTTCTGGCCAGTAGAGAGCTGCAGAGTGGTGTCAAATATGAAACTGGTCAAGTTTCAAACTCAACAGTCACCAAGGTCAATGTTAAAGCTCTAGCTTAAAGTAAAAAAAAAAACGATTTAGTCTTACTTATATGCATGCTATTAAATGTCTTGTTCGCATTTTTTTCTATAAATTTGCTGTGGTCTCTAGTATGAACGAATGCCTTGTGAGTGAATTTCTGTGAAAAAGAAAAGAAATTGCACACCTGCTTCAGGGGGTAGAAGTTTGAACGTGGAGTGGGGGGTGGAAAATGACAAAATTATGAGTCTTAATTGTTAATATTTATGATATGCGAACATCTCATTGCTGATTGGCAAACAGCAACGGAATTCTTCCACTGACTCTATTTGATTTTCTTTCTTGAGTAAAATATTTTGTTGTTTTATCTCTGCCATGAGTTGCTAATGCTAAGGGTTAGCTTCTACTAGCTGAGATGCGCTCGGCTCTCCCCTGGATGCTAATCAACACCCATTCCAAGGTGGGTGGGGCCATGGATACTTTATTTTTTCTCTGTGATGTAGAAGGGACTAGCTTTTTCTGATCAGATCGTTTTCTCTATTTCTTTTCTGTGGCTTATGCAGGTATCAGAGGTAAAAGAAGATGTTCCCGTTCAGCATGCATGTGCAAATCAGAATGGCTGTTCCTATTTTTAAAAAGAACAGGTTTTACACGGTTTCTCTGTAAATGAGACAGTTGACCCTAAACAATATTATTAGTTAGAATTAAAGTTTTAAAAATGATTAATTTTTTTGTTTTGTTTTTGCAAGTTCTACCAAAAAAAATCTGTAGTGACTTAGAGCAATTTCTTTAAACCTAGTGAGGACGATGCTATTTTATTTAACAATACTGTATGTGGGGAGAACCTCTGTGGAATGTGCTGAAATCTTTGGGACCAAATGTTGTTCTGTGTGTTTTATATACAGCAGCAGCAAGATAGTTGTTAAAATGTGAAAAAGAACCAGTCACACTGGTACATTTTAGAGTAGCTGCTCAAATCAAAAATGTTTAATCACAGCAGTGTCAGCCAGCAGCCAAGTGATCCTTAAATGTAAATTAAATTAAAATAGCTTTATTGGTATTAACTTGAAGTCATCTTTAAAAGTAGATGGCTTATTGCAGACTTTCAGTCGTTTGCGGCCCATTTAACCAGGAAGAAAAAACACTACACAGATGCACCCGTTTTAGGTGCCGATCTGTAGCTGCAAAACAGGGGCCCACCGCTCCGTCCTTTCTGCCACAGGAAGATGGATTCTGCTGGCCACAGGCGATATCGTCTGTGTGAGCAGAAAAATAGGATCCAAATCTAATGGGAGACTCAAGCATTGGTGAAAAGAAAAATTCTACTTAAATCTTCCAGCCTGAAATTCTCTTCTTGTCTATGTCCTTGCCACAAACGATTATTTTAATAGTCAACTAATCGCCAGGTTTGGTATTTGGCAATTGGTCCACTAATCGTGTTGTACATGGATGCACCAGGATGCAGCTGCTCTAAAATACCTATCATCAACTACTAGTTAGAAGTGTGAACTGCTATTTGCCTTCTGACGATAAAGATAAGAGGATAGTTTTTCAAACAGGGGTCTCATGTCCCTCACCAACGAGCTCAAAATTACCCTGGTCAGAATGTTTGCTTGCTAACAAACTCATCCATTCAAAATGAGTGCTTTTTTAACAGTGCAACATAGTGAGATACAATAAACCGTTAGCTTTTGTAACGTTTGAGCAAATATGTGGCATAAGTGTGCTAAAGGTAATGAAATTGTCATCACTACTGTTGTTGCTTCAGCGATAAATACAAGTAACTCCCTGTTGATGTTGGCAGCTAACGTAAAATAATACGTTATCCGCCACGACATGCTTCCTTTTCAGATATTCATCCATCACTGTTCTCTTGTGAGAGGGGAGTTCTACTTTGCAGATTTTGCACTGTACATGCTTCTCTTTTATTGTTGTAAAATGCTCCCAAAATGCACCCAAACTTTTGAGCTACGTTGTCAGCTTGCCTTGTTGTGTGTTTTCCTGTGACGCAACTGCTCACCTGGATGGCCACTACTGCGCATGTGCCTCCAGCAGAAAGCAGCAGAGACAAACGAGATTAAAAAAATCAATGCTTCATAGAATAAATTATATTGATTATTACATTTATTGTCAACTATTTTGTTTGTCGGCATCATTGTGACTAGGGATGTAAGACATTATTTGTATGGCAATTTATTGCAATATTATTTTATGTGATATTATATTAATATTTAAAAGACGTGTATCGAATTTTTGGAAGAATTTACATGCAAACATTTGTGTATTTTCTTTACTTTTAGTGCAATTCAAATGCCGACTGCTAGTTGGCAGCAGTGTGTGTCCACCTTTCAAATGTAAATTCCTCTATTATGATTTAGATACCTCATGCTAAACATGTTGCGTATCAGTTTGGGCTGTTTATTGAATTTTCCTACAATAAATTCTGTTAAAGAAATCACTAATTACTGCCAAATCACTAATGTGATTTGGCAGTAATGGCAGAATGTATCGCAATATATCGTGATATATTGTATCGACTCGCGTATATCGTGATACGTAATCGTATCGCCAGAATTTCACCAATACACATCCCTAATCGTGACAAAGCGACAGCGACATGGCAGCACCACTCCTTGCATTGTTCTGCTGATTCACCAGCTTGCATGCACAGCCTACCTGACACCAACTCAAAATAAACTTAGAGGTTTCTTGAGTTTCAAGTAAAATAAAAAATATATATAAATCAGAGTGTATTATGTTGATTTTCATTTTCAAATGAAGTTCCTCCAGCTAACTTTTGACAAGATCTATTATTTTCCATAAAGTGAGAGTAATGCCTTCCTCTGTTCTGGTATTTGTTGTTAAATTAAGAGTTTTAGGCTATTTGACATTTTCCCTCCTATTGTGAGTCACATAGGAGCTGCAAATGTTTTTGTTTTTTTTTTCCAGATAGGGAGTAGCAGTTTTCATGCAAACTGATGAAAATCAGTAGATAAGGTCTGGGAGTACACTTCCTCTATAATTCTTGTTTTTAATGCTCTATGATTCATTTGTGGGAATGAAGTGTGTCTTTCCCATCAGGGTATTAATATGGAAGAAATAAAATCTTGTAATTTACAATGTTCAATTAAAATAAAGCTGAAAAGTACTAAATAATGCTAATATTTTAAACTTGCAAATTCCCCTCTACAGGGATGATTGATTTTTGTTCATAGTGACGCTCTTTGAGCTAAAACAAAATACTTGCCTATTTTGTCCCTAAAGCCCCTAAAAGTCCAGCAGCCTTTTGGAAGCCCTAACAAATGGAGAGCAGGATTTGAAAGAAGTCAGGAAATGACTTTTTATTTATTTTTTTACCTCATTCTTGTGCCCACATTTTTTACCTCACAAACACCGATGTCATGCTGATGTTTGCAGGAAGGGATCACTTTCCTCTTGGTGGCAATACTCTGTCATCAGGAGTTAAGGTTTTTCTTTTGTGGCCTTTAACCTCACCATGGCAACCCTTCCTTATACTCGGAGCACTCAGTTTCTGCTGCATCTGACATTTCCTTCACTCAGCCTAAACACACACTTGTGTTAAACTTTTTAGGAGTTAGAGAAAAAATAATTCCTTGAAACATTTCCAATAATGGAAAAAGACGATAAAGAGGTTATTTTTGTCACTGTTTTTTAGGCCATGCGCACACATAGCCAGGTTTTTGGAAAACTGATTATCGTCCCTCGCCCAGCTAGAAAAAAAAACTTTGATCCACAAAAATCTAATTAATTGTGAAAAACATTCATTGGCAAGCCTGTAGGTTGCAGTAGTTACCCGAATCATTGGTGTCTTAAACAGGGGCCCACAGGGGCCTGGGCCCCTATAGAACCGACCCTGGCCCCTGTTATGGCCCCTGTGCTGAAGAGATCGGAATTTTTTTCTCCTGCGCTGCCTCGTTTTCAGAGAAGTGTTAGTTCTGTTTGGGAGTGAATCTTTTGCTCTAAACTACAGTCGGAGTTTCAAAACCACATTCAGACGCCATATTGCCACTCTACATACCCTTGGCGGAGACCTCCGTTTTAGATCCAGAATGCCAGGTCCTCTGACCCCCCTTTGGTACTGGAGCCGATGAAACGGCGTACGGTACGACAGACTAGTCTTGGAATGCCTCTAGGTAAGCGACAGGTGTTGGACAGCGTCGGCGGGACCCTGAAGGGTCAGTGAGTTCAGCTTTACTCTGAAGGAGCGTTGCGTTCAGGTGTAGCTTGCAACAGATTTTGTTATCCAACTTGTCAAGGTTCTTTGTGGTTAAAAAGTTACGAGTGGCTGGCCCGAAACTCTAGAACGTTTGAACACTGAGTTAAGATGGCGTGGGACATAGTTTTATAATTTGGACGTTTTGATTTCAAAGTCAAAGTCATTTATTGTCATATTCTCCACATGTGCAGGACATACAGAGAAATGAAATTCAGTTTCAGCACACACAATTCAAATTTACTGTGGAATCAAAATTTGACAACAAAAGGGGGTAGTATAAACACCAGACAAAGCCATGCCACGCATCAGAACGAAAGCTCTGATTGGATGAGAAAAAGGAAATGTGTCATGTAGGGCTGCACAATATATCGAAAAATTATCGTCATCGCGATAACAGGACGTGCGATAGGCCCATCGCAAAGCACGTCAAAAACGGCGATAAATGTTTGGTTCAAACATTTCCATCGGTGTCATACATCAACTTTTTGTAAACCAGTTGTGTTTTTTTACACGGAAGTATTATTTGACCAATCAAATGTAGCCCTTCTGATATGCGGCCAATCAGATGGGTCCATTCACGTAATACGCCCGCCTCCTACGTAGACCTTAGGATGGGTGGAACGCAGCACCCGAACTGAGTTTACGGCGCCGTTCCCTTGTTCGTCATGCTGGCTCAGATTAACAAACGCACTTTGTGCTGAGGTTTCTGGAATCAGCGCTGCTTTCAAACGTGAACGTGAGTCCGCTCGGTGTCGTTAAGCAGCTGATAGTAACCGGGCTGACTCCGACACGTGCTGGTGAACCAACCCACCCACCTTCATGTCGCTAGTGTTCCACCGGGTGGTGATGTTAGCCCCAGGCTCCGGTTAGCTTCCAGCTAAAAGGCTACAGCACTCTCCTCCCAGTCCCACCCTGCTACAGAGGGCCTGGAAAAGTTCCCCCACACATCAAAGTGATTTTTCATTTATGAGCTTTTATAACCTTGTTAATCAGGATAGTTGATTTGCTGCTGCACATAAACTGTCAGTCAGAAGCTCTGCTAGCCGGTTATCTTAAGAGGGGCTAGTTAAATTTGTTAGCTTGTTATCTGAATCATAGTTGCAGTTTCATCATCTGAGCTGCTTTTTAAGATCTAGGTAAACTTGTTAAATTTGGGGTTAAAAACAAACGTTTTCACATATTTTCCATGTAGTTTTTTGCCAGTTCCTCTTCTGAAAGGTAGACAATTGTTTTTCTCTTTCCCTCAGAAAATCTTAATATTCTCCTAGTTTGGCCCAGCACAGTTCACTTCCCAATTACAGCGACAGCCTTATATCATAACCACATAAGTGGAGAAAATGCTCAGTAGCAATGAGAGAGCATGCTGTTGCATTTAAGTGATGTTAACTATTATTTAACATTTAAACTTATTTTCTGATTTTTTTATTTATTCAAAAACCCTGGTACGGGATGTTTTTCTGTATTTGGAGCATCAGAAAAGGTTTTATGGTGGTGGTGATGTTTTAAAGTCACTGAGAAAATGCATGCATGCAGTTTGTTGTTTTGCTGCTAATACAGTAGCAGGTGCAGCTGCTAATACAGTAGCAAGTGCAGCTGCTAATACAGTAGCGGATGCAGCTGCATATTTTTGCAATAAAAATGTTATGTTGTAATGGAATTCGTGCATTAGTTTTTGTTTGCTTTGAGCCCAGAGCAGACGTCACACGCCAGACGACATCAACACTGCATACTTTAGTATTTGTTCATTTATCGCGAGTAATATCGATATCGCAATATTAAGCACTGTTATCGAATATCGCTGGTTTTCCTAATATCGCGCAGCCCTAGTGTCATGTGACTTTAGCATTACGTGTGTCATCAGAGTGTCTAGTGCAGCTGTTTAAGATATATTCTTATACAAATACTACTGATTACAGTATTCTGCAGAAATGTGACTGCTTCTGATAATATTTTCTCACGAGTCACTGTGAAGAGACTTGCTATTGTAAAAAATGTTCGTGCAGATGAAATTCCTCGTTTGTGACAACAGATTGTTCACAGTGCATTTGAAGGAAATGTTACCATAAAGACACTTGGACAATGATGCTTCTGCTCGCACAAAGAAGTGGTTCTGTCGTTATTTTCCAAAATTTAAAAGGACTAAAATTCAGCCAAAAGCACAATGTTTTGGAAGTTCATGAAATGGTGTCCGTACTTGTATTGTTTTAGTGATTCTTAAAATATCCACGATACTCTCCCAGTTTTCTCACTATTTTCGAGTTGTTTGCTACTATTAAATTTTCTCTCCACTTCTAACGTTTTATTTAAACACCTACCGTTAGATGGCTTTATTCACGTTTAGTTTTGGTTCTCGTTTGCTCGATTTCTTCTTCTTGCTGCTTCGTGGCTCGCTTTAACGTTTTTACTTGGTCGATTGATTTCATCACATGCTCAAGCTGAACTAAAGGAGTTGACACTTGGACACTCGAGAGGTCTCGATGCTGCAAACAAACACACACTCGCATGGTTTTCAGAGCCACTCCTGTGTGTTTTAGTATAAATGTCATGTGAGATGAGGTGTGCATGTGCGAAACGAGAGAAACACGGATACACGGTGACAATTTGAAACAACCTTGTCAATGTTTGTCTTCTCATGTAGCAAAACACGTTGGAGTGCATGTGTCATTTCCTCCTGTGGACTCCTCCATTGCCTTTGCTTATCCTGCAGGCTATCGACTCATTTTCTGTTGTTCAATATCTCCTCTTTATGTCAGCGCTTGTGTAACTTCATGCCTTGTTAGAGCAGGGCACAGCAGTGGATGCGTTATCTTTGCCTTTCCATTTCTCTATTCGATTTTGCTTTTTAGAAATACAACACAGCAAAGATTGTATCCTGCAACAGTTTTTATTAAATCTAGTATTTTATTGCAATTTAACATTGTCGTTTTAAGTAAAACCTGTATTGTTTGTGTAATTAAAGTGTAATCAAACATTTGTGTTTTTTCCTCAGTGTGTGCAGAGCAAATCGATCTAGATGACGACGAAGAAGACACTGAGCCCAGAGTGGTTCACCCTAAAACAGACGAACAGCGCTGCAGACTGCAGGAGGCCTGCCGAGACATCCTACTCTTCAAAACACTAGATCAGGTAAGGCAGTAAAACACACAGCATCACGTCTCTACATGCACTCTCGCGCCACACTGCAGAGAACCGCGTACAGATGGGTGGTGTGTGTGTGTGTGTAAGATTGATATATTTGTTTTTCAGTCTGTTTTAATGAGCTTAAAAATGACACAGATGAAAATGGTAAAACCAATTTCCTTCCAAAACACCAGATCAGTCTCTTGTTTTGAATTATTTTTCATGAACTCCATTCAGCTTAGTCAGCTTTAATCCCCTTGCCTACAAAGCCACGTGTCCATGTAGCTGTTGTTGTGCTTCAGCTGTTTCTCAGTAAAACTACTTTTTATAATCTTACCATTTTGGGGCATAAGTAGATTCTCTCTGCCTGACAACACACAATCTGACTTATATTGCCACCTTTGATTCGTCTGCAAAGATGTATTTTAGCAACATCATGTGTTGTAAGGAGCCCAGAACATACCTGCAACTTTGTAATTCACCAGTCGTGGCCATTTAACCACGTCCAAATCCAGAAACGGTGCTCATGGTTTAAATACAGGTTTAAGTTGTTTTTGTTGTTACTTCTCAATTCTGTTCCTTATTTGTGTTTCATAGGCGTGTGTGTGTGTGTTTGTTCCTCCTATAGGAGCAGTTCTCACAGGTGCTAGACGCCATGTTTGAGTTAAACGTCCAGCCCCAGGAACACGTCATCGACCAGGGAGACGATGGAGACAACTTCTATGTTATAGATCGGTAAGCACGGTTACTGAGTTCATTTGTTTGTTCTCTACTGTTTGTTTGATTCACTTTGCTTAAAAATCCAATAAACATAACTGGTAAATCAAGTCACACTGTGGATTTACAGGGAGTGCAGAATTATTAGGCAAATGAGTATTTTGTCCACATCATCCTCTTCATGCATGTTGTCTTACTCCAAGCTGTATAGGCTCGAAAGCCTACTACCAATTAAGCGTATTAGGTGATGTGCATCTCTGTAATGAGAAGGGGTGTGGTCTAATGTCATCAACACCCTATATCAGGTGTGCATAATTATTAGGCAACTTCATTTCCTTTGGCAAAATGGGTCAAAAGAAGGACTTGACAGGCTCAGAAAAGTCAAAAATAGTGAGATATCTTGCAGAGGGATACAGCAGTCTTAAAATTGCAAAGCTTCTGAAGCGTGATCATCGAACAATCAAGCGTTTCATTCAAAATAGTCAACAGGGTCGCAAGAAGCGTGTGGACAAACCAAGGCGCAAAATAACTGCCCATGAACTGAGAAAAGTCAAGCGTGCAGCTGCCAAGATGCCACTTGCCACCAGTTTGGCCATATTTCAGAGCTGCAACCTCACTGGCGTGCCCAAAAGCACAAGGTGTGCAATACTCAGAGACATGGCCAAGGTAAGAAAGGCTGAAAGACGACCACCACTGAACAAGATACACAAGCTGAAACGTCAAGACTGGGCCAAGAAATATCTCAAGACTGATTTTTCTAAGGTTGTATGGACTGATGAAATGAGAGTGAGTCTTGATGGGCCAGATGGATGGGCCCGTGGCTGGATTGGGAACGGGCAGAGAGCTGCGGCCTTTCTGCGTGGAGTTGCGTGTTCTCCCCATGCATGCGTGGGTTTCCTCCGGGTGCTCCAGTTTCCCCCACAGATCACAACAAGCCCTACAGGTTATAAATGGTAAGTCGCTTTGGATAAAAGCGTCTGCCAAATGAATAAACATAAACATAAAAACGTCCAGTGCACTGTGAAGCACATTATAAGCATGCAAGGCCTATAGGTGGCAATAGTTCCCCAAATCATCGTCATCCTTGCCAAAAAAAAACATGAGGTTTATGTTTTATCTTGTTTTGATCCATGTGAAGCTTTTTGTGATTCTATGTCTGTGATAAGTTCAAAATAAGTAAAATGTACTTATTTACCTCCACAAGCAAATACTGACTATGGACAATTTGCTGATCTCCACCTTGGTCTGAGGTTTATAAGGGAATCATTTTGGTGCTGCGTCACTTCATTCGTGTAGGTGACGAGTCATTAGCCACATCATTGTTTAAGCCGTAGATTTGCCAGCGATCGGCTGCTCATTGTTTTTACCTCATTTGCCACTTATCCATCCTCCACGCATCAGCTGACTTTTCAGTTAAGGCCAGCTTTTTAGCTCTGGGTCTGCTTCGCTCTCCGTGTGTTTACACTTTTCTAACACAGCAGACTCCTGCTTTCTGTACAGAATATTCAGTGACCTTTAAGAGCAGCACGCCTGCCTCGTCACACACTGTCCCGGGGTTTTTCTGTGGTGTAAAGCAGGCCGTGAGTGATGGCTAATGCCGTCAGCAGGGTGGGATGTAAACATGGACATTCAAGGTGAAACGGGAATTAAACAAGAAAAACGGAATATCTATTGTTCAAACGTTTCCTCTTTTTGTTCAGCCAGTAAGCCATTCTTTTTGCATATCCCCTTCATAATTGTATTCACCAGCCTTTGGGCAGCTCTGTGTACCTGTCAGCTGGCTCCAAACGGACCTGTCTTACTAGTATACTCCTATCTGGCATCACTTCAGTCAAAACGCATACCTGTCAGACTCAGAGGCCTATAAAACAGGAACAGACGGGAAACGCTCTGCAAACCCTCAGGCAGAAAAAGTACCAGCATAATTAAAACAGACATTCAGAATGTTATGGAGATTATTGTTGTAAAATGTTAACGTCAAAGAATAAATAAGCTAGGCAGCTGGCATTCCAGGATTCAGTTTAGTACTCTGTGTGTCACTCCATTTTTTCTTATTCACCCTGAGACACTGATGGTTCAGTTTTCTAAAAATGCCTTGGGTGTTCACAAATGACTAGAGATCAGTGCCCAGTGCTGGTAGAGATGTGTCCTTTTTTATTTTAGATGTTAAAACATCACCAAAACGACGCCGTCAAGGAAAAACGAGACAGAAAATCCTTTAATCCTTTCCCACTCTTGTCTAACAAATGTATCACCGTCCGCAGCTTTCACACTCGTGTGTGTGTGTGTGTGTGTGTGTGTGTGTGTGTGTGTGTGTGTGTGTGTGTGTGTGTGTGTGTGTGTGTGTGTGTGTGTGTGTGTGTGTGCGTGCGTGCGTGCGTGCGTGTGTGTGTGTGTGTTAAATAAACAGTGAGCAGCTCAACACAACAGCAGCACAAAAATAGTCTTCTTGCATCAGTCGTGGTAATAAAGTTGTCCCACGCGGCTACTTGAATACCCTTAGTAAAAAAAACACCCCCTCCTCCTCCATTCCCCCAACGTGTGTGTGTGTGTGTGGGGGGGGGGGGGGGGGGGGGGGGTCAAAGGGGGCGTGACCACTCAGAAAAAATCTTCTGTTTACGTCACGTCAATAACCTCTATCCAGTCAAAGTAAGCTAATGCTGCACCAGTGATGAGTGTTTTAGCTCCTCTACACGACCAATGAGAGGATCGGCTGTCCAGCAAAACGACTGGTTAATCCTGCCAAGAAACATGAATGCAAATTATCTTCCCCATCTATAATCCTCACGCAGAGAGCTGTGCTCTGTTAGCCGTGTTTACGTCTGGACTTTGTTGGCTTCACTCTCAGTAAAGTGCCAACTTCACCTCAAGAGTTTAAAGGTTTCTATACAGCTTTTATTTTGTGAATCAAACTCTAAAAACGGGCAGGAAGTAAAGAATAAATAAAAACAGAAATAATGGATTTTCAGTTGTTATTTTCTTTTTTAGTTTTGCCAGTTTTTCATGTTTCTAACTCGTGTTCTTCTCTTTAGGGGCCTTTATGACATTGTGGTGTCAGGAAAATGTGTGGGTCAGTATAACAATAAGGGCAGCTTTGGGGAGCTGGCACTCATGTACAACACGCCACGAGCTGCTACAATCATAGCCACTCAGGAAGGAGCACTTTGGGGCCTGGTAAGAGCACAAAAAGTACATATTTATGAATCAACATGAAAAATACTCCACTTTGTAGTGTTTTTGTGTGTATTTAGTTCCTTTTCATGCAGCCTTGGTTATGCGTTTACAGTTTTTGGTGATTTTCTGTGAGTGCCGCTAACGGCTCAGTTTAGCTCTCTTCATCCCACAAGCCATTTTCTCGTTTCCGTGAGTCGTACTGGGAATGCTGGGAAGGCGACCTTGTGATGCTCAGACATACTAAGAATGGAATCTGTATTCTATGAATGGAGCCATGCTCCAGTCTGAGGCTTTGTACTGCTATAGTGCCCCCCAGTGGTTTAGTTCAAGATGACAGAATTCAAACTGCAGGATTTCAGACTTTTAAAATCTTTGCATTTGTTTGTTTTTGTTTTTCTAGGATCGCGCCACATTTCGTAGACTCATTGTAAAGAACAACGCCAAGAAGAGGAAGATGTACGAGTGTTTCATCGAGTCTGTGCCGTTGCTGAAGTCACTGGAGGTGAGTTTAGGTTCTGAATTAGTCTGAAAATGTCTTGGACTTTCTTTGGCGTCCAGTCTTTTGGATTCATTCTTAAATGTGGTATTTTGTGCCATTACAGTGAAAAAGTAAATGAGCTCTATTTGAACTCGGTTTGATGCTAACTAATTGCTGAGTATTTTTGTTTTGAATCTTCTCTGCCCAGGTAACAGAAAGGATGAAGTTAGTGGACGTTTTAGGAGCAAAGCAGTTCTCAGATGGAGAGCGCATCATCACACAGGTGAGCTGCTGCTGTATTCCGGGGTTCTGCTAGTATTTCAAACACATGATTATACTTTCTGTGTATTTATCACTGCGTGGACTGTTTTTTCTGTAGGGAGACAAGGCCGACTGCTTCTACATTGTAGAATCTGGAGAGGTTAAAATTATGATGAAGAGTAAAGTAAGTGATTCTCATCTTTTCCATTTTCACATGCTGATTATAATTGTATTACTTGCTTCTTGTTTTTAAACACAGCGAAAGAATTGTTTAAGTGATGCAGTTGGATGGAACACACAGAATGAACATACAAAAGTTGGTTTGAATGGTATAAATACGTTAGACAGCGACAGCCCACGCTCCCCATTCAAATCCACCAGTCTGCAGGAGGGTTTCCAGGTTTTGCCTAGCAACAGCGGAATCACAATAGTCTGCTTCAGCCACCAAGTGCCTCTTACGGGGAGGAAGAACAGAACGTACTCACGGGGGGGCTCCTAACCTTCAATGCTGTTCTCTGCTCCTCTGGTTCCCTGCAGACAAAGGCAGGTCATGCAGACAACGCGGAGGTGGAGCTAACGCGCTGTAGCAGGGGTCAGTACTTTGGTGAGCTGGCCTTGGTCGCCAACAAGCCCCGGGCCGCCTCAGCCTACGCAGTGGGAGACGTCAAGTGTTTGGGTAAACATACTCACCAAGTGCATATCAGCATCTGGCCTAATGTGAAACTAAGAAGTCTTTTTTTGTGTTTTTGGAACATTATTCTGCTTCATATGGAGCTGCTGAGAAGTAAAACACTCATCAGTTCATCTAAGCCCGTTTAGTTCTCTCTAGTTGAGCGGTTACACATATGGAAGTGGTGTCAAGTGGCTTCTGAGTCATGGATTGGCGTTCACCTCATCTGCTCTAGTTTCTATGACAGGACATTTTCTGTTATTATTTTTGCTTTTAAAGTGGGTTCATTAATTCAGGCTCTGCAGTGGATGAGTACGGTGTATTGTGTTATTTATTCATACGCAGACTTCCTTTTTATATGTATTGTTGCTTATTTATGTTTATCATACCATAACACAGCCAGTCTGCTGCTCAGCTTGTGAAGTTAAACTTAACAGCAACAACGTTGTCTGTTAATAAATAATACGTTCTATTTGAAGCGCCTTTCTAAAAACTCAGCAAGCACAACAAAGGAAAATAATTACAGCAAATGACTAATGAGTTCAAAACCAAGATAAAACATAAAATATAGGTGAGTTTTGAGTTTAGTCTTGAAATGGCTACGTGTCTCCCCGCCGTCCTAAAAGATGAGCTCACGCCACTTTTCCTCCTTTTGAGAACATTTATTCTAAGCCTTAATCTGCTTTATTTGTTGTTTCTTTAAAAAAAACAACATGGACTTTTTTTTCATTTCTGAAACCAAAGAAGAGGATTTTCAGTGAATTAATGAAGATTTGTTTTAGAGGCCGACCGATATGGGTTTAAGGCCGATGCTGATTTTTGAAAGAATTTTGTTGCCGATGGCCGATATCTGATTGTGAAAGACAACTGAACACACACTGTGTGCAATATAAATAGTCAATACATCTCTTAATATTTATTGAACTTCAAATATCAAACAAACTCAAAACATTTTAAAAAACTGTGTGTTTTTGGGTCCTTCGGGTCCTTTCTCCAGTCTAGTAGTGGCGGCAGGTGGCCCCACAGGTGCCTTTTTTTTATCTGCTTTTAGAACTAATTTTGGCCAATGGCCGATGTAGAAAAAAATTGAATATATCGGTCGGCCTATAATTTGTTTGAGGGTTTGACATAGTTTTCTGCCTTTAGGCTCTGAGATTATTTGTTTTTATTTGATCCGTCCCAGCTGGTCTCAGATCATTCAGTGTTAGATGTCCTCTTGAATGCTGGTCTGGAAAGAGCCACATGTTGTAGCATATTGGCTGAAAACAGGAAGATTAAAACAAAAAACAAGTTTGGTTTATTCTTTTGAGCTGATATCACATTCTAACACTTGGGCAACTGACATGCTTACTTTTCTTCTGCAGTAATAGACGTGCAGGCTTTTGAGCGCCTCCTGGGCTCCTGTAAGGAGATCATGAAGAGGAACATCGCCCATTACGAGGAGCAGCTGGTGGCTCTGTTCGGCTCTAGCATGGACCTGAGAGACTGAGCCTCCCACACCGTCCTCTGTGCCTTTCTCACACACACACACACACACACACACACACACACACACACACACACACACACACACACACACACACACACACACACACACACACACACACACACACATCCTCTCCAACACCAAGAAGTTGTTACAATGGACTCAAAAGCTTTCCATATGGTGCAGAAGCATGGGATTATGGACTCGGCTCGTTTGCAGGTTCATCAGTTTGAAAACACTCGCTCTTTCTCAGACACACACCTGGTTGACACTGAGACACACTCCACAAAGCCTGCTGAACCCCCGAGCACATAATGGCTCAATAAATTCTGACACACAGCTGAAGGCCAGCTTCCATCTCTCAGTATGGATGTCTCTGCTGCAGCGTAAGGACATGAAGCACACATGCGCTCTAAACACAATAAAATTACACCATCATGCTTCATACAGGCTTCCCATTCATATGAGCTCTTGAACAACACTGTTGTTCTAAGCCTCAGCCAAGGACACATCTGCACACACACACACACACACACACACACACACACACACACACACACACACACACACACACACACACACACACACACACGTGAAGAAAACCTCCAAAAGATCTCTAAAATGGAAAACTAATCAAAAATGAAAAAAAAAAGTTTAAATACAGACAAGTTTTAGAAACATTTTATGAAGATTAAAACGGAAGCTTTGATAAAATATTATTTAAATATAAAAGTATTTCCTCTTTGGGAGGCTGGGTGCAGAACTTTGTGAGCGCACTCCATTTTCTTCCTCTACTGTTGTTGATTGAGTCGAGTTAGTGCTGGTGATTATTGCAGTACCGCAGAGGAATCAGTTAAAAACAACAAACCTTCGTTTTCTGGGCCATCGTTAACATGTCAGACGCCACAGTTCATTGTATTGAATTAATTATTGATGTGTTGATATATATTTTTTCTGTTTGTTTTATTTTGAAAACTTATTGATGAAATTCACCATTCATCTTTGGCAAAATGTAAAAACTGAGAAAAATCTAATAAAACATATTAGTGCGTCATTCTTCTTGATTATCCTTGAATGAATTGTCCTGGATCAAAAGAAATGTTGAAAAAATAAAGTGAAGATTTTGGTAAAACTTTTGTCTCCAAGTGTTTCACTCAAGTACATGCTTGAATATCCAACCATCCAATTTTACAATGAGCAGACTTTACATAATGGTTTTCCCCACTTATCTTTAGGAACAGAAATTAAAGAATTTTATTTCAGTATTTAATTCAGTGCAATATATATATATATATAACTATTTGTCCATAAGATGCTATTTTAATAGATTTTCTAACCATATTGTCTTGTGTTATACATGGCAGCAGAAAAAAGGCAACATTGTGGAAATTCTAAATTAAAATATTTGAATTTTAATGTAAAATGACAGCCTCTAGATTGCAGACCAAATGATTTGTCCAATAATTTTCAAATGTACTCATGGGGCGTTTTTTTAAATGTGGGACAGTTGTGTTCTTTTGAGGATGCATTTTATTTTGAAAGAACAGACATGTAAGAAATCAATAAACTAGAATTAATGCAACTACTAACTTATCAATTAAACGGTAATTGGATCACCTTAGTATTTTAAGACTGTCTTAGGGGGAAATGTGTTGTGTAGTACTACTCCAGTCCGCCGGGGGCATTCGAGATCGATGAAAAGATGCATTGGAAACTAACGCTAGCGGTGTTTTTAGCCATTAGGAACTGACAGTGGATCAGATACAGAGGGAGCCCATTGACTGTTGTGATCGTATAGTATGAAGTAAGCTGACCGCAGATCAGTTTTGATTTGGACTTCTGCACCGGGGGAGCAGCTTCGGCCGTCAAACAGCGATACTAAAAATGTGGGTAACGTTTTAATGTAGAAAACGGAAACACTGCAATTTAGCTCCATTTAGGAAATTTAACAAGCGTATTCTACATCTGTCTAACCAGTACTTCGATCATGAATGTTTTACAGCTGAGACGCTATTTAAATCATGGTGGCGCGTAGCTGCTAGCTTTTTCCTTATATAGGAAGAAGGGAACGGTCTGTAACGACAGCTTCCTGTCGGTGGGGAGGATGCACAACTGGAAATATACTTTTAAAGTCATTCAGCATCAAACTGTATGAATGTTGCTCATATTTTAATAACTACTAACTTTTACAGATAATAAATTCAGTTCAAAAACTCATCTTTAAAGTTTCGACAACGCAGGTCACTAAAATGCAGCCAGTGGGACCTCATTTTATCTACAATCTCAGTTTGTCTGACTCTGCAAACTTTTTTCATTAGTCAAATTGGTGAATAAAACAAATTAGTATGCCTTATGTCCAGAGTCATATTTGATGCAGGTGTCAATGAGATACTATTACAGAAACCGTGAAGTATTTAGAGAAGCTTATTTCTAGTGCACTTTAATGACATTGGTTTCATTAAATGTTGTACTCAGTACTTGTTTTTGCATAGGCAGCTTTATTTGTTTAACGTATTTCATACACAGATGCAATTCAATTCTACCTACTTTGATAGCACAGTTCAGCGACCTCTCTGATGAACAAATCTGAATTTATAATTATATGTACATGATTGAAAACTAAAATACATTAATATAGTGCGTTGCATCATGGTGCAGTTGCTCATTTCTCAGTTTTAAGGTTTCTCTGCATCAACACACCTGACTTTATTCATTAGGTAATTAACAGACAGGCTTCTTTAGAACTCGATGACGTCGGTGTCGGGTAGTTCAACCGTTGAATCAGGTGTTACGGAGCCGGGAAACGACTGAAACCTGAAGGGTTGTAGGCTACCAGCCAGTACAAGGATTGGACACCGCTGCAATAAATCAAGCTAATGCGCATGCGTGAAACATTTTATAAAAAACAAATACTATCACGTTTATTGACGGTATCCGTAGAGTTATTTTACTATCATCAGTTTGTTAAATGTACGAAATACACGTTGCCCTCATTAATTAAAACGCAGCAATTCAAACGAAAGCTATCGTACTAATCTGGAGGCGTGACGAACACCGCCATGTTCCCACAATGCATTGAGCGGGTTAGAAAGTTATTATTTTATGCTCAATTTAACTCCCTATATCGCACGTTTAACACACCTGCTATAGTGTAATGTTAAGTTAAAAAAATCATTAGCAAGAGCACATTTTTGAGTTTTGGAGTGTGTAACCGTAATGTAGACGGGTATGTTGGAGAATGGGCTGCGACACTGAAACGCTGTTTCGTTAGTACTCTTGTTTCTCTTCAGATCGTATAAATCTTTCGCCTTTTACTAAAGATTTCCGTGGAGAGGAACAACAAGAGCTTAACACAATTTTTTGATGCCCTGCCTTATGGTGGGGTCCCTTCACACTGTCTAAAACAAAGTTACGCTGTTAGATACGGGACTCAAACCTCGTTGGAGCTTTATCACTCCAGTTATGAGCATTTAGATAGCTATAAGTCTATTTAAGACTCAGCATTAGCGTATACAAGAAAAAGAACACCGTACATCAGAATAAGATTTAAACTACCTGCATCTCAATTTCTAGTCAAATTTCAGACACTTAACAACTTTTAGTATTTATTAACTTAGTAGTTACAGGCTGTATCTTTCAGTGTTGCACCGTTTCTGTACGTAATATATTTACAAACGCTCGATTTGAGAAAAAAATTATTCTGGGTTTTCATCGAATTACATTCACATGTGTTACTATACGTTCTTTATTATAAAAATCTATGACATTTTAAATGTAAACATTTAAAAGCGTCAAAAGATTATTCGCGCAATGCATTGTGGGAACACGGCTGTGTTTCGTTACTTTTTGCTTCAGTTTGTGAAACTGATTTATTTTTATATACATATGAACATCAACAAATTTCTTATGCATGTTTATTAAAGCGATTATAGTAAAGGCTGTATCTATTCGTTACTAATACATACGCAGCAGTCTGTTTATGAAGGAAATGTTTGACGCATGCGCAGACTTGAATGTGGGTGTGTATTCAAGGAACCGTAATGCAGACGGCTATGTGGGGACAACGGGTCCCAAACTCGAGAATTTCACGCAGTACACTCTTGGTTCTCTTCAGATCGAATAAATCTTTCGCCTTTTACTAAAGATTTCCGTGGAGAGTAACAGCAAGAGCTTAACCCAATTTTTTGATACCCTTCTCTGAGGTGGGGTTCCTTTACACTGTATAAAATAAAGATACCCTGTTAGATACGGGATTAAAAACTCATTAGAGCTCCTGTACTCCAGTGACGAACGTTAAGATAGCGTAAAATCTATATAAGACTTAGCGTAAGCGTATACAAGAAAAAGAACACCAGAATAAAATTTAAAATACCTGCATCTCAATTTCTAGTCAAATTTCAGACACTTAACTTTTAGTATTTATCTACTTAGTAGATACAGTCTGTAACTTTCAGTGTTGTACCGTTTCTGTACGTAATATATTTACAAACGCTCGATTTGAGAAAAAAATTATTCCGGGTTTTCATCGAATTACATTCACATGTGTTACTATACGTTCTTTATTATAAAAATCTATGACATTTTAAATGTAAACAGTTAAAAGCGTCAAAATATTATTCGCGCAATGCATTGTGGGAACACGGCTGTGTTTCGTTACTTTTTGCTTCAGTTTGTGAAACTGATTTATTTTTATATACATATGAACATCAACAAATGTCTTATGCATGTTTATTAAAGCGATTATAGTAAAGGCTGTATTTATTCGTTACTAATACATACGCAGCAGTCTGTTTATGAAGGAAATGTTTGACGCATGCGCAGACTTGAATGTGGGTGTGTATTCAAGGAACCGTAATGCAGACGGCTATGAGGGGACAACGGGTCCCAAACTCGAGAATTTCAGGCAGTACACTCTTGTTTCTCTTCAGATCGTATAAATCTTTCGCCTTTTACTAAAGATTTCCGTGGAGAGGAACAACAAGAGCTTAACTCAATTTTTTGATGCCCTGCCCTGAGGTGGGGTTCCCTTACACTGTATAATAAAAATACACCCCTTATGTGACGGACTTATCAGCTCGCACGAGCGTCTTGTTCTTCACTCATGACCGTTTCAGTAGCATCACTGAAACAAGACTGAGGAAAATTTAACATACCTGCATTTCAATTACTAGTCTAATTTCAGACATTGACAACTTTTAGTATTCATTAATTTAGTAGACAGGCTGGAACTTTCAGTGTTCTGTACCTTGTGGTGGGGATCCTTTACACTGCTGAAGAGTAAAAGCATGTTGTAATTAATGGTAACGTCATGTATTCAACATATTAACATATTCCAATCTTTCAATCTCAAGTTAAATCATTTAATGAAATTTGCTTTTGCTTTATATACAATAGATTAACTAATGCACTCGATTTGCGTCATTTATACCTTGTTTTTCCGTTTTCTGGATTATCCGCACTCATGAGTGTTACAAATATGCTTTTCAACTCGTTCTGTATTTTAAAATGACATTTGAAATATAAACTATTAAAAGCGTCAAAATATCCAATAGTGCAGTGCATTGCAAGAACACAGCTGTGTTAGTTACTCTAACTTTTTAGTGCTCCAGTTTGTAAAACTGATTTATTTCTATATTATGTGAACATCACCATATGTCAAACAAAGTGATTATAGTACATGCTTTATATGTATATTATTCATGTTTGACGCATGCGCAGACTTGAATGTGGTTTTGCGTTCAAGGACCCGTAATGCAGACGGCTACGTGGGAAAAACGAGTCCCACACTCAGGGGTTGGTCTGGTATTCACTCTTGTTTCTCTTCAGATCGTATAAATCTTTTGCCTTTTACTAAAAGTTTCCGTGGAGAGGATGAACAAGAGTTTTCTCCAATTTTTGATACCCTGCTTTGTGGTGGGGTCCCTTTTCTGCATAAAATATAAAAATAATTATAGATGCTGAAGTCATTTATGCAACCTACATACATTTAATAATGACTCTTAAACGCAAGTTATTTATTGAAATTTCACACTGAGGCTTGCGGCACCTTGTTATTTAGTTTTCTGGATTATCCGCACCCATGAGTGTTACAAATATGCTTTTCAACTCGTTCTTTATTTAAAAGCTACATTTGAAATATATACATTTAAAAGCGTCAAAATAATAATTCGTGCAATGCATTGTGGGAACACGGCTAGGTTAGTTATTTTTTTAGTGCTTTAGTCTTCAAAACTGATTTATTTTTATGTTATATATGAACATCACCAAATGTCTAATAAAGTGATTATAGTAAATGCTTTATCGATACGTCACTAATACACAGCAGTCTGCTTATGAAGGAAATGTTTGACGCATGCACAGACTTGAATATGGTTGTGTATTCAAGGAACCGTAATGCAGACGGCTATGTGGGGAGAGGAACGACAAGAGTGTATCTAAATTTTACACCCAGGCTACAAACATTTAATAATGTACCAGATCAAGTATTGCACTATCGGTTTCTCTTTTTCACAAATTTCAGTTAATGATGTTTTGCAGGTGATTCATGCGCTACCCTCATCTGGTGCTCCAGGTCCTGATGGGATCGACTGCAAATTTATTAAGATGGCAGCTTACGAACCTGCCCTTCCATTAGCCATGCTTTTAAATCTTTCATTTAACACTTGCTCAGTCCCTGCTCTATGGAAAGTTACAAAAATACTTCTATTATTTAAAAGAAGGTGATGCTTGCGAGCCAAATAATTATAGGCCCATAGCTTTAATAAATACAGGCATTAAAGTTTTCGAAAAGCTAGTATTTAGTCAACTTTATAGTTATCTCGAGGACAACAATATACTTTCTCAATTTCAGTCAGGTTTTAGGAAGAACTTCTCAACCACTGCTGCTGTAACCATGCTTGTTAATTATATTCAATAGGGTTCTACATGAGCTTACTCACTGGAGCAATTTTCCTCGATTTTATGGAAGCTTTTGATCTGGTTGATCATTATTTATTTTTAGATAAGTTAAATGCAATTGGGCCGTCTAGGTCGTCGTTACTCTGGTTTAATTCCTTTCTTCACCATTGTTTTCCATTTGTTTCTTTAAAAGGTGCCAACTCACAGATCAGAGGAATTTCTAGAGGAGTTCCGCAGGGTTTATCATTAGGGCCTTTATTGTTTTCCATTTTTGTAAATGATCTCCCTCTCTGTTGCTCCACATGCTCCATTTGTACAGATATCCAACTTCATATTGAGATCTGATGTATCTAATGTGTTTCTTTAAAGTGTTCCTTTAATTTTTGTGAGCAGTGTAGTATCAGATCGAATGATCAACTCTCTTTTGTTGTACCTTTTTTCAAAAAGAATCAGGAAAAACTGCTTTTTGTGTCAAAGCCCCAGCACATTGGAATAGACTCCTTCTGGAGATACAATTGATTACTTCTTTTTGACGATTCAAAAATTCTGTCTATTCACATGTTACATCTTCTTGCATCATTTTGTTTATTTGCGCAATGCTTTATGGGAACATGTCGGTGTTTAGTTACGCCTCTAACTTTATTTGTGTGCTTCAGTTTGTTGAATTTAATTTAATTTAAAATACAGACACCAAATGGCTTTTGCATCTATGATAAAGAGATTATAATGATTTTTTTATATGTTTCTCCTAAATACGTAATTTGTGATTAAAATGTTTAATGCATGCGCACACTTAAATTCGGTTGTGCGTTCGAGGAACCGCAGTGCAGACAACTGTGTGGGATGAAGGGGTCCCACACTTACTGCCATTAATGTTAGATCACTCTTGTTTCTCTACGGATCAAATAAATCTTTTGCCTTTTCTTAAGGGTTTACATGGAGAGGAACAAGAGTTGACCTACATTTTTGAAGCCCTGGTCAAACATATTGACCTTATTAGTGTTGAATGACAATCTGTGATAGTAACGGTGGTCCAAGCATTGGTGAATGCATGAATCCATCATCAGGGTAAAGGATTCAAACTTCTCACTACGATACAGAGATGAGCTAAGATATAAAAATATGTTAGAAATTTGCATCTAACCAGTTCCTCTTTAAATACTGCTGGATAAGAAAACGTCTCCTTATTATAAGCAAAAATATTTAAAAAAAAAGGCTCTTTATCAAATGTGTGAAGAGATGGATGTGAAACTCTGCAGGGTGAGAGAGGTTATAATGGTGTAACAAGTGGACCGTTTCTTATGAAAACAGCAGTTTCTGCTATGTGATCATTAGTAAACTACCAGCTTCCTGTTGCAAGACAGTTGTTTTTTGACTTTCTGTCCTGCAACAGCGACAAACTGATAACAGTTGGACAGTCGTCCACTTGTCTCTCTCGGTGAGTCTGCATTTCTCTTTGATGGCTGTCTTTTGTTTAAAGATGATAATTTAGTTATTTGATTTATATTTTTACCTGCAGGACGTGTCTGGCTCTGCTTACGATCATTTTAGAGCTAAACTTGCACAATCTATTACGCATTGGGCTTTCAACAGTATTCGCCACCTTAATATCATAAAATCAGCCTTTATGATGCAGAACAGCAACTGTGGACATTATGGTCCAACAATAAATAGAAATAAAAATGTGTGTGAAATTTCTGGTGTTGTTTAAACAAAAGGATCAGTTGTCTTAAAAATGTTATTATTTAGCAGGAAAAGTTTAATTTGTGCTAACATACAGATAAAATGTTACATCTCTGTGTTTTCTAGTGCCTTCGTGATGAAATGTGTCAGAGAAATGGCAGCTTTCTCATTCAAATAAATAATATTATAGTAAAGATCTGTAAAGATAATTATTGTTTGAGCACAGTTCAGGTGGTAAAGTACTCAAAAGGTAGTTATTTTTTAGTTCACCATCATTTTCTTCAAACTGAGCAGCCAAAGATAACGGGATGCTGCATTCAATTGTAGGGAGAAAATCTGAAAATTGCAACTTTTCTTTTGTCGGTTGAGTCCCGCTGTAATCCCCCGTGCTAAATAAAAAACATTACTCTTTTTTTTTCCTAAAAGCTTCGGTTAAACTTTGTAATAAGGTTCAAGAATGGCTTAAATTCTACATAACATGCCTGTTTTTTATTTTATATTTTCTTTATTAGATTTAAAGCAAAAATAACACAGCTGTCACATCAGCTCTGCCTTAGGCTGTTGTGTTATCGTTATTTTAGATTTGGTCTTCTTGCATTTTATGGATCACCTTTAAAATAAATGACTAATTCAAATGTGCACAGAGTATTCTACTTTTGGTACATTTGGAGTTATTTTTGTTTATATTTTTTATTCAGTTCTGGAAAAGAAAGCAAAAGTTAATTTGGGTTATTTTATAAGAGCCTGAAGGGAAATCCATACTTTGAGTAAACCTGTGCCAGAATATTCAGAATTTACTTAGAAAGTGTTTAAATACATGTAGTTTCGTCAGAATTTCTGTAACAAACCAGCGGGCACGTCTGCTCCTGCACAAGAGTGTCGTAAGCTAGACAGATCAGGAAATGCAGAACTGTTGTTGTTTGGTGCTTCTCTAAACTAAACACGTTTTTAGTCATTTCCTCTGCTCAGATGAAGTCGTGGAAAGTAGTTTTTATCAGTTTACCCACAGCTTTGAGGAACTGCATGCTCATGTAACAGTTTTCCATGCAGAACTTGAATGACGGCTGATTTAAACCCTGATCGTCGCAGGTCTGAAGCGATTTCGTCCTCCAGTTCCAAACCGGACAGCAGATCTGAGCTGAGTGTTGATCAGAACCAAGGCCCAACCACAGTCCATCAGCGGCATCGGGAGACCTGGGATGGAGAAGATCAGGAGAAGCCAGACACAGAGGAACCCGGGAGGATCCGTGCAGTTCCGATCCACCAGCGTCCGGACCTGCTGGTTCCCTGTGCAGATCTGGTCAACTCTGAGTGGCAGAGGAGCCAGGCAGCTCGGGTCCACTCCCTCCAGAAGTCCTGTTCAGAGTTTCCTGTATGTCTGGTTCTTCTGCAGGGAGAAAGGGGGTCAGAGAGGCTGCTGGGCCACGTCCGGCTAACCCGGGTGGTCAGCCACAGCAGCGGCCTGTTCGTGGAGTCTGTAGTCGTGTCCAAGGAGGAGCGAGGAAAAGGCTACGGACGGATTCTAATGGAGGAGACGGAGCGCTATGCTAAACGCAGAGGCTTCAAGCGCCTGAGCCTGACCACCCACGATAAGCAGCACTTCTACGCCCATCTGGGCTACGTGCTGTCCACGCCGGTCCAGAGCTCAGGCGCCGTGATGGCCCTGGTTCCCATGGCGATGCTCATGAAGATCTCCAGTGTCCCAAGTGGAGAGCAGAGCTGCAAAAACAAAACTGTCTCAAAGATGGATGTTTCAGGGGGTGCTGATGTATCATCTCCATCTGCTAGTTTACAAACTCCTCCCCCTCCTCCTCCACCGCCTCCTCCCCCCATCCATCCTCCACCGCCTCCTCCCCCCATCCATCCTCCACCTCCTCCACCTCAGTCTGCAGGGCAGCTGCAGACTCAAACTCTGACCAAAACTCCTTACAGAGACATTAAAGGAGTTCCCATCTTCTGGATGCACAAAGACATTTAATGAACCAAACAGATTTTATGTCAAATTAAAACATCCGTCATAAAATTACTCCCAGCTCTCTGGAACCATCCACATTTAGATTCTAAAGTTGTGTATTTACTCTTCTGTTAGATAAAAAAGGCTCTTTTTGCTCATTTATGAACTGATAAATCCCCGTCTAGATGATTTGATGCCGAAACATTCAGATACAAAGTGCCTTTTTGAACAATAATGAAGAATTATTGAAATAAAAAGATTTGAGCATATTTGACATGTTTTCTTGGTGTTTATTTTTGTTTTCCCTCTCATGATTGTTAATTTATATATTTTTTAAATTCTTACAAAGTGACACTTTATTCATCCCTTTATTGGTTTTTCATAGGTTTAAAGGATTAAAAATACTATTAAATGTAAATTTAAATGTCTATAATCATAAAATGTAATGTTGATATAATGCTTGGAGTTAATGTTTAAGTGCTTTAAATAAGTATAAATGTTAGGATTGATGTTCTGTCTCATCTCAGGAGGGACGCACCATCAGATGAGCAGCCATGGAGCTGTTTCTCCTCCAGCTGCTCATCATGTCTCCTTACTGCTGCAGCTCCCGGTCTCAGGAATTTACCGGCCCAGCTGTCCGCGTCCAAAAATCCCCACCCGCCACGGCAGGCCCGGTTCTGCAGGACCATCCCTTTATTGTTGTGTGGAACATGCCCACAGCAAACTGCCAGAAGCACAATGTCCAGCTGGACTTGGAGGAGTTTGATATCGTGGTGAATCGTAAGCAGCGCTTCCAGGGTCAGGTGGGATGTCATTTAAAAATATATTTAGCATTCTTTGTTGACATTTGGCTGCTTTTTCATCAATTTTTGGTGCTTTTATTTGACACTTTAGTGCAACTTGTGCTTCAAAAATAATTGAGAACAGTGATTGATGAATAAAAGACAAAAGGAGACATCAGGTCGTGGTAGACAGCTGCTCATACTGAGCCAGGTTCTGCTGGAGCTTTCTTCCTGTTAAAGGGGAGTGTTCCTCTCCACTGTCGCTACATGCTTGCTTAATAATAATAATAATAATAATAATACATTTTATTTCAACAGCGCCTTTCTAAACACTCAAGGACACTTTCCAGACAGAGATTAAATGCACAACAATAAAAGATAGAACAGCATAAAACAGACAGACAGATTGGAGCAAAGAGAGTAACTATTGGAATGCTAGACGGAACAGGTGGGCTTTGAGTTTGGTTTTAAAGAGAGTGAGGGAGTCAATGTTACGGAGGTCAGGAGGGAGTGAGTTCCAGAGCTGGGGAGCAGAGCGACTGAAGACCCTGCTCCCCATAGTGACCAGACGGAAAGGTGGGACAGAGAGGTGGATGGAGGAGGAGGACCTGAGGGAACGGGTGGAGGTTGAAGGATGAAGGAGGTCTGAGAGGTATGGAGGAGCTAGGTTATGGATGGCTTTGAATGTATATAGTAGAATTTTGAATTGGATTCTGGAAGTGACTGGGAGCCAGTGGAGCTGCTGAAGAACAGGGGTGATGTGGTGGAAGGAGGGAGTTCTGGAAATGATGCAGGCTGCCGAGTTCTGGAGAAGTTGGAGTTTATGGAGGGATTTGTGAGGAAGACTGAAGAGAAGAGAGTTGCAGTAGTCAATACGGGAAGTGATGAGGCTGTGGAACAAGGATGGCGACCGAGTGAGTAGTGAGGGAGGGGCGTAGGCGGTTAATGTTACGTAGATGGAAGTAGGCAGACCGGGTAATATTGTTCATGTGGGACTGGAAGGATAGTGAGGAGTCGAGGATGACACCCAGACTCTCGACCTGAGGGGAGGGGGAAACTAAGGAGTTGTCGACAGGAAGTGTAAAGCTGTGGATTTTGGATAGTAAAGATTTAGTGCCGACAAGTAACATTTGTTTTATCACTGTTAAGTTTGAGAAAGTTTGATGTGAACCAGTCTTTGATGTCAGATAAACAATTGGTGAGGGAGGAAGGAGGAAGTGAAGAGGAGGGTTTGGAGGATACATAGAGCTGGGTGTCATCCGCGTAACAATGAAAATGGATGTCAAATTTACGGAAAATATTTTCCCAGTGGAAGAAGGTAAGTGATGAAAAGGAGTGGACCGAGAACAGAGCCTTGGGGGACGCCAGTAGTGACAGGGAAGGGACGGTAAGTGAAGGATTTGAGTTGAATAAACTGAGTACGGCCAGAGAGATATGAACGGTACCAATCAAGCGGGGTATGAGAAATGCCAAGGGAAGACAATCTATGGAGGAGGATGGTGTGAGAGATGGTATCGAAGGCTGAACTCAAGTTGAGGAGGATGAGGATGGAGAGCAGTCCAGTATCGGCAGCAGTGAGGAGGTCGTTAGTGATTTTTATGAGTGCAGTTTCTGTACTGTGGCCAGGGCGAAAACCAGACTGGAAGGGCTCATAGAGGCTATTGAGGGTGAGATGGGCATGGAGTTGAACAGAGATTATTTTTTCTAGGATTTTTGAAAGAAAGGGAAGATTTGAGATGGGACGAAGATTATTGAAATTATTGGGATCAGTGCCGGGTTTCTTTAATATTGGAGTAATAGATGCAGTTTTGAAAAGTGAGAGAACAATACCGGTAGAGAGGGAGGAGTGGATTATGGCGGTTATGAGAGGGAGAAGGGAGGTGAGACATGTTTTAAACAAAACTGTAGGGAGGGCGTCGAGAGAGCATGTGGAGGGCTTGGATTTACAGATAATATCAGATATTTCGGATGAGCTGGGAAGAAGAAAGGAACAAAATGACTGGCGGGATGAAAAAATCTCAGGGGGAGGGGAAGAGCTTGGAATTAATTGCTGGTGTATATACGCAGTTTTCTGAGTAAAGAAGGTTATTAAAGAGTTACATGAGTCAGCAGAATGCAGGTGGGGGGTAGAGAGTCCGGGGGATGAAAAATATTGCGCATTATTGAGAACAGAGTCCTGGAGGACTCTGTTCTCCTTCATTGGAGGAAGCCAATCCAGAGTAGAACGCAGATTTTGTATGTTTAATAGAGTCCAAGTATTGAAGCAGATGAGTTTTGTGCATTTCTTTGTGTATTGCAAGACCAGTTCGTTTATGGAGACGTTCGAGTTGATGTCCTTTGGCTTTCATCTGTCGGAGTTCAGGGGTAAACCAGGGGGCGGAGTTAGTAAAGGAGACGGGCAGAGTTTCGACTGGGGCAAGAGAATCCAAGATATTGTGGAGTGTGGAGTTATAATGAGAAACAAGATGGTCAGGAGAAGCAGAACTAGGGATGGATATGGTGTTATTAATAGATGACAGCGTGACTGGGTTAATGTTTTTGATATTGCGGAATGAGATGTGACGGATAGGCTTAGTTCTTAAAGAACAGAGGGGGATGTTGAATGACAGAAAAAAGTGATCAGATATATTTACATCATTAGCAGAACAGTTAGATGGGGTTAAACCAGAGCAGCAGATTAGATCAAGAGAGTGACCTTTAATGTGCGCGGGAAAATTAGAATATGTTTGATAATCGAAGCTGTTGAGGCAGGAGGAGAAGTCTCTGGTGAGGGGGAGGTTCAAGTTGTCCATATGAATATTTATATCACCAAGCAGAATGACACTGGGGGAGAGGGTAGTGAGCTGGGTGAGTAATGAGGAGAAGTCATTTAAAAAGTCACTATTGGGCTTGGGTGGGCGGTAGATCAAAGAAGATCTCCAGTGTCCCAAGTGGAGAGCAGAGCTGCAAAAACAAAACTGTCTCAAAGATGGATGTTTCAGGGGGTTTCAGGAATGGGGATTACTGTAAAGTCAGTGACTCCACTGGATTTCCTCAGGCAGGAAACGTTTAGGCAGGTTAACTCTTAATTAGTATAAGTCAGTTCGATTGGAATGCCTACTTGAGATAACTTTTTGTGAGTTGAACTGAACTGAATTAAATCCACAGCAGAGTGTCTGTCAGTCATGTCTTTGGGCTGAGAATGTGCACTTCAGAGGTCACCTGTTCCTTTTTTCTTTCTAATCCCAGAAAATGACTATCTTCTATCGGGATCGTCTGGGGGAATATCCATACCTCTCCCATGATGGCAGGAGGATGAACGGAGGGCTCCCTCAGCTGGGAGACCTCTCTGCCCACCTTTCCCTCACAGTAGCACAGCTGTCTTTTCTGCTGCGCCCCAACTTCTCTGGTTTGGCTGCCATCGACTGGGAGGAGTGGCAGCCGCTCTGGGAGAGCAACTTCGGATCCAGAATGGAGTACCGGAGGCTCTCCAAGCAACTGGTGAGGCAGGAGAGACCAGATTTGTTGGAGAAGAATGTGGCCTTGTTGGCACGGCAACAGTTTGAGGAAAGTGCTCAGCTGTTTATGGAGGAGACGCTTCGGCTGGTGGTCAGGAATCGACCCAAAGGATTCTGGGGCTTTTATGGTTTCCCTTCATGCCTAAATAAACACAAAAGAAAGACAGGTAGAGCTAACACTTGTGACTTTAGAAATCATAAACTGTTAAAGTCTGGTATGATGGTGTCAAAAATGTGTGCATTTTTTTGTTCGATTGGTCAGATAAAACCTACACTGGACGATGCCACAAAGGAACCAGGAAGCAGAATGACCGTCTGTCCTGGCTCTGGACCCAGTCCACAGCTCTGTATCCCAGCATCTACCTTCCTGAGAGGCTGGCCGGATCTCCAGACGCAGCTCTGATGGTCAGGTACAAACATCTCCATGAGAGTAGGATGTTAAAGCTTGAGCAGCAGCATGTTCAGGGGGATGATGGAGATCCCTGACTTCTTTACCCAGACACAGGCTACTGGAGGCTTTGAGAGTTGCATCCCTTTGGCGTCATGGCAACAGCACCAACCACACCACACCTGTCCTTCCTTATGCCCGACTGGCGTTCACACACACGCTCAACTTCCTCAATAAGGTTGTAAACATGTTCAAGTCAAACTCAATCTGGAAAAACTTTGATGACATACAACAAACTTCAGTGTGTGTGTGCTTTTGTGTGTGTGCGCGCGCAGACAGACTTGGAGCACACACTCGGGGAGAGCGCATCCCTCGGAGCAGCCGGAGTTGTGTTGTGGGGAGAAATGAAATTTGCCAAATCCAAGGTAAATGGGAAAAGTCCTCACAAGTTGTCTTTATGAGTTTGTGTGTTCTATCTTGTCTTCTCTCACCCTGCAGCAACAGTGCATCCTTCTCAAAAACTACATTCACAACACTCTGGGTCCATTCGTGCAATCTCTGAGGTCCAACACGCAGAGCTGCAGCGTCCAGCGTTGTCACAGTAACGGACGCTGCATAAGGCGACGCGCGGGCGCAGGTCACTGGTTATCTCTGGCTTCTGCTCCCTCATCGGACCCTTTTGAAGGTGATGGTTCCACCAGCAGCAAATATTTTCACAGATATTTCCTGTGTCAGTGCTATTCAGGCTGGACTGGACCGGAATGTTGCAGGAAAGAGGAAGAGATCTAACATTCATTGTCTTCCTAAAGGCCTTATTCATTTAAATCCTCTTTCAAATAAAGGTCTACAAGACACAGTGTTTGTGTTTTGGAGTTTTTGTTGTTAAAAACTAAATTTATCAAAAGAAAATCTAAAACAATTAATTTGAAACATGGTTTGCAGTACCCACATTTGACCACTGGGTGTCACTCTTACTTCAATTCAAGGTATTTAGTCTCTCTCTCTCTCTCTCTCTCTCTCTCTCTCTCTCTCTCTCTCTCTCTCTCTCTCTCTCTCTCTCGCACGCACGCACGCACGCACGCACACACATATGTTTTGTTGTTTCTTTGCTACACTTAAAATAACTTTCAGACATTTTCCTTCTATTTTCTTCATGAAAAAATCTGAAAGTCTCAAATACAATTTTTCTTTTTAAGAAAAGTTTGGATTTGTTTAAAAATATGAAGTTTATGTAAAAATTAAAAATAAATCGTTTTAACTTTTTTCTACCCATTCTTGGAGGAAAAATACAGATTTTACATTAACACATGTTTACTTTGTTTTTAATTAAACGTAATCAAAATCCCAGAAGGAAATACAATTTTAATCTTCCAAGTGTTCATCCAATTTTCTTTTCTTTTCTTTAACTAAACATTTAACAATAGATGGTTGAACATCTGTAAAGTGGAAATAAATAAATAATCCAGTTTCATCAAAGAAAAAATTGAAATAGCTTTTTTATGCGTACTAAAAGAGAACACGCTTTGTAAATAGTCACATTTAGTCTTTACACACTAGAAAACATTAAAATCCTCCTCATGTTGCTCCTCTCAGAGCTGTGAGGTTTCGTCTCAGCTCCTGCAGCTCCTGGATCAGCAGCTCCAGCTTTGTGGCTGCAGCCTCCTTTTCTCTCACAGCCTCAATCAATGTCCGAATGGCGCCGCCCTGCTGGACTGGAAAAGGAACAGATGCACACATTCTGCTCATCAAAAACCAGCAACTCTCTAAAAATTACAATTCTAAATGAAAAACAGAAGGAGACCGATGCAGTTTTAAGTGGAACAGAAAACTCAGTAGGAACAATGTCCAGGACGAAAATGCATCACCTAAGAAGTAGAAGATGAGCAGCACTGTGAGCAGGAGCAGTGTGATAATGGCACAGCCCATGGCGTAAGCTCGTGATGAGTTTGGTGTCAACATGTCCTGCAGACGACTCTGCCACTTGTTGTGGAGTGGGTGGCCTCTTGGACTGACAGCTGACCCGTCGTGTGTGTGTAGGTTCCCGTTCGAGGAGAGTGTGTACATAGGGCGAGGAGGCCTCATTCCTGGAAACATGAAGGAGTCAGCAGGTATTCTGTGTTCGTGTAGGATCGTGTGTGTGTATACCTTTGTGGCTGTGATCGGGGTGTGTTCTATGGAGGTCGTTGATGGAGTCGACAGAGTGCAGCTCGATCTCCGTCAGGTCTCGTTCACTGACCCTGTAGAACTGAGGAGTGGTCTCAGTGGATGGAGTTCGGGACATGCTGTCCTGATTTGAGGCAAAAGTTCAAATCTAAAGAGATTATTAGAGACCGACAAATGTAATTAGCTTATTTAAAAAGAACTTATGCTTGTGTTTATTTTTAAATTTATTTTGAAAGTTCTGGATTTTTTACACTGCACATGGATTAGACTTCCCGTCGGGCCTTGTCTGAACTGCTGAACTTGATGCATTCTGGAAGCGTAGCGCATAAAAAACTCACTTGAAATGTAAATTTAGCGGAGCAACGCATAGAGATGGGTACATTTGAATCGATTCGGTACTAATTCCCGGTACCTAGGAATCGATACCGGTACTTAAGGTACCAATTTTTGATACTTTTGAGTGTTTATTATTTTAATTCTCTTTTATAATTAAATACATATTTTTCTCAATTTATAACAATATTTGATAAATATCACGATAAATAACATTCAACTGTTTGTATTTTAACATCGTCCTTGTAGTTTTATAAGCTGATAATTAAACTGAAGCAAACATCTTTACTGTGAACTAAATTTACCGTGTATCTTCATTCCTTTTGCCGTCCTTTTTCATTTGATTTTTCCTACTGGGAAGTTAGAATTTCCGAGGAGAAAGCGAACGCACCATTAGCTGATAACAACGGTGGCAATGGAAGCTAACATATCAAGCTAACGTTATCTTAAACAGTATATTTAAATGCTGGAGCAGATTAAAACGATGATGCCTCACACTTAGATCGTTGTCGCTGGTTTCATCTTCACCCAATCACCCGTCGCATTTAGTAAAGTGAAGCCAAACTTTAGAGCGCGTTCATGTTCCTCTAGTCGGAAATTCTGAGTTCCGAGGAGAAAGTGAACGCACCATTAGCTAAACGGAAGCTAGCATATCAAGCTAACGTTATCTTAAACATTTTATTTACCTACCAGAGCAGATTAAGATGAGGATGTCTCACTTAGATCGTTGTTGCTGCTTTCATCATCACCCAGTTACCCATCACATTTAGTGAAGTGGCCCCAAGCTTTAGCGTGCGTTCTTTCTACCATGCTGCTCTGTTTACAACCGGCTCACAGCGAGCGACGACATAACGCTCTTGCGCATGCGCAGCTGTCTTGGCAAGTTCTCGTTATGAAGGACAGGTACCGAAACGAGGCACCGTTTGAAATGACGTGAATCGGTGCTCGGTCGGTTCTATGGAATTCGGTCGTTACCTTAAAAAGTACCGAATTCAGTACCCATCACTAGCGACGCGCCACTACACTTCTGGGATATGCTCAAAAGGCAACACTTCATAGCCGGTGGAAACGCACCCATCCACTGTAGCAGCAGCAAATTACTATGCTTTACAGATGTTACACAATGCTTAAATGTCCTGTGGAAAGGCCTGGTTTGGTTCTGTGCTCAGCTAGGGAAGCCACATGGGGGGGTCCAAGCTTGCTGTCAGGGGGCACTGGCCCACCCTGGACCCACCTTAGAATCACCCCTGGCTGGGACTATAACCGGGGACCATTCGTATTTTATAGAAGCTTCATAGATATATCTGAGGGAGTAAAGATAAGTAATGACATTAAAAACTTGTCAACAGAAGGTTATTGAAGTCTGAGGTGTTTATTCTGTTGCCGTCCAAAATAAGAAGCCAAAAAAACCAGAGAAAAGACAAAATATTACATGTGAATTTACTAATATTACAAAATTTAGCAGATCATGAAAGGAATTTCTTCAAAATCTTTAGATTAACGTCTTTCTTTCATTTTGGATTGGGAGTAATCAGTAAATAAGACATCAGTCCTAAAAAGGACAAAGGACATGCAGCTTTTGGTTATTTATTTATAAAATGTTAACAAATGAATCATAGCCGTGTTGCAAATGAAAGATGGTGTGACAGGTTGTTTATTCTGAGACTGAGACAGTTAGATAATAGCTCTCACGGAGCTGCACAACTCATCTGTCACTTACGGCCTAAAAAAATCATCTAAAACTCCGAACCACAAGCACATAGGAACAGACTACCAACCTTATCTCACAGCGCTGCTGAATTTTGGGTTCTTTAGCCAGTCCTCGTGTTTCATTTCTCACATACTGAAACCTGACTGCCAAAGCATGTCTGGATCATCAAGAGCAGCAAGAAAATAATTTAAAAATCCACTTTTCCAGGAGCCACGTCAAAGAATTCAAGTTGGATTACAAAAGTAAATTTGAAAATATATATATTTTAAAATCCTGAATAGAAACTCCTGATCAATAGAAACAACAAAAAGGTTTTGTGTTGAGTGACTGAGTGATTGTAGCAGGCCCCTCGTCTCTGCGAAGTATGTTTGTTCCCAAATATTCCGATTTAACCCGCTCCAGCTGCTCTGAAGGAAAGCCTGAGAGGACTGGATCGTCAGAGGAAGGTTTTTCAGTCTTGTCACCCCCTCCCTCATACATGCACATGCTCATTTTCACAGGACCTCATGACCCAAAATAGCTCAAGAGACATGAGATTATTTTTAGAAGCTAGGGCCAAAGGATGACTAGATGACCTGGGCGGAAGGCATCATGGGGTGCACAGGAAAACACACACATCAGATTATTGCAGTTCTCCTGTTTAAACCTAGATTCTGTTGATTTTAGTGCAAACGCCTCTTCACCCTGTCCCTATTTCATTCTTATATCACCACTCTTGTCTCTGCTCTAGGTTTTTACTTTATTGTTTTTGCTTTATTGTCACGTTTTAATCATATGCGATGTAGTTGTCACCTATTTGGATTAGATTGTATTTTATTAAACCTCTTTTTAGCAGCTGCTTACCAGGGGCGCCCCCAGAAAATTTTGATGAGGGTGGCCAGATGGGGCCAAGGAAAATTTAGGGGTGGCACACCAAACGGGTCCTTATGTTACTCTGGGAGAGTTTAGCTTGTGGTGATGCATTGCATTGCTCCTTCTTATTATTTTTAATCAAAAACAATACATATCCAAATCTCTTAACTTTCTAGGAATATGTCCTCCATGACTACCCAGGGTCCAGACCAGGAAGCAGAGTCGTAGTTTAACCCACCCCTCTGCAGCTTCTGTACTGTTACCCACCCACTACCCCATAGAGACAGTGTCCTGCCCACGGCCAAAATCACACAGATTAAATATCAGGCTTAATAAAGCAAACCATGAAAATCTCATAAATATTAGAACAAATTCAACTGAGCAGAAAACTAGAAAAATTAAATGTGGGTTGTTGAACATTAGATCCATTTTTTTCTAAGACTTTGTTAGTTAATGAGTTGATTTGTGATAATCAGATCTCTTTGCTCTCTCTCACAGAATCCTGGCTGCAGCAAGAGGACTATGCTAGCTTAAACGAGTCGACTCCTTCAAATTATTTAAATCATCATATTGCTCGAAGTACAGGGCGAGGAGGAGGAGTAGCAACCATTTTTCATTCGGACTTATTAATCAGTCCCTTACCAATTAATAGCTACAGTTCGTTCGAACATCTTATTCTTAGTTTTCCTAATCCAGATTGCAAAACTGTAAAACCACTCTTGTTTGTAGTTTTGTATCATCCACCAGGCCCTTACTCTGAGTTTTTGGATCAGATCTCTGATTTTTTTATCAGATTTGGTGCTAAATACTGATAAGGTCATTGTAGTGGGGGATTTTAATATTCATGTGGACATTGAAAATGATTGCCTCAATGTAGCCTTTAGTAATATCTTAGACTCAATTGTTTTTACTCAAAGAATACATAGTTCCACCCACTCCTGCCATCATACATTGGACCTTGTGCTGACTTATGGCATTGAGTGTGAGGAACTAATGATCTTTCCACATAATCCAGTCCTCTCGGACCACTTTCTGATAACCTTTGAGTTTTTTATAACTGAGTTCTCGAGACATGAAAGTAAATTTCATTATAGTCGGTCTCTATCTGACAATGCTGTTGCATCTTTTAAATCAACTGTTCCATCTTTACTGTCCTCAGCATCTCAGAGGAACATAGCAGAGGGCAATATTTTCAGTTCTAGCCCCTCACAAATTGATGCCTTAGTTCATCATGTTAATTCCTCTTTACGTGTGGCATTAGATGATGTTGCCCCTTTAAAAAAGAAGGTAATTAGGGACAGGAAGTTGGCTCCCTGGTTTAATTCTCATTTACGAGCCTTAAAACAAAACTCTAGGAAATTGGAGAGAACACGGCGCTCTACGCACCATGAGGAGGCCTACCTATCATGGAAAAATAGTCTTTTGCTTTATAAAAATAAGCTTCGACAAACTAGAACTGCTTATTTCTCAGCATTAATTGAGGAGAATACGCATAATCCTAAATTTCTTTTTAGTACAGTTGCTAAACTTACACAGAATCATAGCCCTGAGCCATCTATTCCCTTAGCCCTCAGCAGCAATGACTTCATGGGATTTTTTACAAGTAAAATTAATTCTATTAGAAACAAAATCTTTAGCATTCTCCCTAATCCGATTTCTTCTTCCTCAGTAAGTGAGGCAGCATCTGAGATGACTTTAGAACCTCATCTGTGCTTGAACCGTTTTGATCCAGTTGAGCTTTCAGAGTTATCAAAAATATTAGCTTCATCTAAACCTTCAACTTGCATTTTGGATCCAATCCCAACCAAATTATTTAAAGATGCATTTCCTTTGGTTACTGCCCCCATTCTAAATATAATCAATCTATCCTTAGTAAATGGGTATGTACCACAAGATTTTAAGGTGGCTGTAATCAAACCTTCACTTAAGAAGCCTTCTCTGGATCCAGATGACCCAATGAATTATAGACCAATATCTAACCTTCCATTTTTATCCAAAGTCCTGGAGAAAATAGTGGTCATCCAAGTATGTGAGCATTTAAACACTAATGCTCTGTTTGAGGAGTTTCAGTCTGGTTTTAGAGAGTATCACAGTACTGAAACTGCATTAGTGAGAGTTACAAATGATATTCTTATGGCCTCAGATAAGAATCTTGTGTCTGTTCTAGTCTTGTTAGATCTCAGTGCTGCCTTTGACACAGTTGATCACAATGTTCTTTTAGAAAGACTTGAACATGTTGTAGGGATCAAAGGAGCAGCGTTAGGCTGGTTTAAATCCTACCTGTCTGACAGATTTCATTTTGTAAATGTACATGACAAATCGTCTTCATACTCCAGGGTTACTTGTGGAGTACCACAGGGTTCAGTGCTTGGGCCAATTCTTTTTACTATATATATGCTCCCATTTGGTAAAATCATTAGACAGCATGGGATAAACTTCCACTGTTATGCTGACGATACTCAGCTATATTTATCCATTAACCCTGATGAACCTAATCGGTTGGGTAGATTACAGGCTTGTCTTGAGGACATAAAACATTGGATGACTCTAAACTTTTTGCTTTTAAATCAAGACAAGACGGAAGTTCTCATCTTTGGACCAGAAATCCAGAAAAGGAAATTGCTTAGCCAATCACCTGACTTGAATGGCATTACATTAATCTCTGAGAACAAAGTAAGGAACCTTGGTGTTATCTTTGACCAGAACATGTCATTCAAATCCCAGGTTTCACAAGTTTGTAGGATTTCCTTTTTCCACCTTCGGAATATTGCTAAGATTAGAAGCATACTTTCCAGGAGTGATGCTGAAAAACTAGTTCAAGCATTTATTACATCAAGACTGGATTACTGTAATTCATTGCTCTCAGGATGTCCACTGAATGTAGTTAAAAGTCTTCAGCTTGTCCAGAATGCTGCAGCTAGAGTTCTGATGAGAATTAAAAAGAGAGATCGTATCTCTCCTGTCTTAGCTTCCCTACATTGACTACCTGTTAAATTCAGAATAGATTTTAAGATCCTTCTTCTCACATATAAAGCTCTTAATAATCAAGCTCCATCATACATCAGTGATCTGATTGTTCCATATGTTCCTAACCGAGCACTTCGCTCTCAGACTGCAGGTTTACTGGTGGTTCCCAGAATAACTAAAATTAGGACGGGAGGTGGATCTTTTAGTTATCAGGCTTCTCTCCTGTGGAACCAGCTCCCAGCCTTAGTCCGTGAGGCAGACACTTTGTCTACTTTTAAGACTAGGCTTAAAACATTTTTTTTGATAGGGCTAATGGTTAAAGTCTGATGTTAGCCTAAATCAGGGCAAGTGGGGGAGTAGAGGGAGGTGGAGTGTACAGTCGGTAAAGACGACTCTCCCATGCCCTGCCTCCAACATGCCTCCATCTAAATAGGATAGATTATCCAGTGTTATCTCTGTAGTTATGCTGCTATAGGCTTAGACTGCTGGAGGATACACTGACCACTTTCCACACTCTACTGCTTTCTTCTACAATCTGCTCTTTAACTGTATTACCTTCTGCAATTTCAGCTGATAACTTTATTTTCTCTCTAAGTGTTTTTCTCCCCAGAAGAAGCTACAACGATGTTCTGCTGAGCTGTGGTGGCCTCATGGAGGGGGCCATCGTCGAACACACTGCTCCTAACCACTCAAACATTCTCCTTCTCCTGATAATAACATTTTGCTTTCCTTGACGTTGGACGTGTTACTGCTAGTTTACCCATTTAATTAGAGATCCACTAGGATAAATACAATAAAGTTGATCTCACCAAATAGAATATTTACTAAGACATCACAATAGAACTATAGACACATTAGTGTGTGTGTGTGTGTGTGTGTGTGTGTGTGTGTGTGTGTGTGTGTGTGTGTGTGTGTGTGTGTGTGTGTGTGTGTGTGTGTGTGTGTGTGTGTGTGTGTGTGTGTGTGTGTGTGTGTCCCCGCTCTGTCTTCTTGATCCCCAGTGAGTCGTGGAGGATGGCTGCTTATACTGAGCCAGGATTCTCTGGAGGTTTCTTCCTGTTAAAAGGGAGTTTTCCTCTCCACTGTTGCTGCATGCTTGCTTAGTATGAGGATTGCTGTATATGATGCAATTTCCTGGGTTCCTTATATAGGACACATTATTTCCGATTGGCTTAATGAACTGTGAATTTGAATGTTTATTATGTGAAGTGCCTTGAGACGACTCTTGTCGTGATTTCGCTCTATATAAATAAACTTGAATTGAATTGAAGTAACACAACATTTCACAAAAGTACTTATGTGGGATAAGTATTTAGAATTTTTGAACATATTTTGACTTATGTGGGATAACTATTTTGAGCAGGTTTGTTTTACACTTTAATTGTAACTGGAGCTAGGGAAGCCATCATACTTCACTTTACATTAAATTGTTTCGTTTTTATTTTTTCATCAACGAATTGTTAATGGTTAATTTTAGGTTTATGGGATTTGATCGAAGCCACGCGCTCATTGGAGCACATATACTACGTTTCCCACAATCCTTTGCGCATTCCTCTATTCATTTACTGCGGACTGTTTGTTTTGCCAGGAATTCCACGGTGTTGCGTCCAAAGAGTTTGGAAACGCAGCGGAAGTGCTAACCGAACAGGAGCGTGGAGCGGTGCAGGAGAAAGACTAAAGGGGACTCCGGTGCCAGGATGTGGGCTCGGTGGATTGTTGGAGTCCGGGCTTCGGAGCTCGGGCTGCGGGCGAGCACGGGCGGTTTGTTGCGGGTCTCTGGAGCTGGATGTGCGGGTAGGAGGCAGCAGGAGAGGTCTTCCAGTGAAGAGGTACGAACACCGTGAAGTCTCGCGATAAGTCAAACTTCAACACACGTTTTTAAGACTTTAGAATAATTTTCCAATCGAGTTTAGAATAATTGGTAGATATTTAATGCCCAAATGCACAATCATTGTTATCATTGTGCATCTGTTTAGTCTGTCCCACGTGCCACCCCTGATCTATGACGTCACTTTGAATATCTGGGTCAGCTAATTTGATTAGGTCAACATTTGATTGTACGTTTAAGCCCAAACGTCATTGATCCACACAGATCTGCTAAATTAATCAAAGATACAAAGTTGAACAAGTCTTCTGTTTTTCTGAGTCATTTTGTGTTTCAACCTCATAGAAAACCTCAGAATGAAGGCATCTGCGGGTAGACTCACTCTCTCTCTTTATGTCTGCTTCACTTCATCAAGCGACACATGCACTTAATCCATGAGTGACTCAGGTGTTATCAGTGTGTGCTGATGCTGATAAGGCCCCTTCACCAGATGGTTCAAAGGTCACGGCACAGCATGAAGTGTGAAAACTGTGCATGCTGTCACAGATTTGGTCATCACCAAAGTTTAATTCAGATCTGAACGCTTCTTTTGAAAATGATTTTTGTCTGTTTGGAACTGGATTAAATATGTTTTAAATTATTGAAATCAGTCATCTTCTTTCATTAAAAAATTAAGTTTCCTCAAGATAAACATTAAAACACACCATATCCACTTTAATTCATTTTTCTGTAAATTCAGGAGTGTGTTCTTCCCCTCAGGCTGCCTTGAAGAAGACCCCGCTCTTCGACTTCCACAAGAAGCACGGTGGGAAGATGGTGGAGTTTGCAGGCTGGATAATGCCTGTTCAATACAAAGACAGTCACATCGCCTCTCACGTGCACACCAGAGAGCACTGCTCCATCTTTGATGTTAGCCACATGCTGCAGGTAGTCTACAAACCAAAACATATGCAAGGTGCATTCAATTACCTATGCTTGTCTTGAGTTTATTGGGTGAATCCACCTTCCTACAACTGACAGAAACAAACATACAAGCAGGATAATGAAAGCTGATTTTCTAAATGCATCTCAATACATTTACTTACATTTTTCTATTTGCTGGTTTTCTGTCAGACCAAAATTCATGGAAAAGACAGAGTCAAGTTCATGGAGTCTCTAGTGGTTTCAGATATTGCAGAGCTCAAGGACAACCAGGTACAACCATTACCTCCTCTTGTGAATGTTTGTGTGATTATATATGTAATTGTGATGTAGGTGACACCTGCTGTAGCAGAAACATCCACAAATGAGGTTTGACCCTGTATTTACACGTCCACACGCCAATAAAATACAAAATCCTGTAGTCTAGAAATCTAGACAAACCGTTGCAGTAGCAAAAGATTTTGCTCTGCAGGTCGGTCTAACGTCGCTCTATTGTAGCCTCAGCAGGTTTAGCATTGGCCTGAGTAATTTTAGGTTTGGCCAATTACAGAGCTGCATGTTTATTGAGAGACGTTGGGCAGGCTTAGCATCAGAGGTACAATGAAGACAAACTAAAAAGAGTATTTGCTGCTTCTTTAATGGTGTATGGTGGACTCTACCGATGACTTAGTGATAAATTTGTTACATTGTTCGTTGCTCCGATTGGTCCTACCTCTGTGCAATTGCATGCAGAGACAGTTTGAAAGACAACTGTGGATTTAGCCCCATGACTGAGCTCTGTCTAAGGGTCGTGGCCACACCATATGTTACTATATAGTAGGATGGCTTGCCAGGCTACAAATTCCATGCAGAATATGGAGAGGAAACACGTTTATCTAAAATAAAATGAAGATCAAGTTCAGAAATGGGTGTTCTTCAGTTCCTAGTTACTAAATAGGGGTGTGTATTGGCAATAATCAGTTGATACAACATATCACAATACTAAAATCCAGACCATATTTGCAAGTTTTAAGTCTGAATTTAATTTGGAAACTCAGGCCAGATGCTTCCAAGTGTTATATCCAGTGTTATAGCGAAATCTTGTGTTCGGTCAGAATGAAGGGCGTAAAAACTGCTGCCACCTAGCAGTCGGAGAGTGAATTGCTCCACACAAAAGAAACAGTAAATGTTTTCATGTAGATTCTCAAAAAGTTTAATAAGCAGCTTTAAAATATTGATTTGGTATCATACCACAAAATGTTGCAATACTTCAGTGTATCAATACAAACATATTTATGGAATGTTGCATCTGGAGGAAAATCCAAGATTAAATAGTTTTATTTTGAAATGATTAGTGAACATTTATCTGCTTTGACACAATAATTTGATAGTAACGGACACCAGAGACACCTCTAAACTCTCTCAATAAAATAATTCAGTCATTGTTCAACAGATTTCTTATATTCACTGAAATGTCTCTTTTTTTGGGAGATTTTGTTTCATTCTTGACCGCTGAAAGTCCAACTTTAGTGTCTATTCAGCTCCTTTTATCTCTAATATTTTCTGACTTGCAGCTAATTTAGATTATTGCTGACTTTGGGCATGTTGGTTGTATATTAATGGACAATGGGCAAAGAGTAATAGAAAAACAACTTACACTGCAAAAAGCTTGACAATTCAAGAGTTTATATTTTTATAAACAACAGATTGAGACAGTTTATTCTTTAACTCATTAGCATTCCATCGTCCCACCCACGGGACAAAACCCCACTGCATTAATTAAACCTGGGAATTTAAGCGATTAAACAAGAAAACCTTCACCAGTTTTGTGTGATATATATATAATCTTTGCCCACATGTCAGAGTACACTGTCCCTCTTCACCAACGAGAAGGGAGGAATTATGGATGACCTCATCGTGACGAAGACTGACCAGGGTTACCTCTACGTGGTCTCTAACGCGGGCTGTGCTGACAAAGACTCTGTTCACATGAAGGTAAAGGAATAGGTGTTACTAGATAGTTTTGATTTAAATAAAAATGAGGTCTGATGAGTGTGTTTGGTGTTCAGGCCAGGCTGGCCGAGTGTAAAGTTGCAGGTCTTGACGTAGATCTGGAGTTCCCCGATGAAGCGCTGATCGCTGTACAAGGTGAAACAGGCTCTGGGCTTTCTGTCGGGTTTTACCCTTTTATTTACTACATCTTGTAGTTTTTAACTTGGTTCTCTGTGACTTTGATCACATTAGTGCTTATTTTATGTCATCAGGTCCGGCTATGTCTCGGGTGCTCCAGGAGGGGCTGAAGGAAGACCTCAGTAAACTGACCTTCATGACCTCCACTCTTGCCACGGTGTTTGGGATTCCTGACTGCAGGGTCACCCGCTGTGGATACACAGGAGAGGACGGGGTGGAGGTAAGCGTTGCTCTTTTTTTATTCTGCTCCTCAGTTTTTAGAACAAAACTACTTCTCTTTCTCTGTTTCCCAGATATCTGTTCATCACTCCAGAGTAGTTGATCTGACGGAGAAGCTGCTGACCAACAGTGAGGTAAAGCTGGCTGGTCTAGGAGCCAGAGACAGCCTGCGACTGGAGGCGGGGCTCTGTCTCTATGGCAACGACATAGATGAGACCACGACTCCGGTGGAGGCCGGTCTTGTTTGGACAATAGGTAGAGTGTTATAGCTCAAAAAGTACTTTAGCTAATTCATATATCTATATCTATATAGATATAGATGTGTGTGTGTGTGTGTGTGGTGTGTGTGTGTGTGTGTGTGTGTGTGTGTGTGTGTGTGTGTGTGTGTGTGTGTGTGTGTGTGTGTGTGTGTGTGTGTGTGTGTGTGTGTGTGTGTGTGTACTCTGAGTTTGTACTACACTGTGGGGACAGTTTTTTACGTTTAACCTGTAACGTGGGGACATGGCTGTTCCCCACAGGAAAACGTAGACGCCAGACCAAAGACTTCCCCGGCGCTGACGTTATCGTACCTCAGATCAAAGCCAAAACCGCCAGGAAGAGAGTCGGCCTGGTGTCCACCGGCCCCCCCGTCCGACAGCACACACCCATCCTCTGCCCCCATGGACAGGTCATAGGTGAGGATGACGACAGTGGAAGGAGAAAAAAAATCATCTAATTCTAAAGGAATTCATGAGCATATAAATATTGTTAATCACTATTACCATTTGTCTCTTTTTTTGTTTTTAAATTACCACTAGGGGTCGCCAAATCTTCAATTTCCCAAAAATTTTCTAAACTTTTCCATTACAATATGTACTATACAGGTACTTCATTGCATTGGTATTTGAAGACTAGATAGCACTCTTGCATGAACCAGTCGTATTAATAAATATTGAAGCGTGATAACAAATCAGTAAACAACGTCATGGCACAGAAAGAAAGAAGCAGATTTGTTTCCCCCTAAACTATCACCAAACAGGCTGTTTGACGTAGATTTTTTTCCTAATATAGGTGAAGTGACCAGTGGCTGCCCCTCTCCATGCCTGAAAAAGAACATCGCCATGGGTTACGTTGACGCAGCATTCGCTAAGAACGGAACAAGCATCCAGGTTGAAATCAGAAAGAAAACACTGCCAGCAACAGTCAGCAAGATGCCCTTTGTCCCCACCAACTACTACTCTGGATGAAAGACACGCATTGAAAGACACACTAACACATTAATTCTTTGACTGTCCTGTATTTTATAATGTCGCCCCCTGCTGTTTCACTGTAGTTTTGAAAGACATAAAAAACAAATTATTTTCTAAAAATTCAAAAGAATTGTGAGATTAGATTAGATTATTAAACATTGATTTACTTTAGAGGGAATGTGCTGTGAATCAGAAGTATGTTACAGATGAGCCTACAAACAGTATTAGTCGTGTTTAAAACCGTAAACAGAAAAAAACTTTCAATATAGGTTTGTCTTTTTTAGAATTTGCTAATCAAAATGAGCAAACTTACTACCTGAAAAACTAGTTGGGTGATGTTGGAATCAATCAGAGTCTAATATTTAAATAGTTTTCTGCTGTGGAAAATTAATATTAATTTAATATAAAGCATTGCTGGACCAAAACAAACATTATTTCAAGTTTTCTAAAGTTTTCTTTAAACTTTTAAAGCAATTTCTATTTACAAAAATACTGTAGAAATTTAAAAGTTATACCAGGGTTTGATTAAAAAAAAACTCCTGTTCCGAGTTTGATTACTAACAGAAAAACAAACTGATTTTTGCTCTTTATAACTCAGTTGGTACAAATAATAAGTACATGGGACTTGGCAATTATGTGTTGGAGTCACTAATGCATACAAAGTAAAATGCACCTAAATGTAAGTTGCTACAACAGACAAACTAGTGGAAAGTATTTCAGAATGTGCTTACAGTTTACTATTGCTTAAGTATAATGTACTTTGTCTCTTTAACTAAGAAACTAGTACAATGTGTAGTTTTTACTGTTAATATCTGGAAATATTCATGGAAATGATGAAAATGAACAAAAAATGTTCGGTTGTTGAAAAATATTGGCGGTTTTGTACCATATAACCATAAAAATCAGGTCTAAAGTACATAAGGGTCTAGCGTCTTAGGGGGATGCTATATTAGACGCCATGTTTGCTTCTGGCTGGAACGGTTTTCTGCGCCTGTCGATTACGTCTTATAAAAAGATTGGCTGGATGTACGACTCAGAGAAGTTACGTTACCACGTTCAAAACATTTAGGCAGTAAGACACACAAATGTATTAACAAAACAGCTAAATTATTTCCAAAACATATGTGAAAGAACAGAAATAAAAATAAAGATGCAATATATTTTGGCCGAGCGGTATTGCCGTAGTATGAGGACATCATCGACAGGCGCAGGACCTCGGGCACATGCGGAAAGTACAGCGCCAGAAAACTAGCATCAACATTGCATTCTCTGGGTGGAATTAACCGAAGGACCATCAAAGTGTGAGGAGTCACGCTGAGGTTGCATGTTGCTGCTCCACAGGTAACATTTACCGTAAAGTTTTTTTTAAACTAGCCGTCACAGCGATGTGGTGTAAAACTACCCTCAAATGTATGTACTGCCCCCTGTCGTCAGGAAACTACACACTGCCACTTCAAAGTAACCGTAAGTATTAGTACCTCCAATACATAAATACCTACTCACGCATACTTTTACTTTTAAGGGCAAACAGTTTACATGCTTTTTTTCTAGTGAGAAGAATTAATCAGATTTTACAGTGCACTATCTAATTCGAACAAAAGAAATGGTCTGATGAAAAAGTGAAATGTTTTAGTATTAGGATGTAATTTTTTTACATGCATTTGTGGCTAAAGATTAAACACACTACAGATTTATACCTTGAAGTTATTCTACTCTCTGAAAAGTTTAGATTTTATTGTATACGTGATTTTTCTTCTATATTTGTGTTTTATCCTGTGATGAAATTTAGCTTTCCAAGAGGGGTTTTGAATGGTTTCCCACAATTTTTTGAACGTGCAAATGTAGAAGAGTTACTTAGTGTTTGTACTATAGTATCTGTTATGTGCTTAAACTAACTTTCAGGTTGTGAAATTAAACAAGGTGGTCAGTTTAAAATGTTTGCTTCTGCTTTCATTCGTTCTGCACTGTGAACCGACTTATTTCTGTTTGACTTTATGCAATGAAGTGGATGTAGGTTAAACAGAAAAGGCCTCATTTGCACATTTCAACAGACTGTTGCAAAACACTTGTGAAACAGGGTTTATGTTCATGCATGTATTTCACTTGCAAGTGTTCATGGTTTTAAGCTGTCTTTGTTATTTTCAGTGTTTCCCTACTTAAAATGATCCTTAACCCTCCCACTGTCTTTATGGGTGACCCCGCGAGGAAAGTTGACCAATGAGCAGGATTGATGGTTTATCCCTTGAGGTCCACGTGGCAGGGGTGAGGTGGTGCTCACTCCTCACCCCTGCCACATGGACCCAAGTGATAAACCATCAACCCTGCTCAATGGTACACTTTGCTCGTGGGGTCACACCCATTAGGACATTTGGAGGGTTAAGTTTTATACCAGTGGTTCCCAGATTTTCCATCTTACAACCCACAAAATGGCAGCTGTGACCTCAGATATACAGTATCTCTGACTTGACTATACAAACGTGCTTAAAATCTAAATAATTCGGGGCATAAAGAAAACTGCTTCAGCCCAAATTAATTTATATCCATTTATGACAATATTTTGATGTTTTGTATAACTTATGATGCAAATATAGCTTCAGCACTTGTTTTTAAATTTCATTTTGATTCCTGGAAATCATCTCAAGAGCCCCTGTAGCCCCTAGTGACCCACAGTGGGGGTCTCCTCTACTATTTCATATTATGCAAAAAAGCAGAAACTATATGGCAATATCTGTAAGGGACTTTATGTGTGGGATCTAAGTTTGTAAAAACCAAGCTACCCACAATAGTAGTACGTTTTCAAGGGTTTGTTTATTTGTTGATGTCTAAATAATTAATTTGAAATCCAGAAGGAACAGAGCACACACAAATATTAGAGATGACGTGGAGATGAGCAAATGTCTTTAAAGTTCTTTGAACAGTGATGTTACTAATGTGTTTATCTGTCACATGCATATATACTTAGAAAAACATACAGTAACTTGTAAAATTGTTTTAATAGGAAACGTTATTTAAAAGCAGCAGCCCCATGAAATCTCTTTTATACTTTTTTATTTAAAAAAAATATGAGAAAATATTAAAAACAATGAGACATAATAAAAATAAATATAAAACATAAAGTAAAAATGAGATACAAATTAGCAAAATAAAATTGTGCTAATTATACAAATTAAATAAATAAATAAAAATAAAAAAATAAAATAATATTGTTGACGGTCTGATGAGTCAGTCCAGCCCTAACCGGAAACGGAGGACATTAGCAGAAGAACCAACCTGGCGGCAGCAGCAGCCGGTTCCGTTCAGTGGTTACTGGGGGAAGATGGTGGACTTGGCGATAGCAGCGTGTTCAAAACTCCGTCCTAAACACTTCGAAGAACACCTACCATCTCAGCCAGGCGTTAGATATAAATTACCCGGGGACAATCACAGATAATACTTAGTGAAAACCGTTAAAGAGGGGCTTTTGTTTCCCGCCACAGTACTCTTCTTTTTTTCTCATCAGAGGTTGGAGACACCGGAGTTTTAAAACGTGGTGCTCGGGTTTGGTGTGCTCCTAAAGGGCGCTAAGTAAACTTGGTGTCAAGACGAGTGTGAATAAAATGGTGACATTTGTATAGCTGTTAACCCTAGAGCGACAGTTTAACCTGCTTTTTATCGGCTGCTGAAATCAGAAAATATCGGCTTCGGGGGAAGCTAGCAGTAGCCGTGGGAGCTAGCTTTGTTGTGACCTGGAGTATCTGAGAGCAGCTCGACATGCCGCGGAGTAAAAAAGGGAAACGTGGCTCCAGTAAGCCGGGTAAGTAACAGCTGCACCCTCCTGCTATTGTTTGTATAGTAAATAACACGACGGGAATAAGAGTCTAAAAAAGGCTCGATCACCAGCGTTCAGTCTGAGCTGTACTCGTAATTTTTAGGATCCATGTGGCACGAACAGCCTGTTGCTTCTCTGGTTTTCTAATGCTGCAGTCATCTTTAAACATTCAAATGAGTAAAAACAGCTGTTTCATTTCTCTTTATTTAACCATAAAACGTAGAAAAGTTATAAATGCTCAAACAAATCATTCTCAAAGTGACCATTCATTCTGATTTTTGATATTAAAACTGACCATACGGTGCTATTAGCCTTTTGGTTAAAAATAGAATTTTAATTGAATGACTTTAGAAGTTAAACCTAAATTTATACTCAGGACTTATGAGCTTAATAGTCATATAATGTGGAATTCCTCAGCTATTTGAATGACTTAACACTCAAAAACTTTTCAGGAAATAATCTGTTGAGATTTTTTTTTATATATTATGAACCCTGACGTTCTGAAGTTACAAGTATAGCTGTGTGCTATAGTTAGCAGCAGTGTCATCAGTCATTTAAATATAAACAGTAGATTATTCACAATCAGCTGATTTCTTTCTGTGAGCTAAAGGGATAATCCATTCAGGGACTACAGATGAAGGTCGTCGTCGTCGTCTTCCTCCGCTTATCCGGGTCCGGGTCGCGGGGGCAGCATCCCAACTAGGGAGCTCCAGGCCGTCCTCTCCCCGGCCTTGTCCACCAGCTCCTCCGGCAGGACCCCAAGGCGTTCCCGGACCAGATTGGAGATGTAACTTCTCCAACGTGTCCTGGGTCGACCCGGGGGCCTTCTGCCGGCAGGACATGCCCGAAACACCTCCCCGGGGAGGCGTCCAGGAGGCATCCTGACCAGATGCCCAAACCACCTCAACTGGCTCCTTTCGATCCGGAGGAGCAGCGGTTCTACTCCGAGTCCCTCCCGAATGTCCGAGCTCCTCACCCTATCTCTAAGGCTGAGCCCGGCCACCCTACGGAGGAAACTCATTTCGGCCGCTTGTATCCGCGATCTCGTTCTTTCGGTCATTACCCAAAGCTCATGACCATAGGTGAGGATTGGGACGTAGATCGACCGGTAAATCGAGAGCCTGGCTTTCTGGCTCAGCTCCCTCTTCCCCACGACAGATCGGCTCAGCGTCCGCATCACTGCAGACGCCGAACCAATCCGCCTGTCGATCTCCCGATCCCTCCTACCCTCACTCGTGAACAAGACCCCGAGATACTTAAACTCCTCCACTTGAGGTAGGACCTCTCCCCCGACCCGGAGGTGGCAAGCCACCCTTTTCCGGTCGAGAACCATGGTCTCAGATTTGGAGGTGCTGATCCTCATCCCAGCCGCTTCACATTCGGCCGCGAACCTACCCAGCAAGAGCTGAAGGTCAGAGCTGGATGAAGCTAGTAGGACCACATCATCCGCAAAAAGCAGAGACGAGATTCTCCTGCCACCAAACTCGACACACTCCACACCACGGCTGCGTCTAGAAATTCTGTCCATAAAAGTGATGAACAGAACCGGTGACAAAGGGCAGCCCTGGCGGAGTCCAACCCTCACTGGGAACAGGTCCGACTTACTACCGGCTATGCGGACCAAACTCACGCTCCTCTGGTAAAGGGACTGAATGGCCCTTAACAGAAAGCCACCCACCCCATACTCCTGGAGCGTCCCCCACAGGGTGCCCCTGGGGACACGGTCATAAGCCTTCTCCAAATCCACAAAGCACATGTGGATTGGTTGGGCAAACTCCCATGCCCCCTCCATCACCCTTGCAAGGGTATAGAGCTGGTCCACAGTTCCACGGCCAGGACGAAAACCACATTGCTCCTCCTCTATCTGAGATTCAACTATCGATCGGACCCTCCTCTCCAGTACCTTGGCGTAGACCTTTCCAGGGAGGCTGAGGAGTGTGATCCCCCTATAGTTGGAACACACCCTCAGGTCACCCTTCTTAAAGATGGGGACCACCACCCCGGTCTGCCACTCCCTAGGAACTGCCCCCGATGACCACGCAATGTTGTAGAGACGTGTCAACCATGACAGCCCTACAACATCCATAGCCTTGAGATACCCAGGACGAACCTCATCCGCCCCCGGGGCTCCGCCGCTGTGTAGTTGTTTGACTACCTCAGCAACTTCTGCCCCCGAGATCGGACAGTCCATCCCCAGGCCTCCCCGCTCTGGTTCCTCCTCGGAATGCGCATTGGTGGGATTGAGGAGCTCCTCAAAGTATTCCTTCCACCGTCCGACTATAGCCTCAGTTGACGTCAGCAGCTCCCCATCCCCACTGTAAACAGTGTGAGCGAGTTGCTGCCTTCCTCTCCTGAGGCGCCGGACAGTTTGCCAGAACCTCTTTGGAGCCGCTCGATAGTCTTTCTCCATGGCCTCACCAAACTCCTCCCACGCCCGAGATTTTGCCTCGGCAACTGCCACTGCTGCACCCCGCTTGGCTATCCGGTACCTGTCTGCTGCCTCCGGAGACCCACAGACCAGCCACGCCCTGTAGGCCTCCTTCTTCAGCCTGACGGCTCCCCGAACCTCTGGTGTCCACCAGTGGGTACGGGGGTTGCCACCACGACTGGCACCGGCCACCTTACGACCACAGCTAGCAACAGCCGCCTCGACAATCGCAGAGTGGAACAAGGCCCACTCGGACTCAATGTCCCCCACTGCTCTCGGGACGTGGTCAAAGCTCTGCCGGAGGTGGGAGTTGAAGACCGTCTTGACAGGTTCTTCTGCCAGGCGTTCCCAGCAGACCCTCACTATGCGTTTGGGTCTGCCAGGTCTACGCGGCATGTTCCCTTGCCATCTGATCCAACTCACCACCAGGTGGTGATCAGTTGACAGCTCCGCCCCTCTCTTCACTCGGGTGTCCAAAACATACGGCCGCAGGTCAGATGATACGACTACAAAATCTATCATCGACCTGTGACCTAGGCTGCCCTGGTACCAAGTGTACCGGTGGGCATCCTTATGTTCGAACATGGTGTTCGTTATGGCCAAACTGCGGCTTGCACAGAAGTCCAATAACAAAACACCGCTCGAGTTCTGATCAGGTGGGCCGTTCCTCCCAATCACACCCCTCCAGGTCAAGCTGTCATTGCCCACGTGAGCATTGAAGTCCCCCAGCAGGACAATGGAGTCCCCTGATGGAGCACTATTTAGCACTCGTCCCAGGGACTCCAAAAAGGGTGGGTACTCTGAACTGATATTTGGCCCATAAGCACAAACAACAGTCAGGACCCGTTCCCCGACCCGAAGGCGCAAGGAAGCTACCCTCTTGTCCCCCGGGGTAAACCCCAACACACAGGCAGAGAGTCTCGGGGCTAACAAAAAGCCAACCCCAGCCCTCCGCCTCTCACCCGGAGCAACTCCAGCAAAGTAGAGTGTCCAACCCCTCTCCAGGTCTCGGGTTCCAGAGCCAATGCAATGTGTCGAGGTGAGTCCGACTATATCTAGCCGGTACCGCTCAACCTCTGCCACAAGCTCCGGCTCCTTCCCCGCCAGCGAGGTGACGTTCCATGTCCCAAAAACTAGTTTTCTTGTCCGGGGATTGGACCGCCAAGGCTCCCGCCTTGGTCTGCCACCCGATTCACATTGCACCGGACCCTTCATGTTCCTCCTGCGGGTGGTGGGTCCACAGTTGGACGAGCCCATGTATCCGGTTCGGGCTGGGCCCGGCCGGGCCCCATGGGCGAAAGCCCGGCCACCAGGCGCTCGCTCACGGGCCCCAACCCCAGGCCTGGCTCCAGGGTGGGACCCCGGTAACCCTCCGGGCCGGGTACTCCGACTCTTCGTTTTCACCGCCATGAAAGATCCTTCGAACCGTTCTTTGTCTCACCCTTCACCTAAGACCAATTTGTCATGGGAGACCCTACCAGGGGCACTAAGTGCCCCAGACAACATAGCTCCTAGGATCATTAGGGCACTCAAACTCCTCCACCACGATAAGGTGACGGTTCAAGGAGGATGAAGGTGTTTACTTAATTTATGCATCACTTGAGATAGTTTATAAGTTATGGCTTAGAAATCTCAGGAATACGTGTATAATGTTGATAGTAATAGATTCTTTAAAGCAATTATTTTTCCTGAAATAGACTATGCCCATGCATTGCTACTGTTTGGAAGCATAAACATTTATGTCACATGTAGCCATAGAACACTACTTGGTATATATGGTGTGTGTGTGTGTGTGTGCGTGCGTGCGTGCGTGCGTGCTCTGTCTTCTCGATCCCCAGTGAGTCGTGGTGGATGGCTGCTTATACTGAGCCAGGATCCTCTGGAGATTTCTTCCTGTTAAAAGGGAGTTTTCCCTCTCCACTGTCGCTGTTTGCTTGCTTAGTATGAGGATTGCTGTAACAGGGTATACGCGGGTCCTTAAAAGTCTTACATTTGCTTTTCCAAATTTAAGGCCCTAAAAATCCTTAAAAATGACTAATAATCCTTAAATACAGTTTCCAGAGGTCTTAAATTACCAAAGACACAATAAACAAAATTCTTTTATTTCTATAAAATTTTCGTGAATTTCTTTTTAGTATTCAGCATTTTTTGTGTATGATGTTGGCGTAAGCAGAACCGTACACATTCATTTGGTAGTGAAAGGGGGCTATTTTTAGATGAGCACATTAGCTGGTTAAGCTAGTGGGAGCTTGCGCCATGGGGAAGTGCAAGTTTAATGGTAACTGGATGGCTAATCCCACGTTCGCGACGTGGTTAGCACCGGTTCCAGGCAATAGCTGGAAATTGTAGCTTAAATTTAATTTTTAAAAATAGCTTAAATTTGGTCAAAGTGGCCTTAAAAAAGGTCTTAAAAAGTCTTAAATTTGGCCCCCTTAAACCTGCAGATACCCTGTGTCAAGACTCTTGACACAAGTCAGTGACTCGATGCAATTTGCTGGGTTCCATATATAGGAAACTTTGATTGGCTTAATGAACTGACCTGAATTGGAATGTTTACTTTGTGAAGTGCCTTCAGACGACTCTTGTCGTGATTTGGCGCTATATAAAAAAACTTGAATTGAATAGGATTTTATGCAAAGATGGCAGCCAGGGAAGCACAGTTAAATGAACTTTTGCATCAACAGATTTTTTTGAGGATATTCTCTATGTACCCAAATCACTTGAATGACTTTGTTAATTTACGTCATAGAATTTCAGCTTATCTATGCTGCTTTCTTTTTCCGTCATTACCATCCCTGCTCTTAAAATTCATCCATACACCCTCCCACTAACCCCCCATTTACATACTTTGCATTTCACACCTTTCATCCATCTGCCCAAACATCAAATCCAGGTTCTCTCTGCCAGGAAGTTCTTCAGCTGCAGCTTTCAGCTAAAGCATCACCTAAACTTCCTAAAGGTAACTCCTCTGATCTTTAGCATTAGTCACCTCAGACTTTACCCAGATTTCGTAAAGTGGGCTCAACACACTTGCATACTGAAGATAGACTGAAACACAATTGTGTTGTCTTTTATGATGTAACTACCCTGACTGCTTGCTTCTATGTATTGTGTATGTTACAGCAGACCTCTCCTTGACACAATTCTTTCTAATTAACGTTTCACAACAAACAAGATCAGCTGTTTGTAATTGTCTCTTTGATGAAACTGAACACATCACAGGGTGTTCACGTGTTTATTACATTACTTTGGTTTAGCAGACATTTGTATCTTAAGTCGGTTTCTAGTAATCACAGTACAGTATTTATTGCAGTATTTATTAAGGAAGTTAGCAGCTAGCTTTCAGTACTAAAAGCTTTTCTAATTTGATCATAACAAGTGGATCAGGAAAAGATTAAATTGTTGTTTTTCTTGCAGAAATTTCAATTTTATTCAATGTTTTCTTCAAGCTTCAGCTCAATATTTTCTCAAAGTACATCGACAAACATGAAATGGTTCATTTTACAAACCACCAAATAGTTCCCGAGCGCAGCCACTGCTGCAGCTCACCGCTGCCCACAGGGTTGGGTCAAATGCAGAGATGCCATTTCACCAGTGTGTGATGTTGACTAATGGGACTTTAACTGGGATTTATGACTGGAAATAACATCATACAAACACAACATTGACACATTTTACATGCTAACTTTGAATCATCCTAACCATGTTACAGTTTGTTTTGTCAGAAAAACCCAAACATTAATTCAAGTTCAAGTTATTTTGGTAAATCTCGTTCCTCTGTTGCAGGAAGCCGGCTAATCAGATTCTTTCACACTCAAACCGTGCCGTAGGAGGGAAGGGAAATGAACGACCGGTGACCACAGCCATGAATAATTGACTGTAGTAGAAGCACAAAAAGAAAAGGGAAAAAATCTGGATAAATGACCAAATGTGCTGATGCGCCACTCCATCAACCCTCAGTCCACACACCTTACTTGCTGCTACCGCCAGAACACTTTTAAAACTGGATGTGTAACACAGTTGACGCAACAGATCCTGGGTCAGTCCGGAGCGCTGCAAAAAAACTCGTTTGACAATCGCCCAAGCAGGTTATTGGAAATCTTAATTTCAGTCATAATATGACACATCATTCAATCTGAGTTACAGGTGACCGCCGTGTTGCACCTGCTTAACAGTATCAGGTAGTACGTTACTGCTATTATAAAGGAAAAAGACACACCATATTTTATTACGTGGTGGGAAAATGCCATTTGAGACGAATGACCTCACCACAGTCCCTACCAAGTCAATGCCCCTTGTTTGTGCTGTAATTATATCTTTTTCTAAAAAACACAAAACTAAAAAGGAAGTTTAATCATGCCTGATCTTCTCACTCATTCAACCTGTTCTAGTTACAGCTTCCCACAAAGCCCCCGTATTTTATTGCGAGCTATCGTAACCCACTTCTGATCCGAGTAATTAGCTTGTAACTGAGTGGCAGCGACATAACAAGTGGGTGGAATACTCAAAAATGGTCTGTTGAGGTGGCATCAACAGTTTAGATCTCAGTTCTTCCCCAAAACTGAGAACAGGTTTCCTCTGTTTGCTTCAGGCTCGACATATGTGTCGCTAGATTTTACCATTCAAAGTCTGTGTGTGTGACGGGAATAAGAAAAGCAAGAAGCTATGAGTCAGCTGTGCGGATGCCTTGCTCTTTTCTTATCCAAATGAAGGACTTGCACTGAGTGACCACATTAAACTGAGATTTCAACAGTCTTTGTCTTAATCGTAAAGTTCTAAAATCAGGACCTGAAACTGTTCACGAGAACATGGGGGTCTAATTCTAGAAGAAATCTTTCAGCATTTAATGCAAATGTGCAGATCACTGTTGTCATTGGAGGCTTTTGTCTTACATCAGTGGCTTGTGCTTTCCAACAAAGGTCAAATAATCCAACTTAAAAACTGTGTCTGAGTCAGCTCAGATTCCTGGTTTGTGAGCAGAGCGTCTTCCTCAGCCTGCAGCCGTGCGAGCGGTTGCTTTGTTGGCATAAAGTAGAAAAGTGGAGATGACACGCGGCGCGAGTGGTAGCAGTGAGCTCACGCTTCACACGACTGAGCTGTGTGTGGGTGGGTCTGTGTGGGAGGGTGTGTCTTGAAGCTGCAGTGATCAGTGTTGAAGAACAGTGATTGGTTAACTGCAGACTAAAAATTAACTTTTCCCCCTCAAAAGCCTAAATCAAATTAATTGATTGCAAATTCACTTTATTTTAATGTGTAAAGTTTATTTTTAGTAGGGGTGTGATTGGTAAGGATCTGGCGATATATTTATCACAGTACAGGGGAGGCAATAATAATACTAGAATCCAGATGATGTTTGCAATTTTAAGACTGCATTTAATTGTAAAACTTAGGCCAGACATATCTGGCTTTATCACAAGATCCCGCTGTTCTGTCAGAGTAAAAGCTGTAAAAACCGCTGCCACCTAGCTGTCAGAGTTAGAATTGCTCCGTTCAAAATAATTGAGGAAATGTTTGCATGTAAATTCTCAATTACAAACTGAGACACTGCTTTTTAATAATTTATTCAGTATCACAACACAAATTATCACAGAAATTCACTGTATTAATGTTTTCTTATATCCCTGATTTTTAATAAACCAATGCGAGTTATAGACAAATGTTAGAGATTAGAGAAAAATACATATTCGATCATTATAACAGCAATTTTAGGGTGTTTTAGCAGCTCAGCCACTATAATGTAAACCAGGTGCGGCCATCACTAAACCTTCACATGATTAACTCGGTTTACACAGCACACTCAGTTGTTTTTGGGGTTGGATAATGAAGCATGGGTCTGGGAACTCTCCAATTCCAATAACCCCACCCCCAGAGAATTCTAACCGAGCCAATCAGGGCTGAGCAGCGTACGTCACACACCGCAATGTTCAGTTTCTCGTAAACAACAAAGATGGCATCAGAAGTGGAGTTTGCTGTGGCTCTTTCCTCTGTTCTAAATGACTTGAACATGTCTTTAAAACCACAACAAGAGACACTAAAAGCATTTCTTCTAAAAAAAAAAAAAGATGTCTGCACCGTTGCCAGACGCCATTTTTGACTACAGTGAAAAAACTACAGTGTGGTGCAGTACAGTTGGCATTCCTGCCTTTTTTTCTGATTGGTTATTTTTGAGCTGACTAGTCCCGCCCCTCATGTGCCTCTCTACCTGAGTAACCAGATTAGTCCTCTGTGTGGAATTAAACAGAGGACGAGTCTGGCAGGCCAGGCTGCCTTTACTAAAGTTCTGGTTAATAATAGAAAATGTGTTGCTAATGCACATAGAGGTTATCTTGCATCATGAGTGACCTCTGGATGACCCCCAGCTGTACCGGTTGATCTTGTCATGAATACAAACATGGTCTGACTGTTCTGGAGTGAACGCTGGGTGAATGAGCAACCTGGTCTTCAGTAATCCCACCAACAGTAGAAAGTCCTGAGTCAGCAGCAACCTGAGAGTTGGCTCAGCTGTGCCTCTTTCCTCCACAACCACACGTGGCAGAGCTGGGCTGAAACAGAACACCTGGTGCTAATAAAAGCACGAACCGTCATGGGACATCGGCTAATGGAAAACCCATCCATCATCTGCTGTTCCTGCTCATTGTTTTCTCATTTTTAACAAGAGAAAATCTACTTTGTAAATGCAACGGCACAATCTGTTAGCTTAATGAGCAACTGTGAAGTGTCAGAGAGATTTGTTATAACACAACACACGATCTTCTCATGTTCAGAATTTACTAATGCAAAAACAATGGACCATAAACAAGAATGAGCTCAATAAGGATCAAAAAAATCTGTTGTAGAGCTTTTTTCCTTATTATTCTGGTGGTGTTGTTAATTTGTGCAAATCCTTCTTGCATTGTATGAAGTGTAGGATTAAGCTTGGCCATTGAAGGTTTCTTTTGATGCTGGTGCCAAATCAATATTTACAATGTACAGGTTCCTAAACGGTACTTAAAACTGTACTTAAAAAAACATGCAATAAATATGAAACATCTACTCTGAAACCCTAAAATAAAAATGCTTGGATCCCAAATAAGTGAACTAATAGAGTGGAAACAAGAAGTAAAGGAAAGTAAAAATCAAGTACATTGTAAACATGAGTCCTAGCAATTTTTGTTTAGGTAAATGAAGAGTGTTGCTAACATGTGCTAACTGATACCAGATTAAGCCACAAATTAAAAAGATCCACACTGTTGGACAAAAAAGTAGCAACAAAGCCAGGTCACCATCAGTCCGTGACTTCGTAACCTTCTTCAGCTCTTAAACAAGTGTCGACTGCATCAATGTTCGCTAGGGCTGTCGCGGTAACCGCAAAAATGAAATATCGCAATATGACGAAACCCACCACGCTGCATCATGGGCCACCGCGATTACTGAACTTGGTTCGACTCAATGATGCATGTTGAGAAGGATGGCTGCACTGGTATCAAAACGAAACGTTACTTCGCTCCTTTGGGAGCACTTTGGTTTTTAGTACGTCAGCTGCTGCGCAGCCAGAGTCCTTGGCCGAGACAGAGCTGCCACCAGCGGCAAAAAAATAATAATAAACGCTCGGAGACCTGCTGAAGTCCCGGACAAGCACTGCTTCTGCAACCGTCCCGAAGAGAGTTTGAGCCGAGCGTGAGCTCACTCGCTACCTGCAGGAGGAATGCATCCACCCTAAAGACACCCCCCCCCCCCCCCCCCCGACATGGTGGAGCAACAACCGGGAGAGATTCCCTTTGCTCGCCAGTCGCACGCAAGTACGTGTGCGTTAGTGCAACGAGCGCACCATCCGAGAGGGTTTTCAGTGTTGCTGGTAGGGCTGTAGCGAAGCCTCGACTACGTCGACGGCTCGATTCTAAAAATTTGTCGATGTCAGATCCGGAAGTCGACGCACCGCGCCCACTTGTTGCATCCCCAGGAGTTTGTAAATAGAGGAGGAATCTGCCTGTTTTTCCTCTAGTTCGCCCTCTTCTCCGCCTTCACTAACATCTCCGCCAAATACCGAAGACCCGGAACAACGTCCGTCCACTACTAGATTATTTTCCTGTTTTGCCCCTTCGTCTCCCGGCAACGGACAACAACTTCCGGGGTCAGATGCGCTGCTTCGTGCCTACCGCAGATGTAGAAAATCACCGGGAGCGCTTCTCCCTTCATAAAGGAACTTCTTTCAGACACGAGGAGAGCTGTTTTGGTGGTAGCGGTCTCTCCTCCGTGCTGGTCTGTTTGCTGCCGGGTGTTTTTGGTTTATTTAAACTTGGTAACTTGAACTTAACGTTGGTAAAGCTACTGTTAGCATCTTCGCTAACAGCTTCTTGCGTTGGGATAAGCTGTTACGTTTTGGTTTAGAGTTCATCTTTTTTGTGGTGTAGATCTCCCTTTTATTACATTTAGAGTGTTGTGGGTTTTCGGTTTAGTGTAAAATATCACCTGAGTTTGGTTTAACCCGTAAGACCACTCGCCTCACGCACATAAGTGACCAAAACAAAGCAGCGTGGAGACACTCCATCTTCTACCACCTCTCAGGCAGCAGCCTGCACTCCCAAGTTCTACACGTCATCAGAACATAACCAAACAACACAATAAACGCAGTGTTATACAAAATGGAAGGCCTGTAGTGTTTATTCTCTTACAGTAACAATTTATCAAGTTTTTTTGAGGAATTTATTTGAGATTTTCTGGTTTTTGTTAATTGTGCAATAGAAAAATAATCATTAGATTAATTTTCTAAATAGTCATTAGAATAGTCGACTATTCGATAAAATAATCGTCAGAATAATCGTTTTAAAAATAATCGTTTACCCCCAGCCCTAGTTGCTGGAAATGTTGCCACCCCTCTCAGATCCTCTCTCAAACCGTGTATGGTTAACATGCTGGTTTTCCTTGTAGGTAACAAGGATGTGACCGAGCTATAAATCACCGTCATTCGTGTGTGTGAAAGTGAAATGATAGTGCGCCCGCCCCCTGGCGCGCGCGCGCCCGGTGCATGTAATTTTTTATGCTTGATTTTAAACAACTAAACAAAATGGGGACTTGTTTCTTATTTGTTAGATGCTGCAGCCAAATTTGCATTTAAAAGTTTAACCTCCTGAATTTTGTTGTTTTTAAGTTCAGTCGGACTCCGACTGTCGGAGAAACAAACGTTACTGCGATCTGTGTTGTTACTGCCCTTTGATCTGCATTCAGTAAAGTGTTATTGAAGAAGGCATGGCAATTTTAAACCTTTTTTAAATGTGTAAACATTATGTTTAGATAGTACTGCAATAAAAAAAGGGCTGCAATAATATCGCACACCGTAATATTAAGCCACCCTGAATCACCGCAGGGGGAATTCCTCAACCGCGACAGCCCTAATGTTCGCTCTGGTTTTAGCTTTTTGCTTCACTTCCAGTGACATTACTCGTACATTTACTTTAAGGCTCCCACATGATGCCAACAAAAAAGGAAATTTCTTCTTGTGCTTTTTGACAGTTGGTGAACTGAAAAAGCTAACTGCTAGCCTTTCTATCAGCTACAGTAAACTGCTATTGCCGTAAAGCAGGTAGAGACCTTCCGCTGGTGTTCCTACCTGAACCACACAACTGTTAAGTGCAGTTTCTGGTCAGCAGAGGGCGACAGTGCTGTCCAATGTGAAGCTGCTAAAGGTTATGGCTCAAGACGCCCTGAAACCAGTGTTGAAGTGTTTAAACCTCTTTAGTGTTACTGTAAGGGTGTCTTCATCTGTCCTTCATAAAGGAACGCTTTTTAGGTTTTCTCACATTTTGTTTGTGCTGTCTTTCTGGGTCCAGGCATGAAAAACGGGATGAAGGCAGAATCTGCAGCCAGTGACGATGAGCTGACGTCTGATATTTTGAGCCACTACAGCAGCGCCAGTGAAACCACGTCGGTGATGGAAGAAGGCACAGGTCGGTCTAGAAATATGTGTTCAGAGTTATTTTGTAGATTTGTAACTGGGTTGAGTTGGGGATTTTCAGAGTTAACTGGTTTATTAATAAGACATTTTTATAAAGTTCTTTTTAAAATGATTTTTTTGATTTGTTAAGCTTGAAATCACCTTCTTCAGACGACAAAGTACACTTTAAACAGTTTTCAGTGTATAACGTATGTGTTAACTGGCCCAACACAGGGAGTGAGCAGGTGGATGAGCAGACGGTGCAGGAGGAAACCGAAGACAAACTCAAACAGTGCATAGACAACCTGATGGACAAGAGGTGAAGGTTTACATTTTACCTTTATAGAAAAGAAACGTGTAAATTGAGTCATTAAATAAACTCAGACCGATGAGGATTAAACACATAAATGCATTCTGCTGAGTTAATCAGTCTTTACTTGCATCTCTGTCTCAGTGCGAAGACGCGTCTCGCAGCTCTTGAGTCGCTGCGACAGGCTTTTTCTTCCAGGGTTTTATACGACTTCTTGACTGAGAGACGCCTGACTGTGAGCGACTGTCTGGAAAGAAGTCTTAAAAAAGGTTTGTGCTTTATCCTTTACACCTTCTTCCTCCAAACTTTTCAGTTTTATTCTTATAGTGTGTGTGTGTGTGTGTGTGTGTGTGTGTGTGTGTGTGTGTGTGTGTGTGTGTGTGTGTGTGTGTGTGTGTGTGTGTGTGTGTGTGTGTGTGTGTGTGTGTGTGTGTGTGTGTGTGTGTGTGTGTGTGTGTGTGTGTGTAGGCGGTGGGGAAGAGCAGGCAGCAGCAGCCACAGTTTTCGCTCTGCTGTGCATCCAGCTGGAGGGTGGAGACGAGGCTGAGGAAGGTTTCAGAATGCTTCGTCCCATTCTCACCTCCATCCTCATCGACAACGGTGCCAGCGCAACAGCTCGCCAGAGTGTGAGTAAACTGCCTTTGGTGCTGGAAAAGCTTCAGACTGAACTCTTTAAGAAAAAAGGAGCAGAAACCAAAGTTTTTAGTTTGGCTAAAAAACATCTTTTTCAGGCAGATCAAACATTTCAAAAGGAGCCTAAAAATCACCTGAAATTGGACACAAGCTGTTCAGACTCAGAACTGTTTAAAATAGGGACGCCCCGATCTGATCATAGGGTCGGACATCCATCCCGACTTTGTGATTTTCTTGGGATCGGATGAAAAGATCAATTTTAAAACATCCAACGTGACTTGTTAAATTTATCCAGCTCGGTTCAACTGCAGCAACTCGGACGAAAACATGGAGCCAGCCGGCATGACAGGATCTGTTAAAAAACAAACCAAAGAAATGTCAGACAGCAGAAATCCCAAGATAACATCAGGCTTGGTCGTCTCCTGGAGCCGAGGTATGAGCAGCTTTACGAGTGAAAGGAGTGACCCTGCTGCCGGCCGCCACGTGCCGTGGCATTCCTGTCGCAGGAACGCACATCACTAAAAGCAGCCGCACACTGTGTAGACGATTTGATTTATGAGCGACAAGGAAACTTTTCAATATATTCCTAATATTAACATGTTTCCTATTCACCTACTTATTGAAAGAGGAAATCAGGAAAGGACAAATATTGAAAGAAAGAAACTCACAATAAAAAAAAATACTTAAAATGCAACTTGGGTGTGTTGTTTTTTTCCTTATTTTGATGCATTTCTGAAGTATCGGGTCAGGACCCGGTATCGGCAGATACTTAAAACCATGACTCGGATGATTAGGAGCAACAAAAAATGATGGCAACGTCCCTAGTTTAAAGTTTGTTTTATGTGTTTGAGGGCTACTAACACTCCAACCTTTTATTGTTTAAGTTAATATCTACTACTTTGTCTTTTCCATCGTCCGCCAGTGTGCGAGGGCTTTGGGGATGTGCTGCTACGTCTCCACTGCTGAAGAAGGAGAAGTGAGATTAATTTCAAACTTGGAACATTTATAATACATTAAAATCATTCATTTGTTACAGTCTGTTAGGTTTAACCCTCAACATTGTCTTTAAACAGGACTTGGTCAAGTCATTGGCTCTCCTAGAAAGTGTCTTCATGTCTTCCTATCCCAACAAAGAAGGAGCGCTGCCTTCCCCTAAACCAGGAAGCGCAGGTCTGCACAGCGCCGCCCTGCAGGCCTGGTCACTACTGGTCACCCTCTGTCCTGCTTCTAGGCTGACTGTTCTACTCGACCTGTGAGTTCAACCTCCAGCAGATCTACAGAGTCGCTAAGTGTCACTAACGGGGATCCTTCTGCTGTCTAGTCACCTTTCTAAGCTGCAGGCCTGTCTTCAGAGCAGTGATGTCAACTACAGAATCGCAGTAGGAGAGACCATCGCGCTGCTCGTAGAGTTGAGAAGAAACCTAGACGAAGTAAACCCTCAATGGCACAAGCACGTTTTATTTGTTTGAATGTAGTTTTCCGACATTATTTGGTGGGTTTGTGTTTGTAGGAGTTTGAGATAGACAACAGTCAAAGTCTCTGTGAATGCTTGAAGAGCTTAGCCACCGACAGCAACAAACACCGAGCCAAGAACGACCGAAGGAAACAGCGTTCCATCTTCAGGGAGGTGCTGCGTTACATCGAGGTACGTGATGTTCAGGGTCTCTCAGTTTATGCGGTGCGTTTGGTTTCCTTTAATGTTGTTTTGGTTCTGCTGCAGAATAACGACTTTACAGAGGAGACGATCAGGTTTGGAGTGGAGAAGGTTTACATCGACAGCTGGATGAGGAGGAGAATCTACGATGCCTTCAAGGAGATCCTAGAATCCGGAGTCAGGCACCATCTACAGGTGGGGTGAATAATAAAACCCTCAAGTCCTTTTTGGGTTTATCTGAAGCTAAACGAGTCAGTGACGAGCCGTCGATCTGTTGAAAGTACATTGAACATTGAAAGTCAAATGTTTACTGAGCTAGCTTGTTTGTAAAATGTTTTATTTATTTTTTTGCTGTCAACAAAAAGAAATCTCAAAGCTTGAGCTCTTTTTTTTTTAAACATTGAGAAAAAGTTTGATTGTAGGTTGTTTTTGCCCCCCCAACTGCAGTTTAACCCACTACTGAGAGACATCTTTGGCCTTGGAGCCCCTCTCATCTTGGACGCTACCATCAAAGGCAACAAGATTTCTCGGTTTGAGAAGGTAACCAACTGATTTGTTAAGTATTAAACAGTCAACATCACATTTTCTAATTTCATTTGGAGTTTCACTTCTTATCGGGCCTTTCCGCCAAACGCATTAGCGCAGCAAAACATCGTACGCAGAAATTAGCCGCTGTTTTAGTGGCTGGTTCCACTTTTACCCCTTAACGTAAACTTTACCTCCTGCAGCGTAGAGGAAACTTGTTAAAATATGTCAACACGGTGGATTCAATAGAAGCTTTAAAGGCCCAGTGTGTGATATTTTTACCAGTTTACTATCAAATCCTGTTTCCAGTTCACAAACTTGTCCTTTTTCACTAATATTTCTCACCAACATCAAATCTAAATATTCCTCTCAACTTCAAATGATACATTTTTATATACATAAACTTTGGTCGAGGCTCCATGGTCATCCACCATCTTAAAATACTGTAGCTGTTTAGGGACATACGAGCTCCACGTTACCCGTTAGGACTATGACTGTAACCTGAAAGAACCAGCAGGGGGCAGCAGTGCACCCAGGAAGCATGAAGTCTGCTAAATCAACTAAGAAATAGAAAAGAATAGCAACACCGTTGCTGTACTTGTTAGTTTGAATAAAAAACTATTAAATCAAAAGACATAAAATTTGTCAGTTCGTCATCATGTCCAACACAAGGAAGCCACATATGTTCAGATCCTCGCCCGATATTATCTGGACGCCAGCCTCCGATTAGTGTCTCTGACTCCCAAACTCAACTCAAGTTGTTCATCCGTCTTTTCCTAGTACCAGAACACCCGACCCGGTCCCAGCGTGTCCGTTGCAAAGTCCTTCTACTCAAGTCTCCTCTCTTCCCGCAGCCTGCCGTCTCACCCAACACGCTCGTCCGCTAGCCAGTGGCTAATCAGCGTTGTTTACTTTATCTCCACAACACTTTACTAACAGCGATGTAGTTCTCCACGCGTTACTGAGACGTTCCGACTCAGAGGGCTTCTTCTCAAACGTTACATTTAGACTTTGGTCTCCTTTTGCTGGTAATCCGTGGGAGTTTACACACAGCATACACAGCTCCCCGGCTTTAGCCATGGCTAGCTAGTAGCTCGTGATGTTCATCTCCACCACGCCAGCCGTGAGCCACGATTAGCTGGTGGACAAGTCAGCATTGTTTACTTGATCTCTAGCGTGTCCCCGGCTCACCAAGACTCCTTCACCAGCCGTAGTTAACGATCAGCCAGTGATCGCTCCATAGATGGTAGCAGCAGCCAGTTTGTTTACATCGAGGCACCGTGATCCACGTGAAACGGGTGTTGTGGGAAATGATGTTCCCCTGAAATGTTCTGTTTCCCTTTGGCAGTCAAGAGCAAATATTTCCAAATCCACAGAAATTAACTTCAACCATTATGAGGACTAAACTACCTCAAATAAAAGGTGGTTAAACTGAGTGAGATTACATCTTTTTACATAACTTTCAAAAATGATAAATAAGCTTGCTGCAAAAGAGCGAACAAGAATGTTTTTACTGTATCTTTTTTATTGTTTTTAGGAGGAAATACAGATAAAAAAAATCACAAGCATAACATTATTACATTGCATTACATCATTTTCCCGTAAAAGTTTATCACAAATGTTGTGAAAATAGCCGGAAGTGCGATCTCCCGACACGGGGGGGAAGAATATTTCAGGGGAACACAATTTCTCACAACATCCGACCTCCCGGCTGACGTCACCCCTCCTCCGTGTGTGAATCGTGACCGCTTCAATAACAGAACTAGCTTGCTTCCTTCAGGACTGGTAGGCTGATAAAACAGTCATAATTATAAATACTTATTTAAAAAGGTTGAGTGGCTTGTTTTAAGCTTTGTGTGGGTTAGGCTACACAGGTTGAAAACTGATTATACAGTCAAACTCATGAGTGAGCCACCGTAGCTGCAACACTTCACATCCTTTCTTCTTAATCTCAAGTCCTGTGTCACTAGCCTGGGGCTCAAATTGGAAACACGAACTGTTTCTTCCAACTACACCGGTTAACTTGCCTGCAGGGGTGGACTGGGAACTGATTCGGCCCTGGCATTTTTTTGAACCGTCATCCCTCAGAGCGGGAGGGGGGTGCTGCTCGCGGACTCGTCCCTATGCTGCCGAATGTGAGAGCGGGGTGGTAAGTGGCCCACCGGGACAGTGCCAGAAAGGCCAGTCCATCCCTGCTCACCTGAAACCCATTCAGAAAAGGTCTCACTGAGAATCAGTCATCCATGCATTCATAACCTACAGACTGGGAGTCAACAAATCATCTGTGAATCGCCTCCAAAAGGTTCAGAATGCTGCAGCTCGGTTTCTCACAAATAGGGACGGGTACCTTTGACATTTGAATCGATTCGGTACTAATTCCCGGTACCTAGGAATCGATACCGGTACTTAACGGTACCAATTTTCGATACTTTTGAGTGTTTAATATTTTAATTCTCTTTTATAATTAAATATATATTTTCCTCAGTATATAACAATATTTGATAAATATCACGATAAATACCATTCAACTGTTTGTATTTTAACATCGTCCTTGTAGTTTTATAAGCTGATAATTAAACTGAAGCAAACATCTTTACTGTGAACTAAATTTACTGTGTATCTTCATTCCTTTTGCCGTCTTTTTTCATTTGATTTTTCCTACTGGGAAGTTAGAATTTCCGAGGAGAAAGTGAACGCACCATTAGCTGATAACAATGGTGGCAATGGAAGCTAATTTATCAAGCTAACGTTATCTTAAACAGTTTATTTAGCTGCTGGAGCAGATTTAAACGATGATGCCTCACACTTAGATCATTGTCGCTGGTTTCATCTTCACCCAATCACCCGTCGCATTTAGTAAAGTGAAGCCAAACTTTAGAGCGCGTTCATTTTCTTCTAGTCGGAAATTCGGAGTTCCGAGGAGAAAGCGAACGCACCATTAGTGAAACGGAAGCTAACATATCAAGCTAATGTTATCTTAAACATTTTATTTACCTACCGGAGCAGATTAAGATGAGGATGTCTCACTTAGATCGTTGTCGCTGGTTTCATCATCACCCAGTTACCCATCACATTTAGTGAAGTGGACCCAAGCTTCAGCGAGCGCTCTTTCTACCATGCTGCTCTGTTTACAACTGGCTCGCAGCGACCGACATAACGCTCTTGCACATGCGCAGCTGTCTTGGCAAGTTCTCGTTATGAAGGACGGGTACCGAAATGAGGCACCGTTTGAAATGACGTCAATCGGTGCTCGGTCGGAACTATGGAATTCGGTCGGTACCTTAAAAAGTACCGAATTCGGTACACATCCCTACTCACAAATACAGACGCAGTCGCACCACTGACTCCTGTACTGGCTGCCTTGCATTGGCTACCCGGGCTCTTCCATGTCACATTCAAGGTTCTTAGCTTTGTTTACAAAACTTCACATTCAGGCCCCTTCCTATCTGTCCAATATCATCAGTCCTTTTGTGCCACAGCGATCGTTGAGGTCAGCCGATCATCTGCTCCTAACTGTTCTAACGTCCATTACAACCAAACACTGGAAAGAGCTTCCTCGGAGGCAGGCCCCATCGCCAGCTCCTTTTAAGTTCCTTCTTAAAGCCCATTACGCTTATCTTGCTTTTGAATGCCAATTTTGTTATTGTATCTCGTTGTTTGATTTTTTTATGATGTTTTTTTTTTCAGCTTTGTTCAGCAGTTTGGTCCGTTGTCATGCTGTTTTAAAATGTGCTATAGAAATAAACTGTGTATGATATGGGTGCGTTTCCACCGGCTGCAAAGCGTTGTGTTTTGAATGCCTTACTGAAGTTTAGGGATGCATTGCTTACGCAGGAAGTCAAACACAAAAGCGGTGTAAAACATCCAAAATACTTCCAAAATAAAAGTCACGTGCACATTTCTAGTTGCTTTACTAGTAAATAAAAGTGCGTCATTCACTGTGAAACCTCTCTAGCCGAGGTTAACAGACCAGAAAATAAACCACGGATACACACTGATGACTTTGTTATTGCGTGAATTGGCGAAATCTCACGTGATCTCACAAACCTCCAGCGATTTTACAACCTCGCAGGACCAGCTGCGTGGAACACCTTTACTGCTGTTTCACTTCTGAAACGCACCCGTTGAGATGGGAGCTCGCAGGTAAAACGCATCGATTACGTTACGCGCCACTTATGCATCCAGTGGATGTTCATGGTTAGTGTCGCATTCATGTTCTGTTTAATAAACGCCTAACAAGAATATTCTCTTTCTTTGCTTTGAGCAGCATCTTTTCAACTCTGCTGCCTTCAAAGCCAGAACTAAACAGAGGAACAAAGTCAGGGACAAACGCGCCGACGTCATGTGAGGGAAAGACGAGGACGGAGCGACCGGAGAAGACGAGGAGCTCCTGGATCTGAACAGAGATGGACACAGAAAGATGCCTTCAGCTCTTCACCTGTTGGACACACAAAGACTTCAGACAGTTTCATTTCACCCTAACATTCATGGAGTTTCATCTATAAATGTGAAATAACTCACTGTAACAGTCTGAATGGATGCTCAGCCTAATCGGCCGAGCCACTGGGTGATTTAAATTCTGGTATCGTGTTATTAAATCTGGAGCCGAGTAAAAGTTAGTTTTTGTTCAAAGAGCCAAGGGAATTTTCTGGAAAGTGTCTCTTCCTGAACAGATGTAGAATTCCTCACTTATTCCATCAATAATCCTGCATTTTCACACCTCAAGATGCTGCTTCATCTGCCAAAAAAAGTTCAAACAATGCAACCATAAGGAAAACGTGTGTGGTGTTTGTGTGCGAGTGAGTTATGATGTTAATAAAGAATTAAAATACTTGATAAGGAACAACAAGATGCCTAATTAAAAGACATTAAATCAAAGAGTCATTATCTCTGTATTGATGTTTTTACAAAGGAAATGTTTGTTTTACCATTTCTGGTAAATGTATATTTTAATTTATTAAGACACCCATAAGAAGTGGTTTTTAAGAAACAATGTTTTAAACCTGTTTACAAACAATTCTTGGTAAAAATGATATGTTCTTCATGTATTTTAATGCAGATTGAAAGGCTTAAATAATGTTTATTTCAAATAAACTGAATTTATGGAGATGCCTGTAAATGAAAAGTGCTGCATTTGAATAGCTTATTCAGTTAGCTGAAACCACAGCTGCCTATTTTTGGTTTGAATTTTATAAACAGGATTTCTATCTGAGGATTTTTTTCAGAAGGTGCATTATGTAGAAATGAAGTAAAAATGACAACCTGTGGTAAAATCTGGTTACTGCAACCACCTTAAACCACCAGCTCGCAGGAGACATGGCAACCCCACACTCACTGATGGTAAACGGTAGTTACGTCACTCCTTCCTCTGATTTAAAACGAGAAAAACTGGCAATCCTTGCAGCCAGCTGGATATGAACTATGTTTCAGTAAAACCTTCCTTCGGAAATGACCGAAACCTTAGACTCTTGGGATTTTTGCACTGTAAAATTCTCACTATATTCATATATATTGCACCTTTAATTTATCCAAACGAGTTGTTCCTTATGAGTGAGCTGGAAAACAAATCCCGTTCTTTGTCCAGTTCTGAATATTAGAGAAAATTAGGATGGGGTGAAGAATATAGTGAACTGCACGTATAAAGTTACAATAGTAGAAACACTTTCTGTAAATTATTCCTAAATAAAATGCTGAATATATTCAGCTACATTTTTTACTAGCATAGGCTACAGTTTCTAATCAATCTTACTCTGTCTATAAGGGATTTATATGCATTATTTAGGTTAATTGGATGTAAACACGACAACTCCAACCTCAGGCCTTCAAGATGAAGGATTGTCCGCCCTCTAGTGGACAGACGCTTTTACTACAGGCAGCTTTCATTAAGCTAAACAAGACAATCTAGTGATTCCACTGTCCTCTTGTGGCCACTTCCGCCACTGCACCCCTGAAAACGGACTGAGGTGGTTCCGTCCGTTCATGAATCCAGCATGGAGGCACTGATGACAAGTAGCTTCCTTACCGGGTCTGCAACTTACAGCTTTTAAACATCTTGTTAGCTATTTAACTTGATTCCCGCTCATCACCGCGCTCTCTTGAGGGAACAAAGAGGGTTTTTTTTTTTGCGCACAATACGCGAGACTGCAGTTAGCGAATATTAGTGATTGAGCAGCCGTGTGCCTGAAACCGACCCGGATGGACTCGGAGGCTATCACCGGAGTGTACGGACAGGTATGCGGCCTCTCTACTCCGGTTTCTGCTCACGTGAGCGAAGAGCAGCTGCCGGAAGTTGGGGTCTACAAAGTGACAGCAGGTGAGCGGAAGGATACAGTTTCAACAGGCTAGTCACACACATATAGGGCCGGTAAATAACAGACACTGGGTTTTTGAAAAAAAAAAAAAAATAATAATAATAATAGTGTAAATGAATGTATGGATGTGTGGTGCTGTGTACCAACAGGCAGGGCATGTAATTCCTCAGGGCCCCCAGGCCACACGGGGGCCCTAGAGAGCCGAGAAAGTTTAAACCAAATCAGAACTGCAACAGTTGTGAGAAATCTGTTGGCCATCTCACAGAGCCGTAATCCTACATTTGGGTCATACTGTACCCTGGTTGGGACATCTAGGACAGGCAAAAACATACAATCGTGTTGCACAACGGTTCTATTGGCCAGGAATGTACAAAGATGTTGTTGATTATTGCAAAACCTGTCATGACTCAACTAGTTGCTCCCACCATAGTGTCAGACAGAGCCCAATTACAAAGTTTACCAATAATGGATGTACCTTACAAGAGAATAGCCATGGATGTCATCGGTCCATTACCTAAGAGCAGTAGTGGGCATAAATGCAAATGAATTTATGCTACAATTTCCCCTCTGTGACAGAGGGGAAATTGTAGCATCAATTCTAGTCAGTCGGCAGATGTTTCTCGCCTCATGACAAGCTTCTGGCACCACTCTATGTATCTGATACTTCTCATTTAACCTAAAAGTTTTTGTTTGCGCCCGCATCCAGAATGGAGTCAGAGCGACCTGGTCCGAAGCTCCAGACTTCGGTACTCTCAGCAGTGGACTCTGATCACAGACAGCAACAACCACAGGAGCATCGGGACAGTCCTCACGCCAGGACCGTGTGTGTCTCTGTCTGGAGAGTGAGTAGTATTTTTACTTTAGAGATTAGCACCTCTAATTTATTATAACCAGCGGAGGCCAGGCCTGCTGGACTAGCACTAATTTACCTAGTAAGTACAAACAATAAAAGCGAAAATGCTGCTGTTTTACATGTCCTCTCCAAGCCTTTTGAGACGAAATTCATCCAAAAAGATAATTCAAAGTTTTTCTTTCTGCTTGTCAGGTTATTGAGCGACCTCTCACCCACCCAGAACCTGAGGGCTGTTGTCAGGGAAACGGGTAGCCACCAGCTCCTGGAGGTAGGATGCATGTCACTCACAGGAAAATGAAAGTTTTATTATTTGTAACAACCTCATTGTTGTTGTTTAGATATGGGATTGCCACGGCCTCAGGAAATGCCTCAGCCTGTCGGCTCTCAACATGCACGGCAGAGTGTACGATGATGGTAAGTTACATAAATGTAATGTTTTTTTTTTGCTAAACTGTAGAATAATTTGGACTTATCTGTGTGTGTGTGTGTGTGTGTGTGTGTGTGTGTGTGTGTGTGTTTCCAGCTCAGTTTGGCTGTCTGTCTTGGTCAAAGTGTGAAAAAAAACTTCTTTACGTAGCAGAGAAGAGCAAGAACTCAGCAGCAGAAACACATTCAGGGGAGTCTACATTCAGAAAAGTAACAAATGATCACACACACACACACACACACACACACACACACACACACACACACACACACACACACACACACACACACACACACACACACACACACACACACACACACACACACACACACACCTGTGTTGTGATGAGTGACAAACCAAACATAAAGGCTTCTAATGTCCAAACAGGACAGGAGCATCTACTGGGAGGACTGGGGGGAGGCTATGACCAATAAGAGCATCCCTGTGATTTGTGTGGTGGACTTGCAGACTGGTTCGGCCAGCGTGTTGCAGGGTGTCCCGCTTGATGTCTCACCAGGACAGGTGAGGAGAATTAAGCATCATCTGCCTCTAGAATGATTTTAATCCCAGTTTAAAGACTGAGTTCACTCGTTTGTTTTTTATTTTTAAACATTGCAATGGTCTCTGGTATATGAGTGGTGTGAGAGCGGATCGCTATCGGGGCAAAGCTCTGGCACTCTTGTTTCGGAAAGTAGAAAGTAGTTAGCCAGAGAAGAGGTGAAAAGAAAATGGCTCAATTGGGATGCTTACTTCCTGATATTTGGACAGCTCACCTCTGATTGGCTAACAGTAATGCAGCTCTGCCACTGAGTCAGTTTGATCTCCTGCATTGATGTTTTACCTCCACAAATAACACAAGCCTGGAGGAGTTCTGCCGTGTGGTGGAATTGCTAATGCTAAAGGTTAGCTTCTACTAGCTGAAATGTGCTCTGCTGTTTCCTGGTAAATCAACAGCCTTCCCCATCACAAGTCAAGATGGGTGAGTCCATGAATGCTAATTGTACGTGGAGTAGTTCTGACTGGCTGTTTCCCTGTCTACGATCTACCACCGGCTAATGCAGGAAATAAGGGTTTGTTCAGCCTGCATGTTAAACTCGGAGTGACTGATCATATTTCAAAAATTACAACTAAAAACAGTTTCTCAGTGAACTTGGTCTTTAAGCGGGAATTTAAAGCTGTGCGATGCAAATTTTCATCTGTTTAAATCTTGTTCTTGAGCCAGTATGTGCTAAAATGACCATTTACAGGGTTGATGAAATATCACTCAGAACCCCCACCCCCCACCCCCCATGGCCAGAATGATGTCATTAACATTTTTAATATGATGTCGATGTGTGGATGCTTACTTTCAGGCTGTTTGGGCTCCTGACAGTCAGTCTGTGTTTTTTGTCGGTTGGTACCATGAACCGTTCAGACTCGGGCTGAAGTTCTGCTCCAATCGCAGGTCTCCCTCTCTTTCACACACACACACACACACACGCACACACACACACACACACACACACACACACACACACACACACACACACACACACACACACACACACACACACACACACACACACACACACACACACACAGACACAGACACAGACACACACACACACACACACACACACACACTTACATTTCTGGGGCCGTATTTAGCTTTACACGGTTTTAGTTGTTAATTATAAACTTTAGGTCATTTATTATTATTATTGCCGCTCTTAGTTATTCTAAATGTTAGTCACATATTTAGCAGCAGCTGTATTTAAAGTAAGACATTTTTCTTCGTTCCAGATCATCTTTATTCAGACTCGACCTGAGTGGACACTGTGGTGAGAGCCTTAGCGCCGTCTTTCTGTTATAACATAAAAAACCTGTTAATCTGACCCGTCTGCTCCTGTCCCAGAACATCTGTCAGGGGACAACCTATCGGTGTCCTGTCCCAGGCTGAGTCCGGACGGATCCGTGTTGATTTACCTGCAGGGGGAGGTGTTTGGACCTCACAACCAGTGCCTCCGTATACAACAGGTAGTTTCTGTGATTAACTGGTGAACTGGTTGTCCTTTTGTTAAGAGTCCACCTTTAATTGTCCACAGCTGGACCTGAAGAGCAAGAAGACGTCAACGTTGGTGGATGTTGTCAACAGACCTCAAAATGGTACGTTAGAGGTCTGTGTGTCCATAACTGTTAAATAAAAAATGCATCTTTATGTCTAAGTCAGCAGCTGCATGTTTAAACGTAGGATTTTGAATTTTTTTCCCCACATCTGAAGGTCTTTTTTGGTTCATGATGTTGTAGCAATTAATACATATTAATTATGACCAATCAGATTGATATTCCATATAAATATGAAATATCAATCTGATTGATCTTTGAATGTTTAATCAGAAGATTCTAGGGTTCTTTGCTTATTCAGGGACCATAAACACACTTCGTATTAATTCAGAGTCTGTATACAGTTTATAAAATGAATTTAACTATTTTCCCTAAACTAATAATTTATAAAAGACAAGATATGAATAATGAGATGTGGTGTGGTGGATGTGAGGTGTTGTGATGGAAGCTAGATGTTGTAGCAACCGTTCTTTGTATCTGAGAGAAATCTGGATGTAAAAGAATTTGTTTGTTTTAAACTAGAGAGTCGTTTATTAAAAACAGCATCAGACTCCAGGATGCAGGCTTACGATACGCTTGTATGAGTTGCTCCCGGCGGTCCAGAGGTTTGCGGTCAGAGTGGTGAGGTCACCAGACGTCGAAACCACAATACTCAGAGATTAGTAGCTTCCTCTGAGTTCGGCTTCCCCGGCCACGAGATGCAACCCGGGGTCTGCAGGTTATGCTTGGTTTAGGCTTGACGCATTCACTTTCCGCGCGGTGATGCGGCTCGCGGATGGAACGCGCTTCACAACTCGCAGCGTTTATGGTTCGTGTGGCTCGTCTCTGCGGTGAGCCAATATTCTCCCAAACTGTAGGGGGCAGCATGGAGCTCTATGGCATGCATCCAACACTACACCATAGTAGAAGTAAAAATGACTGTTTACAACATGGCTTTTCAGCATTTTTAACAGCGTCCTCATCTTTTCCGACAGTGCGAGCTATTTCTCTCCAAGAATTATTAACAACATGTTGATCACAGTGATCTCTGAGAGCTGAATCATACAAATGTCTGTATTTACGAACCTCTGCCATACTAGTTCTTGCCGGTCCGCCATGTTTTTCCGCGTCTGACCGTCCGCGTGGGTCGAAATTTTCCTAGGTGCGCGCTGCGGAAATTTTGGGCCGTGCGGAGGCGCGATGGAGGGGCGTGGTTGTTAAAATGACGCAATTTCGCCACGCGGAGCCATGCGGACCTCGCGGACGTGTCAATAAACCAACCTTTAGGTGTCCAAGGTGTGAAGTCTGAGAGTTGAGGTAGCTCCGAAAAGAGCTGCTGTGTCTGTAATCACTTCCAGCGTCGCAGAAAGGTTTTTGACTTAAGGTCAAAGGAGATTGTTTCAAAAGAGATGCTTCTTTCCCGATTTGGCCAAATCGGGGTCAGCTGGAAACTGAATTACTCGGGAAGTAATTCTTGTTTTATTAAACTACTTTGCTATGATTTCTGGCCAAGTCTGGCCAAGAGTTTGACACGTTTCTGAGTTTTTACCAACATCCCTCAGAAAGCCACGCTTACCTTCAGATACAAGATTCTTAACCTTAAATGTATCTTACTGTAACGTGTAGGAGTGTAAACAATGATTAACTTGTTAAATCAAACACTGATTTGTGATATAAATGGATCATTGCAAGAACAATAGTCATCTCAAATTCATTGATTTAAGCACAGATTATTCAAACATTTGATTTAAACATGTTGCTCATTCATCACATCTGATTATTTAACTTATAACTATAACATCGTGGAGTCTTCACTTATTCAGAGTGAAGAATGTTGACGTCTGGCGTTCACACACACAGTGCAGGAACCTTGGGAGAGAATGTTTGAATGTTTTGTCTTCATGGAAAGTCAACACGCGCAGAGCAGAACCTTCTGGATTTAGAAGGCCAAATAAAAAGTGGATTTATTTCTGTAGATGAAAAGTTATTTTGATCAATATATAGGAGACAATTGACCCTTTTGGACGTTACAGTGTTCACATAAAATAAAAGCGGAGCTTCTCCTGCTGGTTTCAGGGGAGTTTGCAGGTGTGTATGAAGCCATGCCGTCCTGCTGCTGGTCTGAGGACGGTCACAGGCTCGTGTTCAGCAGCGCCTGCAGGAACTGGAAGGTAACGCCCACCTCAAACATCCACGCTAACGTTTTCCTTCACCACTCACTAAGTCCTGACCCGGTTTCTCTCTCAGGATCTTTTTATGGTTGATCGAAGATCCCAAACCGTCACCTCCCTGTCTGATAGTAAGAGTCCATCCACTCCTCTCCTTCTGTCCTCCTCCTCATCTTTTCACTTCCCTCCTCCTCCTTCCTCTCCAATCTCTCCTCACCTGCCTCCTCCACCTTCCCCATACTGGTCTTCCTATTCCCCTCCTCCTCCACCCACTCCTCTGGCCTATCTTCCTCCAGCTTCTTCTTCTTTTCTTTTTTTCCCAAACTCATCTCCTCCTCTTGCTGCTGAGTCATACTCTCTTCGTCCCCATCCTCTTCCTCCACCTCCCCCTCCTCTCTCATCATCTCATCTTCACCAGGATCCTCAAAGAGAGGTGAAAGGTAGGCCAAGACCACCACACTTATCGTCATATCAGGAAATTTCAAAATAAAAGCCAAGTAAGAGTAAATAAGTGAGTCGTTTTAAGACTTTTCCTAATATTTTTTCCACCTTGCTGCTTCTCTGCTGCAGAATCCTCCAGAGTTTACGGTAGCTGGAAGCTGCTGACGGTCCAGAGAGACCTGATGGTCGTCTGCTGCTCCAGCCCCAACACACCTCCCACTCTGGTCTGACACAACACAAACACTCGTGAAAATAAAATAATAATGAGTCTTATATTGCTTTGATTTGTGTGCAGAGGGTGGGATTCATCCCGTCAGATGGTGAAGCTGTGACCTGGAGAACGCTGCAGCATCCCGTTGTGACTTTTAACTTCCTCTGGACAACTCTGGATATCACACCTCCACCTGAGGACGACGACACACGCTACTGTGAGCGTTAGATTGCATCATTAGAACAGCGCTTTTTTATCGTTCAAGCTTGAAGTACAGGTTTAAACTCATACTTTTAAACTGTTTCTCTCTTGAAGCTGGTTTAGACTTCGGAGCCGTCCTGGTTAAACCATCTCCTCTTCCTGATGGCACCACGACCCCTCTTGTCGTCTTCATCCATGGTCTGTTCTCCCACTGATGGTAATTCAAACTGCCAGTTTTACAGCACTTAGGCTTGTGTTGTTTTTACTCCCCAGGTGGTCCTCACTCCCAGTTCCCCGCAGAGTGGAACAGCACCACAGCTGGACTGGTTAGACTGGGTTTTGCTGTGCTCATGGGTGCGGAATGTTGCAGCTTTTGATGCAAAACACGCACGCACGCACGCACGCACGCACGCACGCACGCACGCACGCACACACACACACACACACACACACACACACACACACACACACGCACACACACGCACATGCAGTTGTGACATTTTTTAGGGGGTTGCTAAAATCTGGGGTTATAATGCATATTAAATTCTATTAAATTAATAAGATAATATAAATCAAATGTAACAATAATAATAAAACTAAAATAAAGTTCTGTGAATATTTAAATAAATAGCAAGTATATATATTTTAAATAATAAAAAAACAATTCAATAATCATTGATGAGATTCAGAGGTTTGTGTTGTTAAACTGAACCAACTGAGGCTTTTTTCCCTGTTTTTCTACAGTGAACTATCGGGGATCTACAGGGTTCGGCCAGGACAGCATCTTGTCCCTGATTGGTCAGATTGGGAATCAGGATGTCAAAGATGTACAGGTACTCTCTCAGCTCTCACTTTGAGCGTTAGTGATGTGCAGCATATCCATGACCAGTGAGCAGATGAAAAAAACTGCAAGTGTAACACCCTCCCCTTTAAAAAAAACCAATAACCCTGTTTTTACCCAGCGGGCGGTGCTCACTGCGCTGCAGGGTGACAAAACTCTGAACCCTGAACGCTTAGCTGTGATTGGCGGTTCCCACGGTGGTTTCCTGTCATGTCATCTCATTGGTCAGTACCCGGACTTCTACAGGGCATGTGCAGCCAGGAATCCAGTCATTAATGCTGCCACGTTACTGGGAACCAGCGATATAGTGGACTGGTGAGGGAAACGCATTTGCTGAATGTTTAATCGCAGAACAGTTCTTCGTTAGAATTGTGTTTTCTTCCTTGCAGGCGTTACACGAGTGCTGGATTCCTCTTCTCATATGATAATATCCCAACTGCTGAAGCCCTGGCCGTTATGCTGGAGAAATCGCCCATCACACAAGCTGCAAAGGTCAATAATCTTTTGTCAATTAATTAATGTGTCATATGAAATGTAAATGTGTGTGGTGGTTTGCAGATCAAGGCTCCGGTGCTGCTGATGTTGGGTGGAAAAGACAGACGGGTGTCTCCTCACCAGGGCCTGGAGCTTTACAAAGTGCTGAAGAGCCGAGGGTCAACTGTCAGGTACACAGAGGCTTTTATAAGTTTAGGTGTGAAAATGAACACCAACACAGAGGCACTACTGCTCGTTCACACACACACACACACACGCACACACACACACACACGCACGCACGCACACGCGCACGCACGCACACACAAATGTGTTTTTACTTTTGCCAGGTTGCTGTGGTTTCCAGAAGACGGTCACTCTCTCTCCAGGGTGGACACTCAGGCTGACTGCTTCCTCAACACTGTGCTGTGGTTGAACCAGCATCTCTGAATGTGCGTGTGCGCGTGCACACACACACACACACACCGTAATCCAATGCTGAAACGTATCTTCTGTCGTTGTAACAACAAAAACAGCATCTTTACACTGAAGTGAACCATGGGCGTTGCTAGCCTGTTTTTGGGGGGTGCTGAAGCACCCCTAAATTGAATCCCTGCACTGCTAAAGTTTGAGATTTTTTAAGTTGCATGCTTATAAATTATAGCTTCATACAGTTAAAACATGTAGTGGAATAAATCTGTCTCCCTTTTCCTTTTCAAGCTCTGTTATTTGTTTTCTTGTCTTTTAACTATTTCCTCTCGGTCCTCAGAAAAACTGATGCCTGGCTTCCTACTTTTGTCCTCTTCCTTAAATATCCATTACAAGAGGTTTGTTGTTATTTTTGAAAAGAACAAAACAAACGCATAATTTTGTTTATATTAAGTTTTAAAATGTTGAAGAGAAAAAATCTTTTGCAAAAAAATTATGGATGCTTTTTATTTTTTATTATGGGAAGTTGATATTAGTGGGAATTGAGCAAATAGACGAAGCTGAGCTTAGTTTCTATCTAACCATTTATTTTCCGCTCGAGCGTCTTTAATCTGATTTAAGCCCTTATAAAACTACAATACCTGGACCAGTGGGTCCCTGTGTAAGGTTACCAAGATTGTATTAGTAAAAATTACATTTATAAAATCCCAGCAACACATCAGATAGTATAATCAGAGTTAAAACTGTCTGTGAAGGGGACTGGCTTGTCTTGAACACAGGGAATGGGTCTTTGTTTGGATCCACTGACCTAGACTCTTCAAACCTGGATTAGATTATTCTACACTGATAGCAGAATCTGTGGTTTGTGAACCTTCTTTGACTTGTAAAAAATGATTATTTTTTTTCTTTCACAAATTTGGGAACAGAATAGCATTAAAATGTACATGAGTGCTAAATTTATTTTGCCTGGCCGATCTCTGTGTGCTGCTCAGCCCCCTAAACCTCTGATGCTAGAATCACCCCTAAAGCGAACTATTTTTCATACTGATTTCTGAATGAACGTTTGTAATAAATAAAGTAGACAACAGTAAATTTGTCCTGAAGCATCATTTTTATTATCTGTAGTTGCCTGTTGCTAAATAACAATAAAAGGCTGGTGAGGGTGTTACAGATGGAGATGGGAGCTCACAGCGGTGAAAGCTGCCTTCTCTGCCCTGTGGAGTCCTCAGAGGCACCTCCAAGCTTTATGTTACAACCCCTTGGCTGTTCTAGGGCGTGAAGGTGGGGGTAAAATTAAAGTGTGTGCAAAGTAGGGATGTCCCGATCAGGTTTTTTTGCCCCCCGAGTCTGAGTCATTTGATTTTGAGAATCTGCCAATACCGAGTCCCGATCCGATACTTTTGACACATAAAAAAAATAAGAAAAGGAAGAAACAGCTCCAGAATGTTCCTTATTTTTTTATTTAATTACTCTTTAATTTATATTTTTAACAACAGATCACTTCTGTGAGGTAGCTTGAACAATCAAGTAATAAATAAAGCCATCCACAATGCGGGGAGCCGGAGGGACCGCAGGGGGCGTCTGCAGGGGACTGAGTTTCTCAGGCTTCAGTTTGCTTACGTGGAAAACGAGGTGGACTCTTAGTGCCAGAGGGAGCTTCAACCTGACGGCCACTGGGTTGATGACCTTAGTGATGGGGAATGGTCCAATGAATCGGGGCTGCATCTTCCTGGCACCCCCCTTTAGTGGCAGATCAGCCAAAGAGAGCCAAACCCTGTCACCCACCTTGTACTCTGGAGCAGCAGACCTCCGGCGGTTAGCCACAGAGGCAAACCGTTCCTGGTTCCGAACCAGTCGGGAACGGTACTCAGTCCAAGTGCAGTGGCAACGCCTCACAAATGCTGCGGGACCGGAGGTGGAAGCCGACCTCTCCTGATGGGGAAAGAGAGGCGGTTGGTATCAGTAGGCAGCCTGAAAGGGGGAGAAGCTGGTAGAGTTAACCAGAGTTTTGTGCGAGTACTCAGCCCAGGGGAGTTGGGAGGACCAAGTCTGGGGGTTCTTCAGGCACATAGCACAAAGGGTGGTCTCCAGATCCTGGTTGAAACGCTCCACTTGACCATTGGTCTGAGGATGGAAGCCAGAACTCAGACTGACCGTTATCCCAAGGAGTTTACAGAACTCCTTCCAAAAAGCTGCCACAAACTGGGGGCCTCGGTCCGAGGTGATGTTCTCCGGAAGTCCATGCAGCCGAAACACATGCCGCACCAACACCTCCGCCAGTTGCTGAGCCGATGGCAGTCTCTGCAGGGGTATAGCATGAACCATCTTAGAGAATCTGTCCACTACAGTCTGGATCACAGTCTTATCCTTAGAGTTGGGTAGGCCAGTAATGAAGTCCATTGCAATGTGGGACCAAAGTCTGGGGGAAACAGGTAGAGGTTGCAGGAGTCCAGCTGGAGGAGTTCTGGGTGTCTTGGCGCTGGCACATACTGGGCAAGAGGAGACGAAAGCTCAAACATCAGATGACACCGTAGGCCATCAGAACCGCTGCACTACCAGGAAGGCGGTCCTGGTTACCCCAGGATGGCAGGCCAGGCGTGATGAATGCCCCCATTTCAACACCGCCGGGCAAAAACCTGAGGGAACAAACAAACAGTGCGGGGGGCACCCTGATGGAATGGTGGTGGAGTCCCAAACTGCAGCCTTGATCCTGCACTCTAAGGACCAACGAGAGACCCCAAGGACCAAGTTGGGCGGCACGATAAACGTGGACTCTGACTCCATAGCCTCACTCTCCTGCTTGTACTGGCGGGACAGGGCGTCGGGTTTAATGTTCTTACTGCCCGGACGGAAGGAGAGGTTAAAGTTGAACCTGTCAAACAGAGCCCACCGTGCTTGGCGGGGGTTAAGGCGCTTGGCAGTCCGTACATATTTCAAGTTCTTGTGGTCGGTCCACACCAGAAACGGCTGCTCAGCACCCTCTAACCAGTGGCACCATTCCTCGAGTGCTAGCAACTCTCTGTTCCCAATGTCATAATTTCTCTCTGCAGGAGTGAGCTTGCAGGAGAAGTACGCGCAGGGATGAATTTTATTATCAGACACTCTGTGACAACACGGCACCCACCCCTCACTCAGACGCATCGACCTCCACAATGAATTGCTTGGAGGTGTCGGGCTGGGTCAGGATAGGGGCCGCAGAGAACCGTCCCTTAAGCTCGGCAAAGGCCATGTCGGCAGCAGTGTCCCAGACAAAACGTACCTTAGTCGGGGTGAGTCTGTGGAGGGGTGCAGCCACGCCACTGAAACCTCTGATGAAGCGCCTGTAGAAGTTGGCGAACCCCAGGAAGCGTTGAAGCTGCTTCCGACCAGTAGGTACAGGCCACTCGAGAACCGCTTTAACCTTGTCACAGTCCATCTGTACTAATCCAGGCGAAATCACATGCCCCAAGAACTTAGTCTTGGTGGTGTGAAACTCACATTTTTCAGTCTTGCAAAAGAGCTGGTTCTCAAGAAGGCGCTGCAAAATGGCCCTGACGTGCTGCACATGTGTTTTGTGGTCTGGGGAGAAAATTAAAATGTCATCCAAATAGACGTACACAAATTTGTTAATCATGTCCTTCAAAACATCATTTATAAAACACTGAAACACAGCTGGTGCATTAGTCAGTCCAAAAGGCATCACCGGGTACTCAAAATGGCCGCATGGGGTGTTGAAAGCAGTTTTCCACTCATCCCCCTCCCGTTTGCGCACCAGATGATAAGCGTTCTGTAGATCCAGCTTAGTGAACACCCAAGCCCCTCTAATCTGGTCAAAGGCAGACTGCAAGGGAGACAGGGGGTAAGTATTACGAACCGTGATGCTGTTCAGACTCCTGTAGTCGATACACGGCCGTAAACCCCATCCTTCTCGTCCACAAAGAAAAACCCTGCCCCCGCAGGTGATGAGGATGGGCGAATAATGCCTGCCTGTAAGCCCTCCTGGATGTACTCCTCCATGGCTGTCGTCTCAGGGATGGACAGAGGGTAGAGACGGCCCTTAGGAGGTTGAGCACCAGGAAGGAGGTTCACAGCACAGTCGTAAGGACGGTGGAGGGTCAGGTTCTTAGCACGAGCCTTGCTGAACACAGCAGCCAAGTCTGTATATTCGGGGGGGGACATTACAGATGTCAGGTGGTTCCAAAGGAGGCTGGCTAGAAACAGGGCGAACAGGGGCAGCAGACAAACAATTCAATAAACAAAAAGGGCTCCACGTCAACACGCGGCCAGAAACCCAGTCAATATGGGGACAGTGTTTGCTTAACCAGGGGTAACCCAGGATCACAGGAGGCACCAAAGAGTCAACCACATAAAAACACGTCCGCTCTGTGTGGTTCCCAGAGACCGTTACAGTGACGGGAACAGTGCATGCAGTCACTTTGTGAATAAGGGAACCGTTTACAGAATGGATGGACAAGGCAGGAAACACCTCCTCGACAGGAATCAAATGTTCGCTTACCACTGCCTGAGACATCAGATCCCCGTCAAAGCCGGAGTCAATAAGAGTGTCATATTCACCTTGTTCCGTCTCATAGGTCAACCGCACACTGGTGGACGGTCGTGAGGGCGGAGAAAAGGATGACATCCGACCCACTAGCTGCATAGGCTCCGTGGGCGGGGCATCACTGCCCAGGTGAGGACCACTCAGGGAAGTCGGGTGAAGACGAGGTGAAGAAGTCAGCGGGCGGAGCTCATCGTGGAGGCGCTCCATCCATCGCCGATCGATGCGGGCAGCCAGGGCGATCAGATCCTCCATTTCCTCAGGAACCTCCCTCGCGGCTAGCTCGTCCTTGAGCACGCTGGAGAGCCCCTGAAGGAAGACGTCGACCAGTGCGTCATCAGGCCAGCGGGAGCTTGCCGCCAGCGTCCGGACCTCACTGCATAAGATGCCACGCTGTCATCTCCTTGTTTGAGCCAGAGCAGCTCAGAAGTAGCCGCGCAATGCGACGTGGAGGGGTCAAACACCACGAGGAGTTGAGTGGAAAAGGCCCTGAAGGAACGAACCACCTCCGCTCCTCGATCCCACTCAGCCAGCCCCCACCTCTTGGCTCTTCCCATCAGGAAACTCAAAGCAAAAGCCACCTTGCTCTGCTCTGAGGGGAATTCGCTTTTAAAGTCAAAGTGGAGCCGACAGGAGGTGAGGAATGGTCGACAATCCTCTGCGGTACCAGCAAAAGGTTCAGGATAACCCAAACAGACCTGTCGAGGCGGAGTAGGCGCTTGCTCCAGTCTGGCTAAACGTCCATGTAATTGCTGCAATCCAGACATGCAGTAGCGGAGCTCTTGGGTCAAAACAGGAAGGCTGGCTTCTTGCACCTTCACCAGAGGCAGGTAAGGAAGCGTCTTGTTTCTGGGTTCTTCCTGCTGGGTCTGATATTTTGGTGGAGTTGTAATGTCACGGGGGGTGGGGTGGGGGTTCGGCAATAACCCAATTGCGGGAATAATAGTCCTTAACCAGAGTTCAAAAGTGTTTTAATAACTAAACTTCCTCCACTGACTGTGGGAACCAAAAACAAAAACCAAAATCGAGCCATAAACAGACAACTAGAAAAGACAACTCCACACTGAGGACTGGCAGCAGTGGCCTGAAATAGGGTGAGGGCAATCAATGTGATGTGGTTCAGCTGCAGCACTCAAGGAGGTTCACAGGGAAGGGGAGGGCTCCTGAGAGGAGCTGCAGCTGACCTGAACAACACAACAGAGAAGAGGGTTAAACAAACACAAAAAGGGGTGAATCATAACAACATAAATTCTTTACTTTTTGACTTTATTGCAAATATAAAGTCTAATATAAAACAGATAGCACTTCAACTTAAAATACCTGGCAGGGGTCTGTTTTGCCTCAGCCCCCAAAATGCTTAGATACGTCCCTGGGCATGGGATGGAGTTTTGAACATTATCTGAATTGTATCAACTATATAAATACTACATGCTGATAAATTACTGCTTTATACAGGTACAAACGTGTAGTGGAATAAATCTACCCACATTTTATTTTGTTAAGAACTTTGTTTTGTTTTCTTGGTTTTTATTTTCCTGTCTTCCTGTCCTGTCCGTCTCTGATCTTCCTGCATCTCCCAGTCCTCCAGACAAACTCCTGCCTGCTCCCTTCTTTTTCACCTCCAAGTAACTTTTTAACTAGCAGATCAAATTGATCTATTGACCCCTAAAAAAGTGGAGTGTGGCTGCGCTGCCCGGCTGCGCCAGTGACGAGCGCTGCAGCGGGGGCAGCGCGAGCGCGTCCACACGTCATACTCAGTTCCAGACAGAACTTACCAGAGAGAAAATGAACGGACACGAATGACTTTGTGTTAATTGTATATTTTTTGGTGACGCCACTTAGAAAATGTTACTGTGGCTGTGTGCAGAACGCAGCTGGAGTTCATGAATAATCAGCGGTCTGCCTGCCGCTCTCTGCATCTCTGCTCAAAAGAACTACACTGAGTCCATATAATACAGAAATAAACTGGATCTTTTTTGTGCTCCTTCTGGGTGTGTAAGTTAAGGGCATCAGGGGAGCCAACCTTTAGGAGAACCAAGTTGCTCTCCTGTAATTTGAACCCAGTATCCAACTCTGGGTCGGGGCTTGGATCGGGAACAGTGGCGGCTGGTGAAAAATATTTTTGGTGGGGCTGTGCTATTTTTTTTTAAACAAACTTGTGCTTTCTGAGCTTTGTGCACAACTTCACTATTTCCTGAATTAAGCACAGCTCTTTTATTTCCTGTCTTACATCACTGGACAAACTGATTAATCCAGGTGTGTCTGACTATTGGCAAACTGCCTTGCGGACCAAGGTTGAAAAATACTGCATTAAATTGCACATAAAATAACATGACCATAAATGGTAAATAGGCAATGCAAGAGGCAAGTAACAAAAACATTTTGTTTAATTTCAACATTTGAGTGAACACGAAAATTATGAGCAGGTCACTTTTACAGTAAACACTACTTAGACAAAATGCCAGAAATTTACACTGTTAGGACTTATGGAAAGTGGAAACAGTTTCAGAGGAAATAATGTCATCAGTATCCTCTTACAAATGTCATATTTCCCACTTTTTGGGACAATAAAACATTTCTGGTTCTCAATGAGATGTTTTTACTTCAAATGTAAAAACATCTCATTGAAAATCAGAAATGTTTTATTGTCCCAAAAGCTGGGAAATTTGTTTGCTGCATAATAGCTATGTGTGTTGAAATTAGTTTTTACAGTTATTGCACATTAAACAATGTACATGTTATTAAACAAATGTCCCGGTTTGTGGGACAACCACGGATTTCTGATTCTGATTGTCTTGTTTACAGAAATGTAATGTACAGCTTACCTCTGCACCCAGCTGCTGTTCTCCCTGTCCAAACGTCCTCCGTTTCTTTGTTGGCTGCTGCACTGATGCGCTGCATTCCTCAGTCAGAGAAGGAATGGAGTCCCCAATGAGACACAAGTTCCACATCCACCTTCTGTGGATCCCAGCCGTTTTGAATAACAAACACAGAAAGCAAAATAACGCATTAGCGTGATTGCATCCAGCTAGCCACTGCTTCCTGGTGTACCAATTTTGGGAGAAGTGTCGTGTGTACAGTTTACCCATCTCCTTGTCCTGCTGGCTTATCTTTACGTCGGGCTGATCTGGTCCAAGCTCTTTTTGACATTAAGTTTTTCCACCATAGTTCTCCTCTCGAACGGATACTGGAGAAGAAACCGAACTGAATTCAGTGGCTGCTGAGATCCGGTATCCATGCTGGTTGTAGGCGCACTGGCATCCATGTCTACGTCTGCGTCACGACCGTCACGAGTCACGACCAAAAACATGCTGGAGTCGAGACTCTCCGAGTTCTACCGAACACCAACGAAAGCCTTGGCGGTAGCACTATCGCCCATCATGCTTCTGAAACAACGTCGACGCTGATTGGATACATTCCCATTCCTACCCTTTGATTTTCTTGTCAGTGTTACGGCTGGAGCCTTTTTTTGTTGTGATTTCATTTTTGTGCATTTTATGTTGCATCTGAGGAGCCTGCCTGCAGACTATGTTGGCTCACCCTTGCTCCTCCCTGCACCAGCTGAGCTGGGTTTTCATCAGCCACAAATTGTTTAAAGGACCAGCTGGAGCTCCTCACCAATGGGGACAATAGTGCAGAGCTGCCTTTCCTCTGGTCTGTTGTCTCCCACTTAGAAATTCGATATTGTGCTCTTACTGTTTGAACCTGTTTTGGTAAAAGTGGATTTAGATCAGTGGTGGTTAAAAGAATAATAGTCATCTTTTCTGAATTAAGAGAAAGTAAATAAAACATTTGTTAATTTTCCTTTGTGTCATGCGTCCTCCATGTTACCCCAGGCCCCCTAGACACCTGGTTGTAACAGTCAGCAATTGGCCAACTGGTCCCGTCTTGTTTGGGCGATTGAAAAACAGCACACAGCCTCCACCGCTCGGCAGAGACCAATATATATATATATATATATATATATATATATATATATATATATATATATATATATATATATATATATATATATATATATATATATATATATATATATATATATATATATATAATATTATATATATATATATATATAATATTATATATATATATATAATATTATATATATATATAATATTATATATATATATATATAATATATATGATATATTTTTGTTACAAAACACACAATTAACTTAGAATATGTGATTATTGTTAATTTTATTTATTTATTAAAAAAAATAAAAACACTGGGGAAACTGGGAGGGCGGCGCCCTATCGCCCTCTACTGGCCAGCCGCCACTGATCGGGAAGTAAAGCCCGAGTCCCGATCAGTCTGAAACCACGTGATCATGTGATCAGATCGGGACATCCCTTGTGCAAAGGTGGTAAATTTCCACAGTTTTTATTAGGGATGCACAGATACTGATACTTGTATCGGTATGGGTGCCAATATCGATACCAGTATCGGTATTGATAAAAGTTAACCGATACTAATGCAGTTGCTTGAAAGTGGCTTCACTGTCACGTCATTTCTGTTGACCTAATATTTGAGTTTTGTGATAATTTCTATTCATATATTTTACTTTTTATCTACTTCACAGTCTTTTCCTATTGAAAGCAGAGAAGTAAATAAAACCTGTATTCCAATTAATAGCATTTTTTTGTGTGTGGTAGAAGTATCAGTAATCGGCATTGGCGAGTACTCGGATCCAAGTATTGGTATTGTATCGGTTTGGAAAAAAGTGGTATTGTTGAATCCCTAGTTTTTATTACACAAAAGTTAAAATCCAGTCATAACTCCAACAAGAGGACAACGTCCTCCAATAACACTTTACTTACTCATGCTTTTTTCTCTCCTCAGCTGGTGTCAGAAATGGTTCTCACACTAAAGGTCTTCAAACTTCTAAACATTATACTCACAACTTAGACCATAAAGTCACACCCACAGTATCAGAAGAGCGCCATTCTCACATTTTCAGTTTCCCACATCACTCTGGAATGATTTTTTGTAATATGAGGGGACTCCACATATACCAGTATTGGTTTATGTTGGTATTGAGTTAGACTATATCAGTATGGAGTCAATATCAAACATCCTTAAGGACTTTTGGGAACAGAGATGCTCATGTGACAAAGACAATTGGCATTTTGAGAGCAGAGTTAAAAGAAAAAACCAAAACAAAACTAGAGAAGATCTGAGATTTCTGATTTCTGAATCTGATCCACAGCAATCAAATCCTTTGAAGATGTGATGAAAATATATTGTACGTGCACCAGGGCTCACAAGGCCCAGAGAGAAGACTCTTACTAGGCATATCTGTATTTGTTTGACTTCAGTTTAAGTCACCAATGCAGCCTAAGAATGGTGAGCTAGTCGATGTAATTCATGCCTGTGTACAGCAGATGGCAGTCTCTGCTTTGCAGTTTGAAAGTTTCAACCTATTCTGCATTTAGTTTTTCCTAATCCAGTGTCCAGCTGGCTGCTGTACATTTCTGATGTGTTTGAATACAAAAATAAAACCTGATGGACTTCTTTGAACGGGTTGAAGTATCAGGAAAGTTAAAGAAACAAAATCCTTGAAGTGTTCCTCTGCATCTGAGGCTTCGTGACCACCCAGATCCACCACCTGAAACCTAATTCGAAACCTTTAAACGAGGCTCTTGAGCAGCTTTCTCATGGGACGGCCAGAACAAATACTCCACTGTGACGATGACCTTCAAAGAGGTATAAACAAGCTCCAGGAACGCCATCTAACTGGATTCCCGGTGATCCACTCAAAATGTGCAATCGCGTCAGATTGATTTCTGTTTATTTATTTTGATTGTGAGCTTATTCAAAACCTTATTTTAAAAATAAACTCTAAGATAAGGATTACGGCGTCGTCCCAGATGGCTGCTGCTGAAGAACAAGTCTAATTGTATACCGGTGACAAGAAAATCTACAAACTTTCATTGATTAAATGTCAGAGATGATGCATAAATTTGTCTGATATCTTTTCTGTTTTGGTGACCCAGACACGGTGGCGGCCCTAATTATCTTCCCCATTGAAACCACGCTCTGGGGCCTTGACTGCAGCTGCCGCCTGATGAAGTCACCACGATGTGGGTGTTGGGTGAAATCACCAAAATGGGAAATGGACGACAGGAAGAATGGAGATTGTGTTGATGAGGAAGTGACGTTTAAAGAAAAGGAGAGACAGACCGAGATGAGCTGGGTGTTGGGAGACAATGGGTGAGCCATGAGAGAGGTTCGCGGCACCCCTCCGTGGTATTCTTGCATGTGGGACGGGGCACAGAGATGAAGTATTGTTGGAAGCCAGAGGCGGGGGAACGGCTCATGCTGGAGCTGGGTGTGTGTAGGAGGTAAACGGACAAAGAGAGGAAAGAGTGAAAGTGTGTTTTCTGACGCTGGTGAACAAAGAGGCCTTTGCTGTTGGCTTGTTCTGGTGCTTTCCCTCTTGAACCAGCTGCAAAAAAAAAAAAAATCTGACTAAGCAGGACAGAAGAGGTGGCTGGGAACGAGCTTGACAAAAAAGCAGGAAACGTTCATGTGAGATGGAATGCGTTCATCAACACCAGCGTTTTTGTCGAGTGGTGTCATAAAGCCCCAAAGAGACCTGAAATAAAACATTTTTATTCTTGTATGTGAAACTTCAAAGTTTGTTTCATTAGAAGCAGTACTTTAAGTGAGCTATGTTTATTTATTTTATTTTTTACCTCTGAAGCCTAATTTATACTTTGTGTCTGGACGGAAGCACACAACGCATTTATCCGTCCATTCGAGGGCTCTCCAGCAGGCTCGCAAGGACGGACGGAGTCGAGCTCTCTTCTCTAAACATCTGTCCAACAAAATGGAGAACGCAAGCTTGTGATTGGTCAGGAGGCCGCCGTCTCTGACAGCGCCACCAGCGCAGGTGGAAAATGAGGTCAAAGTTTAACATCAATTTCCTGTTTTGGTTTAAGTTTTTACTTTCTATTTGATAATTTACTGATTATTTTTATTTTGTATGTTAAATATGATCACATCCACACGATAAATTAAAATTAAATTGTAAAAAAAAAAATCTAATATTTACTTGGGGGCGCTATGGGGGTGCAATGATTAATTCAGGGGTAGCTATAGCGCCCCCTAGCGTCCCCCGGCACCGCCACTGTCACAGCACCACACGGTCACCATGGAAGCAATGAAATACAGACAATACAGGAAATATGCACACATGCCTCAGGTCAGTTTTAAATAACTAAACATGCACATTACAAGTGTAGATCACTAGTTTGATCACGATACAATATATCAGTTTTACAAGTGACTCAACAATGATTTCCAGGGAAGAAACAATTTCTCCTACACGATTTTCTCACTGCAGGTCATGACGTGTTTGTTTTTGTGCAGGAACAGGTGGAAACGGCATGTCAGCGGAAAGCAATTTTCTGAATAAAAGTGTGTTAAATAATTAGTTGTTCTGTAGATTTTTACTACTTAATCAGTGACATATGACAATACACACATAATGTTTCGATGCTGACCATTTAATCAGTGTATCGATGTAGATCTATGTATTGTTACACTCATAATTCACATTGTGAACGTGCCCTAAACGTAACCCAAGCACTAACCATTGATCCACCATGCTGCCCAGTTCTCTGAATAAAATCCATCCATTTTCATCTGGGGTCAGGTCACCGGGGGGCAGCAGCCTAAGCAGAGACTCAGACTTTTCCCAGCCACGGCCAGCTCCTCTGGGGAATTCTAAGGATTTCTCAAGCCAGCTGAGAAACATCGTATCTCCAGCATGTCCTTGGTCTTCCTTTAGCTCTCTTCCCAGTTGGACGTGCCTGAAAACCTCACCAGGGAAAAACCTCAGCAGATGCATGCCACCTCATCTGTCTCCTCTTCATGTGAGTAAAATCTTTACGCTTAAATATTTCATGATAGATTGGGAGCTGCTGTGGACCAGTTAACTTCAATAGAAGGAACGGTGTGTGTTGAGGTTAATTCTAGTCGTTTTGCAGCGTGATGTAACAGGAAACAAACCGTGAAACCACTTGTGTTGTCTAAAGTAAGGCATATCTGATCACCAGTGCTTCTGTAGGATAATGTGATTTAATTAAAAGTAACCACTAACGTATCTGATTTCTGCTGGTAAAGTAGATGTTTTTAAATCCGAGTGCAAAAATATGTCATATTTTGATGAATTATAAAAAGCAGCATAACGAAAGTTGTTGAGTGAAGTTCTCAGATGTTTTCATGTTCTTATTTTTTTGGCGGGAACATATTGATCCAACACTTAATTCCTGCTGATTAAATATAAAAGTTTGGTTTACAAGATGGATAAATCTAACAAAGTTTCAACATCTGCATCTCTTCACACTATCAGGAACTTCCCGTCCTTTCAGCCAAACCCTCGAGCCGTGACCTTCACTTAGGGACACTGGGTTTGGGCCTAGACATAACACATTACTAAATGCGAGTGTATGTGTGTGTGTTTGTGTGTGTGCACGTAAAAGTGTTCTTTTCAAAAGTTTGACTACTCATAATTCAATAAAATGTGGTTTATAGCTTCATATCTCCACACATTCACGCTGTCCCACCCCCAACGCTGAATTGTCTTCCTGCCTTTAATCCTATTGTCTTTGTCTTTTTGCTTTTACCATCAAAAAGTGTGTGTGTGTGTGTGTGTGTGTGTGTGTGTGTGTCCCCTTTCACAAGCCTATTAAAAGTGAATTTTACTGAAAGGAAGCAGCACTTTACCATCTTCCTTTTATTCACTACTTGACAGAATAGGACTCAACACTGAAAAGGAGCGGCCCACTATTGTGCCAGTTCCATTTTTGTTGTCCCCTTTTAATTTGTAATGTTTTCTTTTTACTTTTCAAACAGCCTTCCTTCCCGTCAAGTCAAACAAATGACAAAGGAGCAGGCTTGTTCGTCACTCGTGAAAAGTCAGGTGTGTGAGTAGTCACGACAACATGGTCACAACCATCCTCCTCCCTCTCTGCTGTGCTTCAGCTCCGTGTTTAAAGCTCCTTCCTAGACAGCAGGCCAGTAAGTAAGCTTGGAAACTGAAAGTGTTTACTCCTGCAGGTCATTAATAAGCTTTAAAAAGATTACATGCAAGTATAAAATGAAAGATTTGTCCCCATTCATTCAATCAAGGTCTTTATTCGGGTGAATATGAGTTTTTACTCTTTGGCTGTTGCCACCAAAAAGCTCACAAAGTCTGTGTTCTTACTTTTGAAACCTTTAGAATTTGTCTTTTTGTACAACCTTTTCCCACCAATCCTCTCATAAACCCACTCACCTTGATCAATCTACCAATTCTGCTCCATAATCATATTATGTGTTCATAGGAAGATTTAAATTTACAGCTTTAATTACAGCTGACTTACCTCAACCTCATTTTGGATCAAACTGTAAACTTTGTAAAGGGGCGACAGTGGCACAGGAGTTAAGTGCTCACCCCGTAATCGGAAGGTTGCAGGTTCGAGCCCAGCTCAGTCTGTCGCTGACGTTGTGTCCTTGGGCAAGACACTTAACCCACGTTGCCTGCTGGTGGTGGTCGGAGTGATCGGTGGCGCCAGTGCTCGGCAGCCTCGCCTCTGTCAGTGTGCCCCAGGGCAGCTGTGGCTGCATTGTAGCTCATCCCCACCAGTGTGTGAATGTGTGTGTGAATGGGTGAATGACTGATTGTGTTGTAAAGCGCCTTGGGGGGCTCCAGGACTCTAGAAGGCGCTATATCAAATACAGGCCATTTACCATTTTACACACACAGTTTGGCCATAAACCAGTGAAGATCATGTCGTTCTAAAGATTGTGTCTGTTTTCATGGCTACTGAAGTCACTTCACCTTGCAGAGATCAAATCATTATGTGAATACAGTTTGACTGAGCACCATTTTTAGTTTTATGAAAACTCATAAAGTTTAACTATATTTTTGTCCATTTCAGCATTTTTGCATTTGCATCTGTGTGTGTGTGTGTGTGTGTGTGTGTGTGTGTGTCTACATCTACATATATGTAGCTTGTGTGTTTGCATTAATGTATGCAGTGGAGCATTTAGTAATATGTGTGATGCATAATTTATTGATAAGAAATGGGATGTTCTTAGTGTGATACTGCTGTGAGCGCCACCTGTTATTACACTGTTCAGAGGATTGTAAAGTATGATCATTTGAGGGCTTTGTCGATATGATGTATATAATTTTGTTCCTGCTGCCATAACAGCAAAAATGTTGTCACTGGCTATTTGAAACAAAGAATAAGTAAAATAGTACAGTGATCCCTCGCTACTTTGCGGTTCGTTTATCGCAGAATCACGACTTTGCGGATTTTTTCTTTGGAGGCTTATTCAAGGGAAATTTGCCGATTCGCGGTATTTTTCTATGCGAAATATCAAGAAATTCCTGTTTTTTTCATCAATTTCATCATAAAATGCACTTTTTGTA